ATCACACACCAGAATGCGCATTTCAAAGGCAAGACAGCTCCTGGGCTTGCTGAACTTTTGCTTGTTATCAAGAGCTGAGAGTGAAATGGAGAGAATTGATCTTTTGTCTACTGGAGGTGCACTCCCTTGGGCTGGGCCGCTCGCTTGCTCACTCGCTTGGCTGCCATGCAGAGGGCTCTCTTTCTCATCCTCACCCCCCACCAACACTACCATCATCCCCATATCCCCCCCTTGTTCACTCACTCTCTTTCTCTCTCGCTCTGCATGGCGGCTGCCTCTCCTCCAGCTGACACTTGTCCTGCCGTTAGTGGGAGAGATGTGTGCTGAGCTGCTGACACCAGGATTGATCTTCCTCCTTTTCCCCATAAGCTCCATATCAAGCTCCCGGAGACTCTGGAAGAGACAAAGAACGTGCAGAGGGGTGAGGAGAAGGAGTTGGGGAGGCAGCCAGAGTGGAAGGAAGAGGAGAGAGACATTGTCAACTAACATCACCAATTCATACTAACAATGTGCTGAGGTGAAAGAGGGAACACACAGTTGACAGTTTTGGAGAAAGTTCACTTTTTGCTAAATTGATGCTCACAATGACACAAAACCGAGATTTCTTAAAGCCACAAACAGCTGTTCTGCTGATCAAACCTCAAAAAGTCAACCATTACAGGTCAACAAGACATTTTTAATTGAATATACCCTGACCTTCACAAATTTAAAGATCTGTACTTAGCTTGAAAGATATTTGTAGGACTACCGCACAGCATCCTTCTTATTGTAACTTCCTGTTACATGTCTCTCACTCCAGCCACATGTTTCAGTTCTTTAGGTAATAAATTTTACTCTTAAATTTAGCTCTTTAGGATTGTTATTTTCTTCCCAAATATATAAACAAAGCTTAAGGTTTAGACCTGAGATACGGAAATAGAATTTCATTGGCTTCATCATGTTGTGATATTACCTTATTCTATGCCCTTTATTTTAAAGCATTTTCCATATCTAAAAAACTCAAGCACACTAAATAGTATTGGAAAGTAAACCCAACCAAAAAGCATTTTATTGGTTAAAAACACAAAGCCAAGCTAAACACTGAAATGGTTGTATCCTGATGGCCCAGAGCTGCAATTTTCTGACAATACAATATTTATATATTTTTATCATTTCTATTTGCAAGAAATCAGTGAAGTACTCCGCTTGAAAAATACTGTTAATTTGTTTTGTTTTCACGATCTTTTTTTGTTTTTGTTTTTTTTGATTGATTGATTGAAGTTTATTTTGAACATATAAAAAAGAAATAACAATAAAAAAGTAAAGAATACAACAACAAATGACAAAAAGTTACTCCTGCATCCAAAGCAAGTTTTAAGATCAAGTGTTTTTATTTTTAATATTGTTTTATTAAATTTTGTCCTAATGTTCTCATTATGATGATTAACTTTCTAGTTAAATGTAAAAATATACGATTTAGTTTCAAGTGCCTTTTTAAGCTGAGAATTTCAGATCCAAGATCGAGTTACAATCTGAAAATCAACATCCAATATCCAAATATTTATAGAATTATTTATAAATCATACAATTTTTTTCTGTTCTATTAAATGAAGTTGTTTGTGCAGATCCCTTACAAAACAATCCACCCTGCAATAATTTTCCTGAAGTCTATTCTATCAATAGATTTTTCTAGTTTTTCGCTCACAAACAAACCTACCAACCTCGGAAAAACAAAACCTCAAGGCAGAAGTTAAAATTATTGCATCCACAACCGAGAGGTGAAATTAATCTAGACTCGTAATTACTCGGAAATTAAAAAAAATGTACAGTCATAAACAACACAACCAAACACTAAACACTTTCTTCTAAGCATGTGTGCAGTTGTACACTGAAGGATGTATTCTCAGTGGCTTTTGAGGACGTCTGTTGTGATTGTAAGTCCAAGCATCTGAGAGGATTTGGCTGGGGATCTTTACAGTTATTACTGTGTGTTATTGGCATCTTGAGGAGAACAGACCTAGGAGGAAGGGTGAGGGGTGAGGAGAGTTGAGGGGGGAGGCAAGTGGGGGGAATCTAGCAGCAAACATGATAATTTGCGGGTTAGCCAATTTCAGGAGGCTGGATGGCCTGATACCCTTGGTAAGCATCTGAGAGCAGCGGAGACAGAGCAGAGCAGGGCAGAGCTGCGCAGGAAGATGAAACAAGTTTAATAACAAAGGGTTCTAATTGCCACCCCACAACCCCGCGCCCCCACCTCGGAGCTGAACTCTAATTATGGTGAGAACACAGTGCACTGTCACCCAATATTAAGTTGTTGAAGAGCGGGATGAGATAATCGATAAACACTTTAGTTGTGGACTAGGGGAGCTGCGGGGAACAGAGAAAAGAGAGAATGAAAAAAGTAAGATGCCCCTTCCGTTCAGTGGGAACCAGCAGCACCCAAAGCCCTCCTGGCTCATGAGAACACCATTGGGATGGTCCAAGAATGATTGCAGAGCAATAATCCTGAGCACACCTCTCTTTTCCTCTTCAACACCCCCATACAAACACACACACATACCCCAAACACCCACACATCCAGCGCGCACATCCGTGTGAGCACACAGCTCAAAGTAGAGCCCCACCTTCCCCACGGGCTGCCTGAGCACCCGTGCGTCTGAGAGGAAAGGTGAACACGGTCACCCTAATTACAGGGGCCCCAGTTCTCTTGCACACTAACACACACTCACCAGGCATAACTAAAGACAGGCCAATTAGGGCGAGAGGGAGATAAGGGAAGTTTTATTTGTATACTAATTAAGCCCCTGATGAAATTCAAAAGGGAGGTGGTGAAGGGGATTGGGGGAGGGAGCGGCCGGGTAATTGTGTGTTTCAGAAAAGGTTGCTTTAGGTGCGGTTATCGGAGAAGCACAGCCTTGAGATAGTTGCCCCCTAATCCCATGCTGAGCCCCAGCACTGCACTGCAAGGTCTCTCATAATTTGATCTGTTACATATGAAATGGCAGGCACTGACGGCAAGATCATCATCAGCGTTTATCGCCTATTTGGTTTTTGTTTCAGCTAAACATTAAAGGAGTTGTCAAGCCAAAGACAATATTTTCTTTCCCTTTTTTTTCTTTTTGCTCTTGTTTGTGTTCAACAAAAATCCCCAGGCATTTGGAAAAAACTGCTTAACCAGGAAATATTGCTAACACATATGCTGGCTGGGTACATTTTTTATCTATATTTAAGACAACGTGACCCTGTGACACTGCACTCAAGATGTTAATATGTGAGAATCCTGAAGAGGTCCTTTTTACATGTTCTGACTGCTGTCACAGCAGGTAGCACAGGTGAATCTAATAACATTACCAATAGCTGGATTTCATCCAAGCGTTAAAAGGACCAGTCTCACCTCAACAGAATGCAGCCATCGTTAAGCTTATTAATCACACCTGTGCTTTTTTTGTAATGATGAAAGAAATCAAAGAGAAAAACAAAAGAAAACACTTCAAAGTTGCTTTGCTCGTCAGATAATGTTGATGTTGTAAAGCGTCAGATCTAGAGTTAAACTATTAGCAGCCAAAGTCTGGATGTTTTATACCTGTGACTTACAACCTTTTATACCAAAGCACACTGGTAGACCTACAGCTCTCTGTCATGGCTTGTGTCTGTGTTTGGGCAGCTTGTTTCTTTGTTGCATGACTCAATTCTTTTTTTATATATGAGTACAGATAGGTAGTGAATCATGACTGCTGTGACTAAAGAAAATGCAAATTTCTCACACTAGCAGTCCTTGTCTGGACAATTTACCATAAAATTTCTTATAATGCATCTATTTATATGGAAGACCCCCTATGCCTCAGACCCTCCTCTTTAACCTCAACCTTCCTACTGAACAGGAGGAGCTTCAGAGCTGATAAAGGAGGCCAGCTCACCTGTGCCAAAAAACCTTAGGAACAACTGAGTTAGCTGACCTCATGTGGGCACCCCCCGCAACAACATTTCTCCTACAGTGCTTAATTTATATTTTTTGTATCAAAATCTGAATATTTGTATTATTGCAGATTAATGCAAAATTTGCAGAACTGCTTATTCACTTAGACCTATACAGGTAACAATCTTTAAAGCTAGTCTGACTTGGGCAAACTGTGTTTCTCCAAACTAAAACAGGTTTTCAACTCTTGGTAATGTTATTAAAATATCATCAAACCATCTTAAACAATGTTTCTGCCATCTGGTTATGCTCACTGAAACAGATAAGCTGGACAAAAGAATATACACTTCTGTCAGTGTAACACGATAAAATTAACAGCACAAAACAAGGTAATAGTTACAAAAGACAAGCCAATAAGTCAAACATTTAAGTAATTTGTTTGTTTTTGTTAAAGACAAATCTACAAAACTTCAAGTCAAATCTAATGCAGGACTACTGTGAAAGACTCCCCAACAACCCGACATATTGCCATAAATAGTGGACAGTAACATGCGAACAGACAGCAGGTGCTCTTGTTTAAGAGTTTTTCCTCTAACAACTAACAAAGTTATCAGTAGATCGTGTACAGAGAAATCTAATGCAACCCCAATACAACAGCTCAATGACAGAGCTCAAGCTTACTACCTGTAAAGAGGTTACAACATTGACACTCAATGTGAAAGGAATTTGAGAAACCTTCATCTTTGAGCTATGACCAATTTCTCTGCACAGAGTAACAAGAGCTAGCTTACTCGGTAATCGCGCTTACCTGGACACCACCGCAAATGAATAGGAAACGTCCTGTCAAGTGGCCACGAAAATAAAAGTGTACTTGGTGCCCTGGAGGCAAAAATAATTGATTTAGCACCGGTTAAACCTTATAATTGTCACTTTTTTGCGAATTTACTGGGGAATTCACAAACACTTTTGGCGGAAAACATGGCGGTCCTTCGTTATTGGCGTCATCGCGCCCCCTTCCGTCAGTATGACATTAAAGTGACTAATGCTGCGTTCGAGTTACCTCGGAAGTCAGAAGTCCGAGCCGAAAATTACGTCACATCGGGGGCGGAAACAAGATGGCTACATCCACGAAGGTTATTTTAGCGCTTGCCTTTCAGGTGTCCGATTTTGCTTACTTTCCGACTTGGAAACCGAAACGCTGGTAACTCGGGTGTGATGTCATTTTCGGCTCGGACTTCTGACTTCCAGGTCACTCGAACACTCGAACGCAGCATTACTTTTTCACTTTTTATTTTTTATTTTATTTATTTTTTATTATCTTGATACATTAATATGCGTCCAATCTGGGGTTTTTTATATAAATTTCTGTAACTGGTTTGTTGTCGTGTAATCGTTTTATTTTTCTTGATTGTTGTACATGTAGGTCTATTTTTAAGTTTGAAGGAGAAAAAACTCCCCCCCTAATGAGTCTGCTCCACAGACTGTATCAGTTAGTGCCAACCATACTGGACAAATTACAGGTTGCTCACTATTTTATTACTTAAATGACATGATATGCAAAGTATCAACACTACGTCTGTGTAAGTAAACTCCCATCAAATCAAATACAAATTTTATTGAGTGCTTTGTGATTGATTATCATTGGGTGTACATGCCATGTAAGTCAGTTTGAATGTTTTTCATATTCATTCATTTGGTAATCGCAAATAATATGAATTTAATTCAAGAGATTCTTTATCTCAAAATGAGTACACTAAATAATTTTGTCATAACAGACTTTTCTGTAGTGTGCACTGGGGAAAAAAATTACCCCTTTTACTCCTTTCAACAGCAAGTTTTCTGACCAGCCAGCAAATTATTTAGACCAGAGCTTATTCACTCTGATAACGTTACAGAATTATATATCTTGTTTAGTAATAATGGTCTTTTTGAGATTATGACTGAGAAATCAATGAACTTTCTCTTCATACAAAAATCTGAAGAATATGAGCATGTGACAGCTGATTTAAGTGTGTAGGGTCCATCATTAACACCACCGCTTCAACCATCTTCAGACAACGTCATTAACAGTCCATCTTTAAGCAGTTCTGTGAAGTTCAACCTGGCATTCAGCTGCTTCATCAGAAGCTGTGTTTCATCTCTTATTAGAGATTAACTTCACAGAGACCCCTGTGACGTGTTGTCACAGTAAGCCATGTTGGGTGGAGTATCAAAGTGGGTGCCCCATTGAGCTTTAGCAGAGCTTCCTCTTCATTGGCTTGGAAAAAAGAAGACCACATGTGGCAGGATCTTCAAAAAGTCAAGCAATCTAGATAATTTGAGGGTTCGCTGCAGGAGTCCGAGCTGCACATTTCTTTGGGCCAATTCTTTAGAGGTTCTTCACCATTTTGCAAAGCCCTTTGCTCTCATCAGCAGATAAAAATATTAATGATGTAATAAGTCAACTCCTAATTCTTAGTATGTGCTATATACTGTGTGATGTTGAGTGATAAAGGGAATAAGATATAACCCTCACTGAAGACATAGTCATTCATTTAAATGAAGTCTGTTTACACTCATGGTGTGTATCTTGGAGTCTAATTCAAGTGTGTACCAAAAAGTTTTGAATATCATCTCAACACAGATTAAAATTAAAATAGCAATAGTGTTTTGAGCCGAATATAGATGATTGATAAATTTTGATCATATCCTTTAACCAAGACCTCAATTAATTGTGACAGTCAGGTGAGAAACAGAAGATTATTGTTCTCATCAGTCCAGTTAGTCACAGACGATTCTAATTAAGTGTTGATGAACAGAGGACAGGTAGAGCTAAAACAAGAGAAGTAACATTTAAAAGAGTGATAACATTTAGATATGACCATTGGTACATGGGTATCCATTTGCCAGGGAAAGGCACTGAAGGAAGATTTGAATAATTCATCCGAGTTAAACCCATTAAGAATATCCATGTGGACACTTTTTTGATGTTAAAGACAGTGTATGATCTCAGGGTGCTTTCAAACTACATCTGGCCTTACTTGTGGTGTCTGTTTTCCCCTGAAGCGACAAAGATCAACTGGCTCCTGTGTTAATTCTGCAGAAGTGTACTGTACAGAGGTTTCTGGTGCAGAGTTGGCAGGCCAGCTACCCTGTCAGTGCTGTCTGAATACAATCTCTCAAAAACGAGAAAATGTCAAATTACATGGAACATCTTTCAAAATTTGTATGTATGAAAAAAGTAATATTACTGTCAAATGACTTAAACTCCAAACTTTGATTAATATCCTACTTTTACCTCAAATGTTCTCTGGCTTGTATCACTTGAAGAAAGCCCATGTGAGAATTGCCACTCTCTACTTTCTTATTAGTTCATATGAAATTAATGTTGTTTACTGATTTTCTGCAAACACATCAGTCCAATCTTCATCCATCTGATAGGTTTCCCCTCTTGTATTTCACAAAAATATTTGGAGGTGATGCAAACCCTAGCAACAACTCCAAGATCTCGTAGTAACATAAATCATCAAAAATCTCTCAGACTTCTCCACCGTGAAAACCAGACAAAGAGCAAAGAGCATGTGAGCATTTGAATGAAAGGTAATTCAGCATAGCTCTTGACACGGATCGCAAAGGAAAACAACATCTTGCCATCGCCTCCTACAGCACAAGTGCTGTCAGAGCATTTCTGTTTTTTTTGCCCAGTGGTCACTTCACTCTTCACTTTACTCACCCCCCGTAGTGAAGGTGAGAATCAGAGTGGGAGGTTTGGTGTGTGAGGCAGGTGAGGCAGAGGCTCACCTTTAAGGCCTGGCTGCTTCTCCCAACCTCAACATCATGCTCTGCGTTTAGGCAGGACATCTGCCAGCCAAAGGCAAATCTAGTGCATACATTTTAATACGAGTATGAGCCTTAACAAACTTCCAAAAAGCCCATGAGCTACAAATCACAGCTCATCCAGCAGGTAGCAGAATCTGTCCTTGTTTGCATATTCCTTGCTGTATAATATCCATGAGGGATTGAAACAGGCTTGTGACCCTGTGTGATTCCTTCAGCGGTCAGTAGCCGGGGGCCACTAAGGTAGGCTCAGGAGAGCTTCCCACACAAGAGCCAGCGACAAGCCCTGCACAGAAAAACTGCCAGGGAAGCACAATAAAGATAATTAGCAATGAGACCACTTACCGCCTGTAGCCCCCCCACTATCTTCAGCCCACTATCCCCTGGATATCTCAGCCCCTTCATCCTGAAACTGTGTTTAACTCACCCCTCTATCTGCTCCTGCTCCACTCAATCATATTCTGTACAGAATCTGTCAGACTGAGAAGAGAAGCACTGTTCTCCAGCTGGAGCAGTTTATGGCTATTGTTAGCAGAAGAGTTACACAATTGGAGAGATAACTTATTAAGATTTCATACCTTAGTTTGATAAATCTGACTTAAGTATATCTTAATCTTGTCTTCCTGCTCTCAAGCTTGTGCCTCTCTCTTAAAAGATTAAAATTTCTTGCAACAGTCATGTCTTAGCTTAAATATATAGCTAGAGCTAGCAGCTACTTAGCATATCAAAACAGTTGGAGTGCAGTTTTACAATTTGTTTGTGTAAAGATATGTTCACTTATTCAACTCAGAGCTGCTTGTCAGTGTGTTTTATGTCATTTGCGCAAAGCTATTCTGAACCATTTTAACCTGCTTCATTCACTTTTCTATGCTTTAGCTTTAGCTTTATGGGACAAACGTGAAATCAGAGTCAATTTTCTCCCCAAACTCTTAGCAAATAAGCAAATTTCAAAAACAGATGAATACTATGCTTGAATTTAAAAATGACGTGCCACATTACACACTGCATATTAGCCCTCAAATTTCAGGCCTCAGCTCTGAGTCCTCGCTGTAGTCTCTGTGAAAATCCAGTTTTGAAAAAAAACAAGGTCGACTGGTGTTTAGCAACCCATTACTGGACCCACGACACTCCACCATTATCCCAGCCCTTCAGCCATGTTACTTCTATCTGAAAACAAGGTAGTGTAATTTAGAATGCATTTCAGAGCAATTAAAATTTCTCAGGCACAATTACTTATTCCCCCAGTGGGACCACCTCAATCAGTCTATGTGTGTAATGGGTTTACGGCCTTGACGCGGCAAACATGTCCTGCCTATCTGCCTCGTGCTCTTCTCAAGGCTGTGGTTATTAATTGTGGCTAAAGTTGATAAATAAAATCACCAGTGCTCTTAATGCTAATTAGTGTTTGAGATAATATTTATGATTTCATAAGCACATATTTCTCCAAAGGCTCAGGCATTGTGCCCCCTATCCATTGGTCATAGGCTGTCTTGGATGTAATCTATCTTTGGGGAGAGGAGAGGCCGAAAGTGGGGCCCAAGGAAACACAGGCAGTAAATACTAATAGTACTTAGTGGGTACTTTGGGAGTGGGAGTATTTCAGGCAATTTATTGAGCTGGGCTACTAAAGTGAAGATACAGGGCTTTATGGGGAGGAATATATATATGATAAATAAGACTGTTTTGAAAATAAGAAACACGCTCATGTTAAAGCTACACGTAATCATGTTTTTATATATTACAGCTGGACTCCGTGATTACGTGTATTTGTTGGAGGTTGCTTTCAGTGTCCCAAAATAATCTGGTGCAGCAGGCACAATTTTCTGACAAAAAAAACATCATTATGAAACTATACTTTGTTAGGTAAGGACTTTTTTTCTCATGTTATTTTTAAGATCATTCAGTTTTAAACATTTGTTGCTGAGCATATAAGGAAAGCTTGATAAGCTAAAAACAGTTTATTCACTACATGGCATAACCACCAGCAAAAAAATGTTGAGTTAGGCAACTATGATAACTGAAACAACATTTACAGCTATTGTCTCTGAGCAGAATATTTTGGATGGTCCCAGAAGTCTAAAGACCTACCTCCTATCTGGATCATCTGTAAACACAGGGACTTCCTGATAAACTTAGTGCTGAATTTTCTCTAGAGGTCACAGTTGAGTCCTGTGTCTACTAGTGGTTTTACTAGGAGCACATATTGTCTTTATATTACTAATGCAGTTCAGCATTTTCAGTGTCCTAAGAGCAAAAATCCCCAGAGGCATCAACCTCATTTTTTTCCAGCAGTGTCAGTTGAAAAGGTTCAACTTTTCCATACACAGCTGGGATTTTCAGAGTCACTGCTTCTTCATCAAAATGAGACGATATCAATGATATCTGATATCAGTATAGTCAACGACAGTGGCAAACACAATTTCTATCAATAGATTTAATATTTTCTTTGTAAATTGAATCAAATAAAAGCAAATATAAAGCATACAGAGCAATTTGAAACAGACTTTAGGATAAATACTGAGGAATGCATAAGTACTGTGGGACAAATTTTGTAATTTAGCAAAAGTGAGTGCCATGAGAGATACTGACATCAAAGTTGTGGGTGCCAAAAGAGTGAGAAATATGACAGAAGTCGAAACAGACTTTACTGCAGTTTAACATTGTCAAAAGATTAAGATTTGATGTCGAATTCAAGCTTACAATCTCCACTGTTAATGTTAATGTGGAAATAAAATCCTTAATTTTTTCAGACAGGCTTGAAATAGAAATGCTCAAACACAGATTCTGTAGTGACACACGAGAAAGAGAAACAAAGGTCAAGAGAAGGGTCCCTATCTTTTAAACAATGAAGTCACAAATATGACTTCTCTTGTTTTCATTTTAACCCATTGTACAGAGCAGCTTTGTATGGCTTGATCCACTCTGTGTTTGCAGTCCTCTGTAGCCTGCAGTGAGCTGCTGAGATGATCTTGACAGGAGCCCCTTCCTCTCGCTTGCCCGGCGCGCAGGCATTGAGAAGCACTTCAGCTACTTTTTAACATCACAACAAGCTGGTGCCGGTGGCTCACTGGTCGGACTATTGATCCAAGTCACCACATCAAGGTGAGCATCAGTGCTGCAGAGTCCATTGTGGGACCTCATCCTGAAAGAGCAGAGCTGTCCACAGCTCTAGGCGATGCCCGAAAGAGTGACAAGTGCTGAAACCACTTCAAGGGGTCTAACAGTGCCCTCAGCCCTTTCTAGTCCCCGCTTCAAAGCTGAGAGCAGCCTCTGGCAGTTCACCCCCTCCTCTTTCTCCCTCCCTCTCCCCCTCTGTACGGTCCTCTGGGGTAGCTTGCTGGTCCTGTTCTCCTCTCTCAGGGCCGTCAATGTCAAAGCATGAGTGAGTCCAGTCAAAGCCAGCACCCCCCCTTTCCAACACACACACACACTAACACACACACATACACACTTGTTTTATTTTCCTTTCTCCCTTTAAGTTTTCTCTTTCCCTCTGATGCACAGGTCCCATCCCCTCTGCATGACTGGCCCTCTCTGACAAGTGGAAATCCCAGAGATCCTGCTGGCAAAAGATGGAGAGTGAAGAAGACTTCAGAAACGTGTACCCTACAGCTATCACTGTCCTGAACTCAAGAATGAAGACACCAAGCACATCTCCTCTGCTACATACTACAAAAACTAGTGAGAACGTCTTCACAAAAAATTTAAAGGGGGGGTTGAAAAAAGGGCTGTACGGTGATTTTTTTGACTTTCTAAGATAAATAAGTGATAAAAAGGAAGGAAGAGAGGGTGCTTTACTTTGCCAAAAGGGACCTTGGGTTTTGCCCTGTGGGCATGGCAGCTTTCATTTTCCTCTTTCGCCGTCCATATTCCCTGCTGGTTTCCGGAGTTATGATTGAGTTTCACATATTGGAGTTATATCTAGCAGCCAGACTTGTTTATCTGCTGGAGCTGATAACTGTACGGGCCTGAGTATGAAACAGAAAGAGAAGGGAGGGAGAAGGAGAGTGGGAGGAAGGTACAGACAGACAGACAGGCCACTCATATATTCTCATCTCCTCCAGTCTTTTCTCATTGATTTAGCATGTCTTCATCAACAGTCTGACCCAGGTACAGCTTTCTGTCTTTATCTCACACTGCAGCTCAGACCTCTCTTATAGACTTGGCAGGAGTATCTGACGAGCGTGTCTGTCAAACAGAAGAAAATGGATTCAACAACACCAAGGACATAGTTTATGGGGACATAAGGACACCAGATGACAATAGTTTTGTACATTTATTGTTTAAAGTCTGCTTTACAGATGTCTTTTGCTTCCCAGATTAAAAAGTTAGACCCTTTAATTTACTGCTTGCCTCAAATATCCATCTTCCTTTAGTAAGAGACATAGATTTAGTAAAAAACAGACAGTTGTGTCAGGATGCTGTCCCAGGCCACCTGAATTCAATCACAAATGATAGCAGAAATTTAGCACAGGGGCTTTAAGTGAAATCACATGGATTGCTGCACACTATCTGACCTGGTGGTAATCTCATTTTAACCTCCTGTGTCACATCATCCTCAGGAGCGAGCCTGTCATTTTTCGGGACTCAACAGCTGTCGAGTCTAGTTGAAAGAAAAGTGAGACAAAGAGACTCGGGAAAGGCTGAGAAAGGGAGAGAAAGGGAAAAAAAGGACTGAGGGAGAGCCAAAAGAGAGAGAGCAAGCAGTGCTCGACGGACCCTGACTGCGTGCGAGGCCTCAATTATTCATGCGGCAGTGCACACGTCAAGAGCCCACAGACAAGCACAACAGCAAGGCCGAGCGCAAATCAAACAGCGCATCCGTGGGTAATGCCCACAATGCACCTGGAGGAACACACCTCGGCCCATTTCTCTGTTGTTCTCGGATAAACAGAGAACAAGGCTACCTGAGCACTGCCTGATTCTCCTCCAGAGCCAAGAGCTGCTGTAAGACTCTTTGTTTGTTTGTTTTTTCACCCCACTTTATTTACTCGCTTCTTTTCGCTGGCAGAGATGTTGGTGCCAGTGGGTTCCATCTTTTCATGGCTCATTAGGCGGCTGTTTCGTTCACTTTATTTCTCTGAACTAGCTATCATGCCCTTAGTGTTGTCTAAGTCCACTGCCTCTCTTTGCCGGTCCCCAACATGTCTACATTAACTACGGCTGAGGTTTGTCTCCTCAATTGCTGGAGGTTAACAGATAGCTCCAGACTTCCATTCTCATCTTGTCTTAGTTTATCGACCACTGCCTGGCTGTCTACTCTGTTTCTTCTCTCCATATTCTCCCAAGCATGCTCACAAAACTCATGCAGACTTTTTTCAATATTATTGTTCATCTGTTCAAGGCTCCAAAACAGCGCACAGCACAAGAAATTGAAGCTCATCATTCAAACGATTGCTCGGAGCCACAGTCTGCATGTTCAGCAGTTTGTGTCTTACTGTCATGCTGTTTTAAAATAACCTCATGACAAAACTAAGTTGCTTTTCTTGTTAGCTGTTGTGTCTTATTCTTGTTATCTTGCAGGATCCAGTCCAGATTCCGACTTCAGGGATCTTTGTCTCTGTACATAAGGTGCATAATGTAACGTCTGGACCAAACTGACACCCTGTTGTTGAAACTCCCCGTGGAACTTTTTTCAATCTATTAACAAAAGTTAACTTAATAGTTCCAGGTAGTTTAGCGGCTGTTTTATCCCACCATTTGGGATATTTATGAGGTAAAATATATCAACATCTTGTGGTTGATCAGAACTTCATTATATTGTGAAATTTTTTTGGTCTTATTTGTGGTAACTTATGCTGTTTGTGTGAAGCTCATTGTGTCCTGATACGGCTTAAAACTCCAGCAAGGAGTTTTCTGGGTCATTTTAAAACAGAGTGCATGCCAAAAACTAAAATCTAAGCAGGGGTTTTTGTCTTTTTTAATCCAAAAATTGTTATATCAGACTTAATATTGCTCGCGTTCCCATGACATGTCCAGAAAATGTCTTATTTCATGATGCTTTGAGCCAAGATTAAGACTTGAATTGCCTGTATCAGATAAAAACAGTCAGCCAGTGCTGGGGTCAGCACTCAAAACTTATTTCAAGCAACTCGATGAATACAGTTTTTTTATTTTGTTGACAGATTTATTTCACTCATTACAGGCATTTTAGGTCTGGGTTTTGGTTTCGTATCTTAAATAAGAAACTTCTTTGGAATTGTTAGATGACAGGACTTCTGATTGGTCCAATAAGACCAATGTTTTTAGGAATGAGACAAAAACACATTATTATTTTTTAAATTTTGACAGTGTGAAATTCATTGTTTTGCCCTTTCAAGTAAACCAGATTCCCCTGCATACAGATGTATTGTATTTTAAAGATTTTTTTTAATGTTTGAAACTACATCCTGGGTTATGAGTCAGACTGAGTCAAAGTATGTCATATACAAAGAGTCTCAAAGAGCAAAAAATTCACAGTTATAAGAAATCAGAATCATAGTTTTCATATGAAATACTGCAAACACAGAAAAAGGCTGAAATCAGCAGGGAGTTTAGAAGTAACCAAATCTGACATAGAACTAAAGTTGTTCACAGGAGCTCTAAAAAGTTAAATGTTGTATTTTACTGTTTTTGGCAGTAGTTCAGGGTTGAAAAAGATTTATCAAGTACCAACAAAACAAGGACTAATATTTGACAGCTTTATAAAATCTCAGATGCTTGAACACAAAGTAAGTATTTTTTCGGATTGATAAAAAATTAAACTACAAATAAGGAATCAACTCCAGAACTCTGATCCACTGCCACCCTCACCTACAGGTCAGCCTGTATGGGTCCTCATTGATTTACTCCCTGCTATCGCTTTTTCCATCCTGTCAAGATAGAAATTTGTACAAAACAGCTTAAACAGGAGAGCAAAGTGTTTGTGAGAGGGAAAATTCACTTATTTGAAATACACCGTTTTACCAGAATCCCGGCTCTTCCTCTTGAAGGGACTCTAACCTGCAGTAAAGTAATAATCAAATGTGTTTCCTTCAGAGGCCACGCTGCTCAACCCCAATTTAAAAGTGTACACAGAGGAAGGCACACCAGCTCTTTAGGCCATCTCAATTTCACCCTCTCCTCTGCTTCACTGTTTGTTTGGGCATACATTTTTGTTGGTGAAATGGTCCTTTAATTGTTGGAGGTAAAAGTCAAGCTACAGTTGTACATGAAAAAAAATGGGGCACTTGTTCAAACTTGTCATATGGAGCTTTGTTCTTTTTTCTGCACCTTCTCAACAATAAGGGAAAAATCACTGGAAATAACTTCCATGTGCTTTACCTTAAAGTTTCCTTAAAATTTAGGGAAGAACATTGTGGCAAAGATACTGCAAACATCAGGGACCTGTGAGGAGTTTCTGAAGGCCTTTACAAGTTGCACTAGTGCTTCTGTATCGTCCTTATTTAGCCTGCTGCTGATACTCACAGTTCACTAAGGTTTAAAACCAAAACTTGCAGCTTTGAAGATGAACTGGGCTGATGTGGAAAACTAATAAAACTTTGACAGTCTTTTGGAAATGATGGACATTGCATTTTCTGCCCTAAAGAGAAAAGGAACCACCTGATTTGTTATCAGCGGAGAGTTCAAAGGCCAGCACCCTGATGGTATGTGAATGTATAAGTGTTTATAGCATTGGTAGCTAACATGCCTGGGAAGGCACCATTAGTGCTGAACAATCTACACTGGACTTGAAGCAACATATGCCTCCAGCCTTTTTTTTTTTTTTTTAGAATAGCCAGACCTCACTCTTCTGCACTACAACTGCAAGGCTCCACAGCCCAAGATCTTGGGTGCTAAAAGGGCCTCTCTGCAGTCCAGACTTGTCACCAGTGGAAAACATTTGGCATCATGAAACAAATACAGCAACCATACAGCTGAGCAGCTGAAATCCTCTATCAGGTATATATGGAACATTTCACCTTTCATAACTCCAATAACTGGTCTTGTTTCTTATACTTCTACCATGTTGAGATGATGCAGCACAAAGGTAAACAAATCTAACCCTAAACCTAAACAATGATCAAATCATAAAATTCTGTTTTCATACAACACACAAAACCTTTTTGGACCTGAGGTTGTAAAAGTCTGTGGTGGGGTTAGAGTTAGGCTTAGTGTTGCATTTTGATCAGGGTCAGGGTAAAGATTAGGGTTAAACTTTCACAGTTAGGGCTGGGGTTATGGTCAAAGTGAAGACTGGGCCAGGGAAGGGCCTGGAGTTCAGGCAAGGATTGACAAAGCCCCACACAATTTATCTTGGACTTTGTAAATTAACTTTTCTAAACCAAAAAACAACATTGACAGAAGGAGGGTTGTACAGACGAACTTGATTATTTTCATCAAAATGTACTCAGTCGCAGGTAAAGAGGAAAAATTCAAAAAGGTTTGGACCACATTCAGAAACTCTCATCTTTTTGAATCAGCACTCTCCTCTTCTAGTTGTTCTCTTTTTGAAATGTATATATGTGATGTTTATTATCATACAATTTAAACTATTTTCTCTTTTATGGACTTTTTCAGTTTTCAGCAACTTGTCTACATTTGTATTTCTCTTAACGTACAGTAGTTCATTTAACTTATTTTTTTGTTACTTTTTATTTCTTAATGTCTTATATGTCAAGATCGATAAAACCTGAATTCCAGCACTTACTTGTTTTTTTTATTTGTTTGTTTTTTTAGCTTCAGAATTTGTTATTTAAGCACAGTTACTTTTGGACTACTGAGACTTTTTATTCAAATTAAAACAATGTCTTTTGTTTTACTTGAATTCCAAAGTTTTTTTTAGGTTTTTTTTTAAATAACTTCAACCTATTGCACTGATGAGAAATGAATGATGGACAGACAGTCAGACTGAACTACAGTTATTAAAATGTGTTGTGAAGTAATTATCATTGGCTCATAGACTGTCAGACACAAGTTAATCACACCCTCGCACACACATTCACAGTATTTGCTGCATCTCGGCAAGCAGGCAAAGCAGACTCATTCTAGCAAGTAAACACAGTTGGCCATTTCAGTCTGCTGTGTAAATGTCGAGAGCCAGCGCAGCAGCGGCATGCTGCCCTGCGACGGCACCAGTGACTGCTTTATCAGCATCCCATCATTTATGTTGTGTTAATTAGGTCCCTGTGGCTGTGGATGGCCGGTAGCAGTGGCTGGTCCCATGTAGGGGAATGAGAGGATGGGCAGAGACAGGAAAAGGAAGGGTGGTCCTCACAGACGTAGTCACATTAACATGCCCTCAGCAATGGCACCAAATTGAGACAGCCATGTCATAATTAATGCTTTTGAATTATTAATGCGGCTGTCCTCAACTCGAGTTGAGCTCTTGTGATTTGCATGTTAACCTGCAGTCTCCTATGAGCTTCCAAGTAAAACATTTACTCTGAGCCGTCTTCTTCATATTCTTTCTGCGATGAGGACAAATGTCATCATCTGGAACTTGGAGTAAAGCTCAGCTGCTGTATGGCCCCCAGCTCAGCCGTCCTGTGTGCTCATTAGCTCGGGTTGAGGTCAGAGGGTCAGGCAGAGGAGGGCTGCAGCATGCCGGCCCCTCAGTGTGCGAGGGGGCACATAGGCAGTCCTGGAAGGCCCTGGAAGGTGTTATTAGCTCACATCATGCAACAGAGGGCTAGCATAGATCGCACACTGTGGTCTACTGCAGATCCTATGAGAGTCCCTCACACACACACACATACACACACACATAAATAAACACTCTAAGCTGTGAACTGTGGAATACAAACTAGAGTACATTTATAGACAGCATTTCCCAGGGAGAAGGAAAACTTGCACCCTCATTGACACACATTGAGGCGACATAAAATGGAAAAGCTGAGTGGTATTAAGCTCCATATTGACAGAGTCAAATCCCATAAGCACCCTGCTTCTCTCTGTATGTCAAATATTCCTCTAGACACGAATCATTCAGTTTTATTACCTTGCTTTAAAATCCAGATTCACAGAAGATTTGAGTCCGTCTGTGGAGACAAACACACTCATCTCATGCTCGTTCTCTGGAGATGTGATCACTGAGAAAATTGCAAAGGAAGCTTAAAGGACCAATCAGTGATAACTGTGACTGTATAAATCCACATTCAGAGGTTTGATTTAGGTAATTTTACATGAGAAGACCTATCGCTTAATATTTTACTCCTAGAATTTCATTTAGATGAAAATGTTTTAAGTTTCACACCGCAAAAAGCCAATTACTTTACAAATAACGATTCATACTTTTAGCATATAAAACATGATCTCAAAAGAAAAATATAGATCATATAAATACAACTGGCTTCAGCTTCACCACCTAAAACAGCAAAGACTTTGTAACCACACATACACAGCTTAAGTCATTCTCTAATATGACAAATATATAACACTCCTTTAAAGCTGCAGTGTGCAGGATTTAGTGGCATCTAGCTGTGAGGTTGTAGATTGCAACTAACTCCCACCCTGCTGATCCAGACGCTGAGGACAGTGTATGATGGTTAGAAAATTCAGTGGCCGGTTTAAGTCCTTTTGGGCTTCATTAGCTCATGATGTTGCAGAGTCTGTCCATACCTAAAAACATTTGTGTCATGATCTTGTCCGGTATTGTATGTATTTACAATATTTTGTAATGTCACTGGAGATTTTCCACAATTTCTGCAAATTCTTCAGTTTCATTTAGCAGCCAGGAGATGGGCGCAGACAACACATGTGTCACAAACTATTTCAGCCCCAATCTAACACAGGTGCTGACATGCAGTATCATAAAAAGCTTTTTATTTTAATTTATGCCATCCTTTCCACAGCTACAAAACGTTTTTATGGTTTGAATTTTAAGTTAACCTCCAAATCCTCATCTTAATCATCATAATTATCATCATAATGTTTATCATCATCATCATTGGTGAGGATAAGGTGGATTCCTTCATCTAAGGTCTACAGAGAGATAGAGTCAAAGTACAGAAGTACTCCTAAAAGAGCTGGGTTTCTAGCTTTTTCTTAAAGCTTCCATTGGGAGTTTTTTGACCTTTATGAAACACACTGAAAGTTGTGCTGATACTTTTTATGACATCCAAAACCAAACAAGACCATCCATTAAAGGCAAGACTGAGGATGTTTATAATGTCATTGTTCATACCTAATTCCAATGTGAGGGGGGTAGGTGTCAGCCAAGCATCTGGAGAAACAGCCGTTTTTACAAATTCCACATAAAATGTTTATAATAAATGATTTGTCGATAAAGTTAGCAAAAGCAAAGACTGCTTTGTCCACAGAGGGCACCAAAATTATTACAAACCAAAATTGTTCCTCATAGGAGCTTTAAAGGCAATAAAGGACTCTGTAGATCAAATGGAGTTTGGTAATTAATCTTGCCACTTAAAAACAACAGAAAAGACGGTTCTGGCGAGTGACCTGGGGCCCACTTTATTCATATAGTTTGGGGATTTTTTTCAGAGAGAGAAAATGTGGGGAGAAGATAGTAGACGAAGACATGCACCAAAGGGTTGTGCCAGGCAATTGCTGTGATGAGGACCATAGTCTCTACAAGTGAGGCCCTTGGACTACTAGGCCATCAACACTCCACTTGGGGCCATGATGGCAGTTCCAGGCATCTGTCATTGGTGGACTGTACCTGGCAGAAAGAGTATAGACCTGGATGAGGGGTTCAAGGAAGGCAAGAAACATTTTTGTTACTGTTTTGTAAACAACAGGGTTTTGGATTTTCTCATACTCATTGTCATCAACATTTGGTCCATATCTGGGCCCCTTATCTTTGTGTAAACCAAAACCTGACCGATAATATTCAGTTCAGTGGCATTCACTCAACGGTGAAGCCATTATAGATACTTTTAAACTTTGTATTGTGCCCTCCATAGCACATAAAACTTTCACCACAACTTGCATAACAATTCTGTAAGAAATTTGTACAATTTACTTGAACAATGAATGAGTGCTGCAGGTCAGTGGAAAAAAGACTTTAGTTATATCTGTGAAGATCTTCTTAAAACCCTAAAATCCAGAGGATTTGATCTGAGGGGCCACGATCACCCCTGCTGGGATCTCATGTTCCTTTTACTTATGTAATTCAATTTGATCTTGCATCGCAGTGTTGCAGCACTTGTGATGCATTTCAGAAAATAAAACAGTTTTACACTCAGTCAACTACATTATTTATGCATCTGAAGCAATGAGGGAATAAATATGCCTTTTGAACACACATTACAGAGGCATGGCCTGACAAGTAGCAGTTTTATTTTTCCTTTTACACACCCTATATAGAACGCAATAAAACTCCCCCTCAAGACATTTAAATTGCTAATCACCACATAGCTTTAATATCATAGAGACAATAAATAATTTAGACAAATGTCCAGTCGGCATAATTCATTAACTCTGGCTCAAATCCCTCTTTATTTCCAATCTGTCCAACCTTGAAACACTTTAATCCAGTGATGTTAAATGAGATAAAATCATAATTATGGCAGCAGTGCCTGTTATTTAAACTAGATCAAGGACAAAAAAGACTGCAGGGATGTAGCATGGATAGCCATGTTGAAGCAGGAGGAGGAGGAAGACAGGAGAGGGCTGTAAATGGGACGAATCCTCCTAGACCCTCGGTTCTTTAAGGTCCAATGTATTTTGAATTCAAAGACCATTAATGTCTTTATGAACTTAAAACTCACCTTTTAATGCCCGGAGGAGAAAAGTATGAAAGAAAATCTTCACTTAAGAGTTACCCTTCGAAGTGAGGTGGAACATAAACAGAGATATTGATACAGGCACATTAACGTTTAATGTCTCATGCAAGAAAAAAGATCTTTTTGGGGGGCCTTTTGTATTTTACAGTAACATCAACATTCATACAATTTGTCTGATAGCACCCCTAGAGCTGAACGCAACCCAACGCAACACTGTTTACCATCTGTGCATTGCTATCTGGCACTGTCCAAGCATTGGAGGATTTTACGTCACTCTTGCATCAGTGAATAAAGAAGTTATGTTTGTCTTCCCTCCTGAGTATGTGTCTTGAGCTTCAAGTGTAAGCAAGAAGTAGGTGAAGTTAAATAATGTGCCACAGAGAGTCTAGGACTGTGTGGTCAGGGGTGAAGGAGTCGTTCATGGAGGGAAAAGTGCAGATTTGATAGCATACCAGTGTGTGTCCAGATGACTTTGGCTGGGTGTGGATGCCATTAAGAGGTGTGGTCAAGTGTGTGTGTCGGTGGATGGTAGCCAGAAAAGCTATTTGTCGGTGTTTGTGTAGCCAAAAAGGAGTATGACTTCAATGCAGCCACAACCTTCAGGGCTCTGCTCATGCAAAGCCACCTCAGCCTGGCTGCAGAAGTGCAGGAAAACCACTGCAGGAATAACAAGTCAAAGATGTTGGATAAAATCAAGTCTCTATCCACAAAAGTCAAGAATCAACATGAAGAATGTCAATGTTTGCGCAGAAAGAGAGAGAGGGGAGAGAGAGAGAGGGAGAGAAGGGGAAATACATCTTAAAATATACATTTATTCAGAGCCTGTGCAAGATCAAACAGCAAAATTGATCTGCTCTTCCTTCAACCCTTGCTCTGCTCACCCCTCTCAATTCCCCCTCTCACCAAGTATTGACTTGCAGCGCAGGCCATCGCCATGACGACTCCAGCCCGGCCTGCTGTCACCTCTCCTCCGGGCAGATCCCCGACTATTATGGGATAGGGTTCATTTTTGGGCCCCCGGACAAAGCTGTGTTTGGAGAAGTGCACAAAGCCCTGTTCAAAAACAACACACCCTCTTTTACGTGCGCACAAACACAATCATACAGTATAATCATGAACTTTTCAGCTGGGCCCTCTTGTCGTGCAGTAGAGAACCACTGTCTCCCAAAGGCCCCCTTCAGACTACAAACTACAGTCTAATCAAGGCTATGAGCGTGGGCTAAAACTAATTCAGCAATTCTCTTGGATCCCCTGTATTGATCCACCAGGAAATCAGATTACTCACTGTGACCCATCAAATTTAATTAATCTGTCTGCTCCTTTGAACTGTTTCTCTGTTGACACTTTTTTTCACTGTGAGGTTTGTCAGGACACTGCCAAGATTTAAAAAAAATAAAAAAGGATCTGTTTTGTACGGAAGACGAGAAAGGCCATTGATTTTTCTTGATTTTTTTATGCACTGTTACCTTGTGATAACAACTTATTGTCTTGTTATCTTAAATAAGTTTGTTTTCTTGTGATAATGATTTTTTTTGTTATTTCGACATAACAAAGATCATTTTCTCATAACAGAAATGGCGTTTTAGTCGACTGAAGACAGTAGCTTTTAAAAACGCCCTCCAGAGTCAGATATTTCCGAAACACGACAGCCACTGTTGTCAACAGCAAGCCGGGTTTTCATTGAAAATGCTGACTTTACACTCCACATGTGCATTACACTGTCAACGTGGGAACAATTAAGTGCCATGTGCGATAAGACAACAACAGTAACAATGGCGGACACAATTTTAATTAATTAATTATCACAAGAAATCGGTCTTTGTTTTGTCAATAACAAGATAAGTCGTTCATTTCATGACATGCATTTAATTCTCGAACCAAGAGCTGTTTACATTGTTATTGACTCAAAGTCTGTTTTGAAATACAAAATGATGGAATTTAAAATATGTAGTTAAAACTCAAAATAACTTGTATATCGTTACAACCTAATGAAGTTTTGCTATTAATTTGGATTTAAAAATATGATACAACATATTCAGTTTTACTAGAGATCTACCTGCTTTATTTAAACCTAGTATAAAATATTTGCATCAAAAAAGCAAACAACATTGAACCTAAAGCAAAACAACACTTTAGAGAGAATAGTGACCATATTAGTGTGGAAATCATGATCAACTTTGATATAAGTATCAAAAATAATTGAGGTTTTCTTCATTTACAATGATGATGTCGAGATACAATGAAAATAGACCCAAACTACCCAAGACAGTGAGTTTAAGTGGTACCTGACAAAGATTATTAAATAAAAACAAGAGTTTCTACCTTAGAGTTTCCATAGTAAATAATTTCACATATATGGAGCACAAAATCTAAAGGCAGATTCTCCACATGTGGTACTAGTGTCTGATGGTAAGTGGTATGAGTTTGATTGGGTCCAGTAAGTAAACATCTGATGAGGGATCTATAGATTAAAAGATACAAGTGCTTATCATGCCTCTGTGCCAAAGGAGACGAACTTTGTTACAGAACACAATGATGAGTGTCATAAAGATCTTCACTCATAACTGCAAGAGCAGGGTGATAGACTGAGTCAGAGGATTTGAGAAGAGCGGAAAAACAGGACAATACAAGAAAAACTTGAAATTTATTCAATTATGCTTTCATTCAGTCATTCAGTGAAAATAGTTAAAGGACTACAGAGTCAAATCCTTAACACCGTCTATTTGACACCATGAGTGAAGACATGCTGTTGCGACTGGACAGGCGCTGGGTTTGGTCCAGTGGTGCAGACATGGAAGCAGCAGCTCCTGTGGAGGCAGATCTCAAATTGGTCAGAGAGGAGGATCAATAGCAGTGGGAACAGATAGAGAGAATGATGGGCATTCCCAGGCATCTCACTGAAGTAAATTACATTAGAAACTCAGACACTGATTCATCATGAAGAAAGAAGAGGACAGATGAAAATACAGGCAGAGGGAGTTTTTCCAGGACCAGTTAGTTCTTAAACTATGGGCACTTTAAGTTCTAGAAATATAAAGCTAGACTTCACAGACAGTCTGGGAAGTTGACAGAGGAAACTTTTCATTTTAAGGTTAACTATTTCTTTACTGTAACTTAACAAAAAAAAGTGGGAATACTGGATTTTAACAGTTTTCCTCTACGAGCCCAAAGTTTCAATATGAATATATAAAAATGTATATTTTATGAGATGTAAAATAGTGACAATTTATAAAAGGAAAGGGCAAGCACTTTTACTGTGTAAAGTGCAGTGAGTTCATGTATTAATTTAATCTGATAAAATGAATAAAGGCTTTTCAGTGTGAGTCATGTACTGTAAAATAGGCCATGACTTAGATTTGAAATGATATTAGAGTGAAGTGTTTCTGTGCTCCAATTCCTTGACCTAAAGCTCCTCCTGTGGCCAGATCTCTTCAACGCTGGACTTCTTTTTTAGAGCCTGTCTGGCGGCTGATCGTGCTCCTTGTTTTTCTGTACTTTGTCATGTTGGGTCTCCGCCCTGATGTGACAGTGTAAAAGTAGGTGACCAGTGGGTGGCCCTCACGAGAGCTAGCCCCGAGGTCAACCGGTCACTGTCCCTACGAGGCAGCCCTGCCGCGGGTCACCTGCTGCCCGCTTTCCCCTCGTTATTTATGTCTCCCTGACAGACCATTCCTCTTCCTGTCAAAGCCCCTCCTCTTCCATCTCCTCATTTTCTCCTCTCCTCTGCTGAGTTTGGCACCACTCCTCTGATCCTTTCGCCAATAGTGGCTACCCAGGCCAAGGCGTGCTGAGTCGACCCCTTTGCATCACCCTCGTCCGGGTCATGTGACATCCAGCTTCAGGGGCCTCTCTAACGATGGGGGCCGTGGGCACATACGTGAGCGTCCAGAGAGTGTGAGTTGCTCTGGCCGGTCCACCAGAGGGGTAATTACTTCCCCAAGTTGGACTTGGACCTGGACTTTTTGGCCCCTCAAATCTCTGTGGACTGACCAGGACGCAGTACCTCCTTTCATTAGAGGGAGAGGCTTGGAAGAAAAAAAAAACAGAAAAAGTGAAGGCCCTCCTTTGGCTGGTGATAAATTGGTTTTCCTTGCAGACAGGGGGGCAGAGAATGACACTCAGAGGACATGAAGGGGATGAGGAAGTCACAAATACAGTGCAGACGGGGAGGGATTTAACAGATAAAAATATCTCAGCTAAAGGTACAAAGTGAGCTGCTTCGTGGCTGAGCAGGTGCAGTGGCTTGGGGAGCACACATCAAGGACAGAGCCCAAAGTGCTTGCAAGTGATAGGCATTAACATCAATGTAGCACATGGTTATCACAGGAAAATAATTGCTATCATCTTAGCTGGGTTACATCGACATAATTATCCCAAAGCCGGGTCCAGGTTTCTGTACCTTCCTCTACCTCCCACTGATCAGAGCCGGTATAAAGTGACATGGTGAGGAGAAAAAAAGGAGCGATGTGAACATGTAATTAGCAAGTGGTTTCATGTAAGTGCCCTTTGATTTATAATTCAGCACAGAGAGAACCCCCTGCTACCCAAGGCTAGTGCTCCTCTGAATTAGCCCTGCGACTGGGAGAGGCTGCTGCAAAGGGGAGGAGGGTGGGAGGGGGGGCCCCACTAATTTGTGCTCTGTTTGAGGTGGGTTTAAAAAGGAAAGAAGACGTGAGGTCCATACCTGTACCTGCCCGGCATCAGATCATAAAATATGGCATTGACGGTGAACTGTTATGTAGAAATCTTTCACTCTGATAAGACGAAATGATGGTCAAAGTTTGAAGTGACTTTGCAGCTGAACTTTAGAGAGAAAAGTTTGATATGATGAAAGCTGCTCATTTGCAATAAGATTCAGTAATAAAGTCCATGGTGGCATTAGATCTGTTTGCAAATGGCAACTTACAAAGTTACAGTTTCCAAGCCCAAACTGCGTATGAGGTGATTTTCTTTGGGAATTGAGCAACATTATTTCTCCTCTTACTAAATCTTTGATGCAGGAAGCTTTTCTGTCAGCAGTGGCCTCATTTTTCCTCGCCTCAGTTTGGTACATACTGGATTCTCTTTGGTTCCCCATGGGTCCCATGATCCCCTGATCATCCCATATTCTGACGCCCTTATAAAGCTAATGTGCTGATTTTACGTTTTCAACCTGCCATGATCCCGCACAATCCCCTCTGTTCCCCCTGGTTCTGCTTTTGCACTCAAGTGAGGATCCGCTGCCGCTTTGATCACAGTCCCCCGTTAAAGGTTTAAAACGTCTCAATTCCTGACGATTGTTGGGGCCTCTGCGGTTTACTTTAAGCATTTCCCCATGCCCCCTGTCCAAATTCACCACTCCTAAATGAGGTACCCTCTCTCCCAGCTTCCCATCCCGGCGCTGCTTTCAAGTTCCGCCGATTGGGTGCCGCAGCTGTAAGCCCTAGATTTTGTCTCCTCCATCTTTGTCAAGCCCATTTGCCAAATACAAAAAAGACCCAATAAGCTAGGTCTTCATTGCTGCTCTCCAAAGTAATCCCCAGATCTCCCACTCTCTTGAAAATCAATGCAAAGGTTGAGATGAGGTGAAACTCCCTTCTTAACTCATCTTGCCGGGAAGTGATAAAGTCTTAGGAGCACTTTTTTGTAATCATTGTGGCTTCATGATGAAACTAATTGTCCTATTTCGTGCAGCCTCACAGCTTTTCAAGATGTCCTTTAACAACACCTTTAGAGCGCTGTATAAGTGAGGAAGATGGCAGTGCTGTGCTGATAGTAGTTAGATAAGTTAGCATATTTAAAGAACTGTAAGCAGCTTTTCACAAAGAAGCAAAAAAATTAACAAAGAACAACTGAGGCAAGTGTGATTGTGTGATGGAAAATGGAAGACAACTAACCTTCCGGGTAACAGTACAGCAATGGCTCCACAGCTGTCAAACATGAGGACAAACTCTATCACATAAAGAACATTTCTGGGTCACTTTGGCTGTAAGATATTCAACTTTCATCTCCAGGTGCTCATGTATTCTGGCTCTGTGCCATTTCACACAGGGCAGCTATCATACAGTTGGCTTGTGAGAACTTATTTTCTGGAACTGGTTCCCACCATTTTATATGGAGGGTTTAGAGAAAGCCTTTGGAAACAGAGCACACACTTAAAGCATAACTGAAACTTAAATGGATCTATCCAGGACACACTTCTGTTTTATCAACCTTCAGTCACAATGTTTGAACTTTATCAATAATTTAGACAGAGTAACAGGCCTGAAAAACAATCATCATATATATACACCTATTATGACTTCTTTAGTCATCGCTTAGTGTTCAGTACTTAAAGGGATATTTCGGCATAAATGAGTTAGGGTCAAACACTCTAAGTAAGGGTTAGGGTTAGGGGTTTAGGGGTTAGTGTTAGGGTTGGGGCTAGGGTTAGGGTTGGGCTAGGGTTAGGGTTAAGGCTAGGGTAAGGGCTAGGGTTAAGGTTGAGGCTAGGGTTAGGGTTGGGTCTAGGGTTAGGGTTAAAGTTAGGGTTAGGGTTGGGGCTAGGGTTAGGGTTGAGGCTAGGGTTAGGGTTGAGGCTAGGGTTAGGGCCAGGGTTAGGGTTGGGGCTAGGGTGAGGGTTGAGGCTAGGGTTAGGGTTGAGGCTAGGGTTAGGGCTAGGGTTAGGGGTTAGGGTTCGTTGCTAGGGTTGGGGTTAGGTTTAGGGGTTTGGGTTAGGGTGAGACACCCCCTTGAAAGATGAATATTGACAATTGTTTGGGTTAGGGTTAGGGTTAGGATTAGAGCTAGGGTTAAAGATAGAGTTAGGGATAGGGTTGAGGGTTAGGGTAAGGGTTAGGGTTGGGACTAGTGTTAGGGTTAGAGGTAGGGTTAGGGTTTTGGCTAGGGTTAGGGTTGAGACTAGGGTTAGAGTTGGGGCTAGGGTTAGGGTTGAGTCTAGGGTTAGGGGTTAGGGTTTGGGGCTAGGGTTGGGGTTCGGTTTAGGGTTAGGGTGACACACCCCCTCGAGAGATGAATATTGCCAATTGTTTGGGATAGGGTTAGGATTAGGATTAGGGGGTTAAGGTCAGGGTTAGACACCCCCTCGAGAGACGAATTCTGCTGACTGCTTACTTCTCTAGTTATACCAACTTTAGTAACGACTGCACGATAGCAAAAAATGATACCTAAACGAAAATTGATCCTGATATTAAGCCAGCTAATGTTGAAAACTTTCTATCGTGCAAATCAAAACTATACATCAGTATATTTTTGTTTATTTGTGTCATGGTCCTGTCTACTTGATAAGTTTCGATCCTGACTCCACACTCCTTTTACTTCTTTTTTGCCCATAAAACCCCTGAGAGAAAGATACTGTGTTGATGATGCATGATGCTTAGAAGCCACACATTTTAGTTAAGAAACTGTGGTTCATTGGCTTTAGAAAAGTTTTTGTCAGTGTAGCTGAAAATAGCGACATAAAATTGTAAACTTAAACTATTTTATACAAATGCCACAGATTTTTCGCAGAGCTGCAACTACAATTTAAATGTTTGTCTCTGTAAGTGTTTAAATTATTTTAAGCAAACAATATGTTTTACTGTTGTTAATATGGAAATATAACTGTTTAACACCACCTAAGACGAAACAGCTAACTGGTTGTGCTCCAGCCATCCAAACTGCATGGAGGAGGTCTAGTTGAAAAAGAGGGCTAGTGCTAGGACAGCAGTAAATCTGCCAGCCAGCTTTGGCTAATGTCAGCCTGATAGAGGCTCCCAACCAGTGGGGTGGGATGTTCTGCTACAACCCTCTGCCCTATGGTCTACCTTCATAATTAATATGTTGTTGTATCAAAGTTGAAGCATTTGCCTCTGAAATGTCCCGTGCCCGGCCCCCTTATTAAAGACCTGACCTCCAAGCAGCTGAAGGTTGCTCTGCAAACTTGGCACGCCCCTGAGTGAAAACATCTGCTTTCCTCACAGGCAGGACCGCCATGGACCCAACGCCTCAGCTGGTTCCCACAGCTCAGAGAGAGAGCCCTTCCCCTGTCCTCACGCACTGACCCCCACATTTATAACCCCTCGCCCCCATCTCCATCGCCGCTGAGACCATCCCCAAGCCTTGGGCTCAGGCCTGAACCTCTCCATCACCTTAGCCTCTCCCCCTGTCCACATGTAGTACTGTGCCAGTGTGGTCACTTTACTGCTGAGAGGACTGCTCCTGTCTTGTTATCCCCTCATCACAGTCTGTCGAAAAGAAGGGGGGAGGGCAGGTGTGGAGGGAGGAGGAGGAGGAAGGAGTGGGGAGGAGTAGGCATCTGCGCTGCTCCCACAAAGTGGTGACTGTTGGAACGCTGACAGAAGCATCTGTCATCCCCTGCCTTCACACACTCACCTGCTGTCCAAGGGCCCGACTCCTTCTATCTTCTTTCTTTGCTCTCTCGCTTTCTCCTCTTGTCCTGCCCCCTTTCCTTTGTGATACAGTGTGTGAAGCTCTTGGATGCCTCCTTTTGAAATACAACTAACTGTACATTATCTCACCCTGAGTGGATGAACATGGAGACTTGTTTTTTAACTTAAAAGTTGTATTATTTTTTGCACATAACTTATCTAAAACAAGAAATTTTAGCCAACACAATAAAGCAAAGCCCTACACTAAAATCGCCAGCAAAGCGTTGCATCTGAACAGCATCTTTGCAGAATCACATGACTCTCTCCTTTGCCAAATTCATGCCAAATGAAGCAGTATTTATAAGCAAGTATAGGTACAGCGTTAATGAATGCAATGACCTGTCTTGCGACTACTTTATCATTCTTCAGTGGCACCCCCGTCCATTCCCCTCATATGCTGAAGGGTTGCCAGCAGTAAGGGGGAAAGATGCCAATCCATGTGTATGACACACATAAAGAAACACACACACACTCAAGGACACCATCACTCATTCAAGTCCAGAGAAGGTGCCCTTCAGATGATGCCTTACGGACGAGTAAAAGTGCAAAATCAATGATTCTGCACAGAATTTGAAGCAGAAAACAGTCATACTTTCAGGTTTTCAGCTCTATTAGTGGTTTGACTGGGAAACAGCAGTTTGGGTTGCTGTGCCAGGACAGTCAACTCCTGAATTATCCTAAGTTGTTTATTCACGTAGACCATGTAAAGTTTTGCCATGTAGAAGTGAGTGTCTCAAGCCAGACATAACAGAATACATGATATAAATGTCATCACCCTGCCCATTTGCTTGAAGCAAATATTCCTGGCTATTACACTCTGCATTCTCAATTTGACCCAACCTGACTTCTTGCAGCAGCCTTAACCAAGACTAGACTCCAGAGGAAGGTACTGTTAAACCCTTTTGCCGCACTGACACCCCCTCTGCATGTCTTCGTTATTTGGTTTTACTCTTTCTTCACTTATGTGTGCATTAATGTTGCTCATAATCATGGCCCATACTCCAAAGGGGAGTATCCAGAATATTAAAAGAGCGTATAAAAAAGGTGAAACTGCCACAGTGACATTCCCCAGACAAGAGAAAGTCATGTGACATTAAACATACTTGATCAAGTACTGAAAGTTGACAAGCTGCCAGTACTGCTGTCATATCTCTCCATGACATCAACAGATTTCAAGGTAAGCTGTTGCAGAAAGTGTATATGTTCTTCGCTTTTTTAACAGCCATGACAAACTGAAATTGTTGCTATCTTTGTATTGCAGTGGTCTCTGGAGAAGTGGATTAGGATCTTGGGGATGCTAGGGATTTAGATTATGCTCAATGAGCTGCATAGAGATGTTGTAGATTCAGGGACTTTACCTGACTCTTTTTGAAGGGTTTGGGTAGATTATGACTACATTTTTAAGGCACACATTCCTCCCTGGATTCGAACAAGTACAGTTTATTTATAATTTGTACGGTCCTATCTATCTACACAAGTCGAAAATATTTTCAAAACACAACATTAAGAAGTTCTGATTTGACAATATTAACCAGTTAAAAATATAAATTCAACAAAATACGCTTGTTCTTAAGTGTTAGTATGACACAACAATTGAAATAATGGGCATAAAAGTACCTAGGAATGATTGCTAATAAAGTAATCAATAATATGGAATCATAACACTAAGGCAAGACTTGGGAAGGCTCAACATCTTTTCTTTTCAATGTACATTTTTTATTGTTGCTGCCACCGTAACTAACTTGATTTATAAGAGATTTATTGGGTGTACCAACTAGCTCTATACATCTCATACAGTGGGAATCTGTATGATACGGGAATAAACTGGACATAAAGTTAAAGTAGGACAGAAAACTGGGAGAAAAATGCTTAAAATGTGGTTGCAAAAGTAACTTGATGATCAGATTACAAAGCAATTAATGAAACTTTATGGCCATCATAGAACTCAAATGGAATAGACCTTAACATTCAAATAAAGACAATTTAGAGATAGAATAAAGGGACCGTCTAAAGTGTTTCACATGTCTCTGTTGTAGTTTTCAATGTACTAGTGTACTTTTTAATAATCTAGAGTTTTATGCAGACTTTGGCCACAAATTTTCTTTGACTATTATGATTACACGTCCTTCCAAAAGTTACTTGGAGTGGAAGTAAAAAGACTGATATATAGTATGAAGTAGCACACAACTGGAAATATTCAAGTGAGGAAGATGTACCTCATGATTCGTCAATATGTGTTTTCTTGGATAGTTTGCTCATACAGCTGATTAATGGAGTTTCTTTAACTGAATCCAATCATGACAGAATAGTGCATTCACTGGGTCACCTGGCATTTGCACTAACATCAATTACTGCAGACTTAAACTTAATGTTGTAATCTGACTTTGGCTCCTTTTCTAAGTTGTCTTGAGAGCGTCACTAAAGTATTGGGGGGGTTGTGTGTGTGTGTGAATGACCCCAGTCATGTAGTTTCTCCCAGCTCGTGAGTGAGGACGCAGCAAAGAGAAGAGGCAGGTTAACAAATGAGTGAGGAAGGGTAGATGGACTTAGTGGCCCTCGGAGACAGAGTGGGCTGGGATAGTATGCCAACACCTCGTCTGCCAGGGTGAAGGATACACACTCAGTCACTCACTCACACACACATACACACACACATACTCACATACACATTGTCATATCTCTGTAGCTCTATCCCTGGCCTGTGTTACAGCCGTATGTCTGAGCAGGAACCCCACTATGCTGGCTGGGGTCCAACACCAAGGTCTCTCACCTGGCAGGCTTGGTAGGGGGGCCGGGTAGCTCCTGTGAGTTATTCCTGGACCAGGACCCCGTAGTTCCACCTCTCTCATCTCCTTTTGTCTCTTCCTCTCTCCTCTGGCCCAGCCTGGCCTCCTCTTCTCCCTTATCCCCCTCTGTGGGACCCTGTGGCTGATGAGCCTGTCCTTCAACTATCAGCGTCTTCTGTTAGCTTTGACACACACACACACACACACACACACACACACACACACACACACACACACACACACACACACACACACACACACACACACATTTATGTAAGCTTGGTTGAGAGTCTGTGTGGCCATAAAAGATGAGGTCACCTTCATAAACTTGCACTATCTGCAGTTTTTTTTTTCTTTATAACACTCCATGGCTCTGTGACTAACTTTTTTAAGTTTCCATTTTATTTTTATTTTCCCCATAGACATTTAATTTAACTAAAAAAGCAGATAACCAGCTTTTTTGAAAACTGAGAAGGTAAATAATTATCTCTCTCCTTTCTTGCTCTCTTTTTCATGCTTTTTATACATGAAATTTTACTGCCTTCTACGTTTTACATTGCTACTAATTGAAAACTTTTGGGTTAATGGTAGTTTGAGCCATTTTAAAATGAAATTATACGACAAAGTTGAACAAAAACACAAAAAAATTAGAATAAAAATATGAAAATAAAGTGTTTAAATGAACCGAACTTGGAGGGGGACAGAGCCTTCTCCACTGCCGCCCCCACCCTCAGGAATTTACTCCCCAAACCCATCCGAGACTGTACAGACCCCCATACTTTCAAATCACTCCTAAAGACACACCTTTTAAATTGGCTTTTAACTTGTGAACTGTTCTTTAATTGTCTTTTCATATTGTGTCTTTTTTAACCTTTTGCATCGTTGGTTTTATTTCTCAAATTTTCTGTATTTATTTTATTGTTTTTCTTTGTTAGGCGTCTTTGAGTACCTGTAAAAGCCCGTTATAAATAAAATTTATTATTATTATTATTAATATTCAGATAATAATAATTGAGGATAATTGAAAGAAAGATTTTACTGGTACAATACAAATACAGTGTAGGTAACATAAGAATAAAAATTCCCTTTCCAGATCAAATTTTTTAAAGCTTTTGTTGTTAGATAAGTTTTTCACTGTAGCCTTCAACACACAAATGACCATTGTGAAAAAATACACTGAATTCATCCTGCTTTCACTGCCTGTGTTATACTTAATCTTGCCACTAGAGTTCACTGTGGGACAATCAAATGAAGTCAGGTTAGAGACACAAGATCAATTAATGGCGATAGCCTGTTAGTGATAAATGTGTAAACCTACCTTAGAGAAAGAGTATATTTATCAGGCTTTTTAAAGACTTATGAATGATTAGATATTTTTGATGATTAATGGAGAAAGATTCAAGTTTAACAAAATAAAGAACATTTATTTTTTATTTTGTCCTTGTCATAAAAACACACAAACAAACCTGGAACCACTCTAAATAAACCTGGGGTACTCATGCTCTCCTAAATGTTTGCATCAGTCTCTGCGTGACAGCCTCAGCATCAGTACCAGGAACGCATATGGTAGATGTAGTTACCACTAAGACGTCCCACTCTGATCCAATTTTCAGGCATCAGGAACAGACGACCACCAATACAATAAACCGACACAACAAACCAATCCTACAGTTATTCAGTCGCACAGTTTTCGCAGATACACTGCCACTGTTATGAAATACCACAACTTATTGCAAGTAATTAGCGCAGTCGTTTGTAAATGAAAATAACGGTACTAATGCGCATGCGTGGAAGTCGACGCCCACTTTTTTCACCACATCCCATAAGTCAAATGGCTATCTAAACGATCTTTGTACCGCGAAGATGCTCAGCGCGGTTACTGTGCTAAAACCTTCCTCGTTATCAAGGTAAAATCCACGTCGTGACTTCCAAAGTACAAAGTATGTTCCACTGTGTCTTTGTGTTTTTGTTTCCTTTGAAAAAGAAGAAAAAAAGGAGAATAAAAAACCGCATATAGCAACAAATAATGCCCCCTGACTCACCCGTCCTGGCATGTAATGGTACAGTCCACCGACGTCCTGCGCGGGAGCGGAAAACGTGTATCCGTCTGTGTTTTCCTGGTGAAAATTTGAGCCTCGACAACAGTAATACTGAGTACAAGGAGTATCTCAACTCTCACAGAAAGGTCGAAACGAGGTAAAGGTCAGCCAGGTCTGAGTTGTTGTACTTTGGGTTGCACGAAAAAAAGCTACATGCTAGTTAGCAGTGTGTTTGTGGATGAAGCTTCAGGTCTCATCTTGTTCACGCATGTTCACGCAGCTTTAAGAAGAATCTGTGAGGTTAGCAGGAGTGTATTCAGTGTTTGAGTATTGTGCAATGTCATGTGTGTCGGACTGGAAGTGACTGTCATGTTTGAATGAAGCTCAAACTTCAGAGGCTGTTGGTTGTTAGGGGGAGGGGCACGTGTTTTTATCACGTCCATGCAGCTGCATCTCAACAAGAGTATGAAGAAAAGCCGTGCACGATAAATTCAAGATTTTGGTTCAATTTTCCTTTTACAGCTTGATCATACGTCCAGCATGGCTCGAGATTGGAAACCTGGTGATCTAATCTTTGCAAAGATGAAGGGATATCCACACTGGCCTGCAAGAGTAAGTATTACCTTCTATAGTAGACACAGGTGTCAAACTCAAGGCCCAGGGGCCAAATCTGGCCCGTGGAACATATTTCCTCCAGTATAATAATGTAAACTTTAGCACCATTATTTGAAATGTCCCTAATAAGCCACGAAAATCTGGGAAGTTAAAGAGTAAGAAAGATTTGATAAATAGTCAAGAATGTGGGGAAAAATATTTGTTTTATTTCATGTTTTCAATTTTGCATTTTAAGGTAACAAGTCAAACATGATTGGATTTTTTATTTAATGCTTTGATTTTGTTCAACTCACTATTTAGATTAATTTCATTTTTATACTTTAGATTCCAGTTTTAAATTTTAAGTCATATTTTGACCTTTAAATCTGATTTCAATGTTCTCCTCATGTATTTGCTCTTTAAAAGCATTATTGTACTATTTTTAATATCATGCTCTGATCTTTTGAACTAGTAAATAAAAATAGAATAAAAGATTAAATTTTTTCTATCTTTTTATTATATCTGAATTTCCAAATGATTTATAGTCTTTGCTATTTTTGTTACATATTTTTTGAAAAGGAGGTTGACAGTTTTGGTGAAACGTTGACCCTCTTTAGCCCTCAGGTTAGACCTAAATCCAGATTATGGCCCTTGCTGTGGTTGAGTTTGATACCCCTGGTATATAGAGTTAAAAAATAATCATGAAATAAGGCTTTCTTCACGTCAAGTTTCAAGTATAAACACCCACCATCTAAAAGACAGATATAAAATCATAACCACCTTTGCATTTTTTTTTTAGATGTAGAAAAAAAAAAATCCATGACCTGCTCTGTGATGCGGCATGGTAACGTGCACATAAGAAAGCGGTCAAGATGCCAAAAAACCTTTAAATAATATTTAAGTAAGCAAAAAAGTAAAGACATTCTTTAGCTTTTAGTTGCTGTTACAGTTTCAGCTCTGAATATATTTTTCCAATTCCTTTACCAGATCGATGAAGTCCCTGATGGAGCTGTTAAACCATCCAATATCAAGTTCCCCATCTTCTTCTTTGGTACCCATGAAACGTAAGTTACCTGCTGTGTATCCTCTTTTGTTTTTCCAACTGTTAAATGGTAAATGTAAATCAATCAGGTAAAACTGATGCACAGAAATGTGGTTACTTATGTACTGGCTTGAAGCTGTCTGAAAGATGACCCTGGTCAGGTGCCGTCCATGTCAAAGCTTACAGGTAGTGATACAATATGTGTAAAAGAGATGTAATGCTAATATACTGATCTTAAAAATCATCCAAAGATGTAAATTGCTTCAATGAAAGAATATTTATCCATTTTTGTCTGTTTAGCCTTTTTGCAGCTTATTTTTAAACTCTGCGCTGTGTTTTAAGTGTTAACTTTCAGTACATGAATATTAGATGAGCAGTTGAATAGAGTTACCTGTCTTTCCAGTCCTGTAATCACACACTGCATATTTAATGCTTCACCAAGTAATTAGTGGACAAATGTTGTCCTTTTCTTTTCCACACAGAGCCTTTCTAGGCCCAAAAGACATCTTTCCATACCTGCAGAACAAAGAGAAGTATGCAAAGCCCAACAAGAGGAAAGGGTTCAATGAAGGGCTGTGGGAGATCGAAAACAATCCAAAAGTTGAGCTCACTGCACCAAAGGTACAACGTCCCCTTCACTCCCCCTATATGTATTTTATATTTTCACTAGGAAATAAAATCTGTCATAGATTTAAGGTTTTTAAAATTTTTGATATTTTGTTTTTATGTGTCATTTGTTTGTTTCTTTATTTGAAGCCGGTCCCTCCTGCATCTTTCACTGAAAAGGATTCAGACAGCGGTCCAGAGGGAGAGGAGGAAGCAGACAACAAGGGGGTTAAATCCAAAGTAAGTGTGTGCTCTTCAAATCTGTAAGTAAATCTCAGTTGCTTTACTGCATTGAAATGTGACTGGTTTGTCCCCGTGTTGTGAGCTTCCTCTTCTTTTGCTACTTTTCTTCTAATCCTTCTCTAATGTGTGTCTTCTGCATTAATCTACATACTCATGAAGGCAGTAGTTAAACCAAATAACCATGTCATAGCGTTTCATAGATTGATCGGCTTGTATGCTAAGAGTAGTACATGGAACACAGGGATACTGGTTAACTTTTCTCCCCTCAAGACTCGTTGACTCCCACCACACTGCGTCCTATGCTGTGTCTTGGGTACATTCAGGTTCCAGGAAGTGAGACTGAGCAGGAGAATGAGAAAGGGCAGGAGGTGGAGGAGGATGAGGAGGAGGAGGAGGAGGAGGAAGGGTCTCTGAGCACTGAGCAGGGTCCTCAGAACCAGGATGTACGTACTTTTGCATGTTGGGATCCCCTAAAGCTTCCCCTTCCCGTGGGAAAGCATGTGACACTGTGATTTTTTTGATGGATGGTCTGTTTCTGTCAAATCAAAAAAACTTGTGTTAATGAGAGCACCTTGTCTGGGTTTGCTGTAATGAGGACACAAAGGTGAAAACTGATTTAAGAATCAAACTGACCCTGTTTCATCACTTGAGGTTGAGACGATCACATTGGGGAGCACTTAGGTCTCTGATTTGGGAACATAACTTACTTAAATAATCTGAAAGTGTGTTTTCTGTTTCTCCTCCCTCACTACTCACATTTCATGTGTCTGTTTCCTGCTTTTCACACTTTTACCAAACCACTGTTTACAATCAGTTGATGTGACTTTATTTTTGCATGGCTGTCTGTATGCTTTGGAGAAAGGTAAGTCGTGACCCGCTGTGTGTCTGTGTGTACTTGTCTGAGGGTTAGAATATTTTATGAAGCATTTCTGCTGCTGTTTCTGTGATATAAAACAGACTCTGCAAACTTAGTTTCATCCAATGTGGCCTGCTGGTATAACAACAAGGCATGTGTGCGTTTATTAGACTTACAGCGAAACATCACCCTCACAACACTAGAATTTCATATCAGTAAAACAAATAACTTCAATATTTGTAACTGTTAGGGTCTACTATTTGGGTGTTAACAAGCGCAGACTTTAGATGGTGTCTCTTAGAGTTGCGAGGTGTACAGTATTTTAATCCCAGTTGTACGTCGGCTGTCCCGAGAGAAAATGGAATAGATCCATTTGTTTGGAGCAAAGAGACAGCAGCACAGACATGAAGACACTTCCTCCTTCATTGAACTTTTATTTTACTTCAATGTTTAACAGTAGAATAGATAAAGAAGTAGTTAACTGCAGTACTTATTTTACATTAACTGTAAATGAGGATTGAGCAGTTTCCGAAACAGTAAAACATCATTTTAGTTTTTTTGATTAAATTCAAAAATGCAACTTTTGTGATTCCTGCTCAGCTAAAGCCGAATATCCTTGTATTGGCATGTTAATATGTAACAGAGGATATTGTGTATACAAAGCACAGATGGTTAAAAATCTTAGACACTGGCTTTTTAATTTTAACTCAGTATAATATCATAAATATCCACTAGATGGTGCTGTTGATCAATACAAATTTCAAAGAGAGTAATAGAATCATCCAATATGGACTGACTATACGAAGAGATGTCCACTTGTATAGGCTACCTGCTTGGAGAACTTCTTTCTAATATGTGACGATATAATATCCAGTTTGCATTGGTTTATGTTTTTTGATTAACTAAAGGTTTCGCATTTTAGGGCCCGACTCAGAAAGAACCCACAGATGTTCCTAAACCCAAGAGAGGAAGAAAGAAAAAGGTCAGTGGACTTAAATGTCCTTTTAAACTTTAACCAAGTCCTTCATTTAGAATGATATAAATATAAAGAAAACTGTGTGTTTGATTCAGATTTTGTGCTTGTTTTCTAGAGTGAAGCCGATCAGGAGACTGAGAAAGAGGATGTTCCCGCTAGTCCTGCTAGTCCCACAGGTAAGAACTGAAAGTTGAGGCTCGTTCATCTGACTACTATGTGAAGGTGAAGAGACAGGTACTGATAAACTTGAGATTGATGTAAACATGAACAATGAATAAAAGCGAATCGTGATCATAAAGCTCTGAGGAGCAGAAACAGCTGTGAGTAAAAATCTGTAGCGGTCTCTCTTCCTGAACAAAGTGTGCTGATCGGGTTTCTGTGTATGGTGTGGTTTTGTGTCTTTGTGATCAGGTGCAGAAGTCCCTAAAAAAAGAGGCAGGAAGCCGAAGAGTGAGAAGATGCTTTTGCTCCAGCAGCAGGAACAGCAAGGCTCAGGAAGTGAAATGTAACTTGAACAAAACAAACACACAACATCAATAGTTTCAATTCAAAAATTTCACTCATAAAATTCAAGATGCAGCGAACAACTAAACGTCTCATATACTTGTTCCTATAAAAAGCTGCCATTAAAATGAAGTTTAACTGATTCTTAACCTTTTCCTTTATACTTCAGTGTGCAGAGATACGTAGTCTTGACTTTTCTTGGACTTAAATAGACTTTCCTTCTTACCTTTAGGGACACTGCTGAATCAGACAGAAAGAGAAAGAGGGCAACAGAGGACAAGACAAAGAGCGCCGAAGAGGAGAAGAGAAAGAAGGAGGAGAGCAAAGGAAAGGATGCAGAAGGGAAGGAGCCTGAAGCCAAGAAGAAGAAGCAGTCCAAGGATGAGGGCGCATCGGGTTCTGACGATGAAGAGGTATGCCATGTGTTACCTCAGAGAGTTCGAGTGGAGTTGGTCGATGTGAAAAACTTCCTTTGGTTCTGTAAAAACTTGAGCTTTCTGTTTGATACTTTCATGTAAATCATTTCTTATAGAAAAACAAGGGCAGGAAAAAAAACCAAAACTCAGAAACGGACAAAGATGTGCGGCGGAGGAAAGCAGATGAACAGAGAGAGTATGTATTCTGTACAAATCCTGGAACATCATATAACGTTCCCATAATTTTCATTCCTGGTTTGACATCCAGACTGAAACCAGGGACCATTAAATATCTTATTATTTTACCCAAAAAACCTCGAGTTCAAGAGAGAGTGACAATTCAGTTTTACTTAAAATATTACTTAAACGTTAAATGAATGACACGAATAAATTAAGTTCAGTCACATGGAGATTGAAAAGATTTCTTACATCATGTTGTTATTTTGTTTTGCAGGACAAACAAGGATGATGGGAAGAAAAGTGAAGAGAGGACAGGAGTTAAGAAAAAGGGTGAGAGCTTCAGGTCAAAGACGAGCATGAAAATGGCCATCAGTAAACTTCTGAGATTAACATCCAAACAAGAATAGAGATTTTTGATAATAAGAAAATGTTATGAGCAAGTAGATATTGTCCAGTTTACACCTGATTGGATTTGTGTTGGAAATGGTTACACAGGATAAAGCATGGGCATGTTTCCTTTTCCACAGAGATATCAACAGACTCCAAACTCCAGAAACTGCACAGTGAAATCAAGATTTCACTGAAAATTGACAACCCTGTAAGTTTAATTCACCACTCTATTTATCAGTGCATCATAGCTGCTGTATAGCTACAGTTTATCTCCTTCCACTGACAGCTCTGTAAATCCATTCATCTTCCTCTTGACGGCCTGAGCTCACAAATCCTGGTACAGAGTGTGCTCACTGTCGTTGATCTACCTCATGTTGTTTGTTACACAGTGTTGACCACCAAAGAAAGTTCCAGGACACACATGTGTGTGTACCACTCTTAAGAGTAAATTTCTTCTTGTCAACCAAAGAAAAATGGTTGACACTGTTGCTAAGCTCGATAGTTGACTCCACTCAAGTCTTTTTGTCCCAGATATTTCTTCTAGGTTGGACAAACTTGACAGAAAGACACACTGTGATGCCAGTTCGATTCAGCTGCTAACTGTGTTGTAAATTATGTTAAGTGTATGTGGGTCAGGCCTTATAGCTTCATGAAGCATACAGTAATCAGTGCAGTATATAATAAGAGGACTCATTATGTGTTATGAACAAGATGAACAGCCATGAAATCAGGCCAAGTCACTTCAGTAAAACCTAGAACAGGAGACAGCCACACATTCACAACTTTGAAGACACATGATGGTAAGGTCGTCAGTGAGCTTGCTCCTGCACTGCCGGGTAAGTGAGCCCTTTTCCTTTGTCTAAGACTCCAGTACACACTTCTGGCGTCCCAACAGCCCAACATCCATCCTGTACTTTCTGGTTTTATCTTTTTAAACCATGTACTCTTCAGTCAAAGTGTAATAACTAATTAACCTATCAAAAAAAAGATCCTCAGATACATGTCTATGACTTCTGATAGAAGTAAGACTTCGACGTCAATCATTCAGACTTTATTTGCATAGCGCTTTTCATACAAAGAGATGGAGCACAAATGGCTTTACATGAACAGAAAATCATTAAAATCATTCTGAACCCTGAATTATTAAAGTTCTAAGGCAAGCAGGCAAGTAAAAAAAGAAACAAAATGATAATGATGAAAAATACATACAGTATATACTAAATACATATATAATACATGTATGCATATATATATATATATATATATATATATATATATATATATATATATATATATATATATATATATACCAATAAACTAATATAAATGAATATATACGTGTGTTGACACAATAAAAATAAATAAAATTTAAACAGCACACTATAGACAGCGTTGATAGACTAACAAAACACTAAAATCTAAATAATGATTAACACATAACCATAAAAAGAATACTAGATTGGAGAATAAAACACTTAAGGACAAAACATTAGAAAGTCAGACAAAAATAATGAAACTGAATAAGAAGAGGATTAAGATCAGTATAAAATGTTAAAACTCGGATAAGTATTCAAATATGTAAATAGTAAACTCAGTTAAAAGCTAAACTAAACAGGTAGGTTTTAAGTTTGGAATAAAAAAGATGGAGACTGTGCCGTCTTCAGGTCGGCTTTTCCACAGACCACTGCGACCACGACCTGAAGACTTGAGGGATCTCACAGGCTGATGATGAAAACAAATCTGATAAATAAATTAGTGCGAGACCTTTAAGAGCTTAAAAAACCAATGAAAGAACCTTTAAAATCAATTCTTAAAGATACTGGAAGCCAATGCAGAGACTCTAAAATGATTTGTAATGTGGGCTTTCTTTCTAGTCTTTGTCAGCATCCTTGCAGCTGGATTACATGGATTGAAAGACAGTGTTTGGAGATTTTGCTCTGTTTCTTCTGCCCCACATTTAGGATGTGAAGAAGTGCTTGGATGCTTTAGACGAGATCGGCGCCCTTCAAGTTACAACCCAGCACCTGCACAAACACAGTGAACTCATTGCCACGCTCAGAAAGGTAAACTCACTCATTCAAGTTTCATTCAAAGCAGCTGTGAGCCGAGACTGAATATATAAGACTGCAGATACAGGCAGCTGGAATGAGTTTCCTCTGAGGGGTGTCTGATCTCAGCCTCACAGAGAAGGTCAGCAGGCTCAGATGTTGAGAGAGAGCTCATTACCCCTTTGCATCGAAAGAGCCAGTTGAGATGGTCAGGGCATCTGATTCGGATGCCTCCAGGACGCCTCTTTTTAGAGGTTTTTCAGGTGCAATCAGCTGGGAAGAGGCCTTAGGGGGTACCCAGAGCTTGCTGAAGGGATTTCATATCCCATTCGGCCTGGGAACACCTCTGAATTAACCTCTGGAGAAAGTAGAAAACACTGATGGGAAGAAGGATGCCTGGGTTGACCTGCTGCTACTGCCCTGCGACCCAACCCTTGATGAGTGGGACTGGATGGATGGATGGATGGATGAAACTACATCAGAATGTGTCTCTAAATGTGTGAATTTGTTTCCTGCACACCCTAGATTCGCAGGTTCAAAGCCAGCCAGGACATCATGGACAAGGCCACCATGCTGTATAACAAGTTCAAGAGTATGTTCCTGGTCGGGGAGGGAGACTGTGTGCTCAGTCAGGTGCTCAACAAGTCCTTAGCTGAGCAGCGGCAGCATGAGGAGGCCAAGAAAGGAGCCCTGAAGAAAGTGGAACAAGCCAAGGAAAACAACCCAGGTACTATTTATCAGAAGATTTTCAACTTGAAACCCCACATAACACCAACTGATATGAGAAAACAGTCTAGAAACATGACCCAGGACATACTGTCGTTTTTAAATAGGCATGCCAGAAATAAATGTAGGCACTGTTTTTTTCACAGGAAAAATAAGAGCGGACAAAAACACGCTGTAGTCCAATAACAAAGTGTACATGTTTTGCACTTGGCTTCCTATAAATGAGTTATTCTGAAGATGCCACAGTGGTTTTATGCTACATCCTCTGTGGACGTTTAAGGGTAACTGTGACCAGGAAGACTAAATTGACCGGGTTCAAAATGTGAGATGAGGTGAGGGGAGCTACAGCCTGTGACAAATGAGGCTGTGATGAGACTACATTTCTGTTCTGTGTACAAATGAGATTTGAATAATATTCTGTACGAAATATATTTACATTTTCTATTTGACTTCTGATCCTAAAAATAGTTTTCTACACAGGAGTGATTAATGTCAAATATTCTTGACATTGTGTGCCAACACTGCTTTGAGTAATTGCGTTAAATTTCCTGTCCTCTGCGGTTATCCTCTTGCTCTTCCGTTCATTACAAAAGTTTGTTTATCAACTTTGTCAAACTCTTAATTCTGCTAAATCGTTCACAGAAATCTACATTCTGTCGTTTCATAATAGTAGAGACAGCTTCTGTGAATAAAAAAACGGCCTCTCTGGAAACAGTCATGATTACAGTCAGGGCGACTGTATCTAATCATAGAAATTCACAGAGGACAATTTGGGAAGTCTGACGCCACTCCATTCACATATCGAGCAGTCAAAGAGCCTGCTGGCAGCGTTGCAAAAGAAGCTGAAAGACACTTAGTCCCCAATGACAGAAACCAACGAAAACCTGGAGAAAAAAAAAAAAAAACCAACAATCCAGGAAACGACACAGTTCAAAAAGACAGTTATACAACAGGGAGATGATTCAAGCCTCACTGTAAACTTTTGTCTCTTCAATAGAAATGATCAAACAGCCATGTCGACTCACTTTGAAGTCTGTAAAGAATCAAGCAGCGTCAATCTACTGCATCACTAAAGGATAGCCGCAACATGCGCTCAATGAGCAGCCATGATGTCATCACAGATAAAGAGATTTTTCATCCGACATGCAGTTAATTCTTGACTCGTCCCGGAAGTTTCAAAGCGTCGAGGAATGTTAAAGGGTGAAGTTTAAATCTGTTGCCTTCAGCTTTATTTTGTACGTCATCTTCACACACCACTACAAATCTTTTTAAGAGGTTAAATTCGTAACATTACGTAACTCGGGGTCTTAAAAGGAGTAAGCAGAGTAAGCACAGGGTCAACCATACACTACAGTTCACTGGCAGGTGTCCTTAACAAGTCGGTTTGGTAACAAAACTGTATTTAGTCAGTAAGTGCTCACAAAAAGTACAGAAGTCAAAAAACAAGACCAACAGCAGAGACCATAATTCAGTCCACATCTCTGTGCTCTAACTTTTAAAAACTAAGAACGAAGAAGAAAGAAAATGAAGATCTGTTGCAGGAGTTCCTCCTCCTTAGTTGGGTCACAAAGTGAGATTCTGTGACCATCCTCCGGCTATTTTCACAATATCTATATGTGGAACAGAGTCAAACAAATTGGGGGTTACCCAGTTCAAATATGATTGTTTTGGGGGGTCAAGTCCTGAAGGTTGAGAATCACAGTACTAGATGGCAGCCATCTTGAATATCGCGGTCAAAACAAAGTTGTATGATTAAAACTATGTCAGATTTGGAATCCTCATGCTTGACTTGTATGGAAAAGTGCCTTCATACATTATTCTAGGTCATCCAGATCAAAAGTTAATTTTTAGAGATGGCGCCTGCCGCCATCTTGAATTTAGCTGTCTAGCAAAAAATGCTGGGATTTTTGCGAGGGACCTGGGGGCTAAATCTTTTCTAAAGGGTCCATAGAGGTCAAATCAATTGTCAAAACATCCTTGCCAGAGGATGGTCACAGAATCTCACTTTGTGACCCAACTACCTTGTCTGTACCCTGTGCTCTTACTCTTCTTAGGTCTCAACTACAGACATTTCTTCCCGAAACAGCATTCTTAGGTGTGTGGACCACATTTTTACCCTTTAACTGATGTTTTCATTTGATTGAACCTTCGAGCAAACTTCCTGCAACTTTTTTCACTCTTGAATTTACAAACATGAAAGATCAGTAAACCTTTTTACTTGACAAGCATACCAAACACGAGGTTCACGAATAACACTAATAAGAATGTAGATGTTCAGATGTTGAGGAATCAAAACATTTTAATCCCTTCTTTAATTTAACTGGGTAAATATAAGTATTGTTGAAAACAAAAAGTTGAGATAAAATCCAGAAATTGATCAAAAAGGAAATCCGACCAAAAATTTGACTCGGTGATGTCTAAATAAAGTGTACGCTTCAATCCATAGGCCTGATAATCTCTTTAACTGGATAGTATTTCTGTTGGCCATGGCTCAAGTCTCAAACCAATGAAGTAGAGTTACTATTTGAAGAACTGTGATTGTAATAACTAATTTAAAGTACTTTTTAAACTATTAATTAAAGTCCAGTTGCAGGTTTTTTACTATGTAGAAGAGTTTGAATCAGGATTCCTTTTTGGAAGCAGTTTTTGTTACTAAATTAAAAGTTTGATCAATGCTTGCTGACAGGATCCAGTGTTGACGTTACATCATATGACCAGTCTGTTGATTGTTAGCAAATCAATTTCAGCCCAGTCACGTATGCAAGAACCAACCTTAGAGCAGATACTTTGAAGCTTTGTGCTCTCAGTCAGCCTCCTCTCATCTTTCCTGGAGCACATCACAGGATCTGTGCGGTTAAGTTTCTCAGTACCAGCACTGACCACAGTCAGGTCCACAGCCACATCCCTGCTCTATTCATTCACTTTATGATGTACATACTGTACTCCCACCCAGTGGAGTGTCTCTTTGAAAAGGTTCCTTTCTACAACAAGGCATGTCAAATGGATGGAAAATTTTATTTTTTCACTAAGGTCTGCAGCTCGGCATGTGCCATCACATGCTCCTGTGAGCTCCCCTCTCCGCAGTGCTTCTAGGTTGTGTAGTGATGCTCCTTCTGACTGGGTCTGTCTTTGTCTCTCTTTGTGCGCTGCCTAAAGACAAAATGACAAACGGTGATACGAGCCCTGATGAGAAGAAGCAGGAGACAGAGAAGGAGAGGGCTCTTGAGGACGCCTCAGTAGGAGAAAATCACAGGTATTATACAATATCAACACATCTGGTGATTACTGTGACTGATCAAGTTTGATCTAGTACACTTAAGTAGCCTTCGAGCACTGGTTTAAGGTTATCATTCCTGTTGTTTTAGATCTGTGGTGAGCTGTACATTTTAGATTACAACTATAGATGAAGTCCTTAAGATAAAATAAGACTAAGAAAAAAAAACACATCTTTGGACCAGTTTTTGTTGTTGACAAAATCAGCCCCCTAAGACTGATTAAGACCCTTTTTTTTATTCCCTGGAAACATTACACAACAGAGGTGTTTCAAATACATTATATAAGCTTTATCAAAATATACGCCCCAAGCTTCTCCCTAAAGATCTAAATCTTTTTACACTGAGGGCTCTTTTATTTCTTGATAACGATCTTCTTTCCAGGCATTTTCCCCCCCAAATTTTTTGGTCATTTTGACATTTGGAAAATGTCCAAGGAGTCAGGTCAGGACATCGACATTGTCTGGAGTTGTTTGTTCGTACATGTAGCATGTTTATTCTGAACACCTTTTCACCTGTTGAAATAACTTGGTGTAAGGGGAGAGGGACTAAAACATGCTGTAGGAGGAGGAAGCATACAGAACATAGAGATATTTTTTGGTTATCAGTAATTTATGAAGATGTATGATTCCATGGTATTGATCAGTTTTATTCTTCAGTGGGTTGCGCGAGGTTGTTGCTAGTCTGCCAAGGGTCCTCGCAAACAAATACAAGTAAAAACAACAAAAAATGAAGAGACCAGATAAGAGGTAGAGTAGATGCAGAGTAGAGGGTTTAAAACATGCAAGTAGAAAAGGGTAAGAGGAAACTGCACCCTTTGCTACGTCATCAGCGCACCCTTTCACTCTCATGGGATTCCCCAGACAATGACCAGCTCTGTTCACGCAAATGGACATGACATAGAAATTGCAGCTGAGAGGGTCTGATCGGAAATTTGCATTCTCGCATACAGCTCCTCTGGCTAACGTCAGGATAATTTCAGGGTGGCAGAGCATGTGGGAAAGGGATAACAGATGATGACAGCAGATAACAGACATGAAAGACATTGGGGGGGTTAATACATGTTTTGTGTTTATCATGTTTTTTGGACAGCTAACAACTATTTTCCTCTCTTCTTGTGTGTAGCGCCCCAAAGGCCCAGGAAGAGTCCACTTAAGTTCTTTTCTTCACATCTTACACAGAAGTCATTTGCTGCTCTACTTAAGTCCACACTGGGAGCTCTAACCTCGTCCCGTCTGACGAGTCATGACTGATCAGTGGTTTCCATTTAAACTGTTTCTGCCTGTATCGCTGTTCAAGGTGAAGACTTTTCTTATTTAGCTAATATCTACCTTTTTGACACCTTATGTCACGTATAGCCTTTCTGACGTTGAATTTGAGTCATGTCTGTGTAGTGAGTAGGAATCTGTACTTACTGAGCATGCTCAGACACTGTTAGCGCCACTCAGTTTTCATTTGCGGTAGATGGTTTTAACCGTAGACGATCACTGCATACTCATGTTAGTGTTTTTGTTAAAGAGGATCAACAGATTTTGAAGTAAAGAAGTTTAGTTCTAGTTAAGTGCACCGTTACCATATCTAGTAATACTGGCTGTATCAACGTGTTACATTTACTTCTAATGCACAGACATAATTCTCAAGTTTGCCAAAGTTATTCCTGTTATTATCCATGTTTAAGCGTCTGTTTTTAAAGTTGTTTTTTGTTTTTAACATAGATGTAAATAAGAGTATTTTTGTGCCTGTCTGATGATTGTATTCACACTCGTTTAATAAAGTAGTATGATTAGGATTATTACCTCTGTGCTTTGATAGACTTCCTGTTTTATTTGTGATGGTTGTCATGTCACCACTGCAGCTTCTGTTCAAATGCCGAAGCTGCAGATATGTGGTCAGACTAGATTTACATCAATAAGGACCTGATTTACTTGAGAGCATGTTATTATGAATCGAACATCGCCGCAGACTTGAATTCAAACGGGTCACCTTCATGTTAGACCACTGTATTTCTGTTCGTACTGTTGTTGCTGGTTTTAAGTCAGGGAGGCTCCTGACAACAAATCCAACACCATTGTTCATTCCCTGAATAAAAACTAATGACTGACTGAATCTTGTCTTTTGACCTCTTAATAAAAGCAGCAGCTCTGAACTCAGAAACTATTTATTCTAAGTCTACCGCAGTTAAAGGTAACAGCACTCAAATGATTAGATTACTGAGCTTTTGTATATTTATTTTCATGGAAAAAATTTGTATCAAACAATGCAAAGATGCATTCACAGCTAGAAAAGCACTCGGAGAGTGCAGACCTCCGCCAAGCAGCTCATGTCCCCCCTTATATTTTGATTCACACCAAAACTTTTACTGTTACATGTCTTTTATTAACTTTTATTTGTGTTTAAACTGGTTTGTTCACTGTTCATAATGTTCTTAAAACAACAAAGCTAATATTAGATACATAAATGCATGATTTATTATGCAATAATTGTAAGCGTACACTTCCTTGTATCTTCATTGGTTATCTTTCAGCATTGAAAATTCCAACGACACCCTTATTTTTGTGTGTTCTGAATCACAGTATCTGGAATTTTGTCTGGATCAGGATCAACCTTTGACACCTCATAAAACTCATTGAGATCCTTTTGTGTAATTTTTTACTAAAGACTGGAAAATTTCACGTCAATCCGTCTGTTACTTTCTCTGTAAAGTTGCTAACAGACAAAAAAACCAACGCTAACAAAAACATCACCTCCTTGGCGGAGATAATAAGACATGCAAGGCCGAGGTAAAACAGACTCCTGTAAATCAAACTTTATTTCAACCCCAGAAAGTCACATTTTTGTCCAAAAATTGGTTTCTCCTTTAAAAACAAAGGAAAAAGCAGATTTCCTTATTTTCAAAACATTTCTATTTGAAATATGTAACATTTTACTGTATTATACAGCATTTAAATCAATGATATGAGCACTTCCCTTAAAGACTAGCTTTAGTTAAAAGCGCCACGGTCCACGTAGGGGTAGGCCAGAAAATCTCCCAGTTTTTTTCCTTGAGCGTCATAATGCAGCAGCCGGAAGCACTTGTCGCAGAAGAGGCATGGGTTACTTGGGGCAAACTGGTCGTTAGTGGTAAACCATCTGAAAAATAAAATATAGTTTTAGAATTTTATGTTATGGTTTTAGGACAAGAATTTATTTAGGCACTGCTACTTTCTGTTTAACACACCTCCCGATATAAACATGGCAAACAGCACACTTCTTGGTGAGGACCCTGTGCTTATGTGTGAGGAGAGGATACAGCCTCTTATCCAGGCAGTCGCTTGTATGCATCAGTCTGTAAAAAGTGCAGAGAGAGCGATTACAGGAGCATTTCGAAATAGTCTATGATGACCGTAACACAGATTTGTTTCACATCTCTGGTACTAAGAGTGGCTTTCATAAGTGGTTCCAGTACATTAACAATAAGACAGCTCATAAACGGAACTACTATTACGCATTTCCTGGTGCAATTAAACCTGGCGACTAGGTCTTGTGAGAGCGGTCGGAGCCTGTCTGACAAGGACGTTCTTTATTTAAAATCCTGTAGTACTAATGCAAGCGTTTAGATGACTGTGAAGTGATACTTGGAAGTCAGATTAAATTAAGTCAAAGATAGTTTAGACTCAAATGGTGGACTTTTTAAGATTAAGTTGTGTACTAGCTAAGTGTGACGGGCCAGGGTACTCTGCATTCAGACTTTCAGGCTTTTTTTAGTTCTTACTGTAACTGAAAAAAATAAGAATTTGTGAGCGTCTTTCTGATATCTCACTGGTGCAATCAGATGATAATTTTAGAAAGTGTGTTCACACATGATCTGGCAGTTCATGGACATTTACAGGACATCCAAGACCTGCGATTTCAAATAAACTTGGGGCCTGATTCTCTTTCGCTCAGGTGAGTGTTTTCAGTGTGTGCATCACTGCAACGCTTTAAAGTCTTATTCCAAAATCACAAGAGCGGACAAGTGAAACAGGCAGCTAGGAGCTCCAAGCAGCAACACTTTTGCAGGCGTCTTGATTTGAGTAGGTTTTTTTACAATCCAGCTCGCTCCATACTATCTTGTTGCGCATCACAGTAAAGCAGTGTTTTTAAATTGGAGGGAGGAGAGCTGTTAAAAAGTGGAGCTGCAAGCCTGGTTTGTCTCTCAAGGTATCTGAGCATGCTCTGAGTTGAGTTCAACAGTCTCATCCCTTCACTGCTCGCTCAGAGTAAAAGTCTATTTCAGACAGTGTTGCTTTCACACATGCACTTCCCAGAAAACATAAATTCAAGAGAGTGGTGCATGTGTGAAATGGACTTCACAATTACATTCATACCTAAAATACCAGAAGTCAGAGTCTGTGTTTCTTGACAAGAGCTGACCTGCTGCTGATCCTTCACAGCACTAACCTGATGTCTGTGATTATGACGAGATGTTCACAGTCTCCCTGATGACAGTACAGGTAAGGGAAGCCAACTTTCACCTTCAGATCGGCAAACCTTGTGTCCTCCATCTTGGCTTGGCTGAAAGTCGGGAAGTTGTGGGTCTTCGCCCATTCAATGGTAGTCCTGTCAGACAAAAAACTATTATTAAAAAAGGTTTTTAAAAAGCTTTTTGATGAATTTAAGATTTTATTGCCTCAAGCTTGAGTCTGTTTCCAAAAACTCAGAACACGTTTTTCACAGCATAATGTGTTTCCCTAACCACTGTTTTTGGTCTTTTAACAAGCATGGTTAATCTGAGTTGATCATATCCTGGTGGTGACCTGCACAGGAATCACAAGGAGTCAATAAAAGTCTTTTCAAACCAAGAAGTCTTTGTTCACTATATCATCAACAATTTATCTTTGGTGTTAAAAAATAACACCACAGTGTACTCACAGACCCATCCATTGTCTCTATTGATTATTAAACACTGAACCAAAAAAGAGCCCTCATACAGCCTGTATTATTATGCAGGACTGAGGGTTGGAGGTGACCTTGAGGACAACCTTGCCTTTTAAAAGGTACCATGGTGGTTTACTTCTTATCAAAGTAAGAACCCAAGGGTCACTGGAAATGGCAACTTCCTCAATTCACACAAGGCTCTGTGCTCCTTAGAGACTGTTTGAGGAAAAAATTTCATGAGATCCTTTTTACCGAACTAAGAGATAAGTATCACAAAATTCTGAGAAGATTGTCCGTAGAAAAATAACTCTCCTCCTGTTTTTCCAAACAGGCAAGAATACTGACACTAAGTTCCGAGAAAAGATTTAACGGGAAACTAATATTTGTTATTCAAGCAAAGAGATTGTCTCCTTGGTGGAGATTGGCGTTAGATAAGTTTCAAACGGCACTTTGTCAAAATATCCTAACTTTTCCACAGCAAAGATTCACAGTTTGGTGATTTTTTTGGGTATTAAAAACAGCAAGAGGAGTTTTTTTTTTGTCAGAAAATATCATACATACAAGATCAGCACAGACATTAGAGATACAGCTTTGTCCACAGGAGCTCTAAGACGATTTTTAACTCTGGCCAGAGGCAGAGAACTGCAAAGGCCTTCTGAAACCTGCTGGGCACTAGATGTGGGTTAAAGAGAGAGGAATCATGGGTGATGGCTCTGTGGCAGCATGGTGGGTATGTGGCACCAAAAGACCCTTAAACAGAGGAGCTGTTCCCAAAGACCCCTGAGGTCTTAAAGTTCTGTCAAGGGGTTTGGACTGCACAGTGTATGAGTATTACCGTATTTCGCACTATAAGGCACACCATAAATGAACGCATCTATTTGCGTCTATTTTCATACATTAGGCGCACCGGATTATAAAGCGCATTAAGCCAAACAAAACAGTCAGATAAGTCAAACTTTATTGAACTTATTTAATAACTCTGCGAGGCTACGGTAGCTGCGGTGCTCCGACAAGCCACAAGGATTTTAAGTGCGCCTTATAGTGCGAAAAATACGGTAGTTATCATGATAGCGACATGATTTTTCATGGCAGCTTTCAAAACCTTGTCAAGTCACACGTTATGGTTTCTGAAGTGCATCTATATTTCTTTATATCTCATCCCTGTGCTCACAGTTCAACTCAAATTTAGACAAAACTAATATAGTCATTATTGTGGTTTAAGACTAGCCTCAAACTTCTCAAAGACTGAGCCTGTCTGCACCATAATGTGTTTTCATGGCACCATGATTGTAGCAGGTGTAGAAGATCTTATAAACTACCTGCTTTACAGCTAGGAGAATAGGGTTCGAAAAGTCTTGTTGCCTTAAAAATTAATCTAAGGCCAGCATTCACTGATTCACATAAATGCTGAATGTTCTCATGGCTCCATCAAAAAAGACATATATTCCTTCCCAGAGTTCATAACCAGCATCGTGTGACTGCTTAGTGTGATCGCGGTTGTCAGGCTTGTATCCACAGACTTCATGGCCTGCCCTGAAGTGTAAGCTTACACATACTGTCTTATTGCACACTGGATGTGAGGAAGGCCCTAAACATCGAGGTCTCACTATATTGAACATTTTTAAGAACAGTCTCGTTCTTCTCACACACTCTGGTTGCCCACTATAGACCACTGATTATAAAAAAACAACTCAAAGAAAGTCTATAAGAAGGGGTAAAGAGTTCAATTACATAATCATGAACATTATTTCTCTAGGGAAATAATGTTATATTGTAGATAACATACTGATTTTAAACAGAATTATGCTGTAACTCATTTGACTGGAAAACCAGTAAACCTCAACTTTAACTTAATTTCAAAGATCTTCCAAATCATTAAATCTCTCTTGACTCTGCACTTATGTCAAACTTTCCAGTATGACAATGAAGAACAGAATCAAAAGTTAGATGTCGCCTTGGTGGAGGAAATTTCAGGAAAGCTTACATGCTGATGTCCTGACACTCGGGGTATCGCATATCATTGTAGAAAATCCCCTCAAAGAAAAAGAACGCTGACTTGAAGTGATCCTGAAACAGAAAATATAAAAAATATATTACCTTTGAGTTTTACCATTTGGTCTACAAATCTGTGCTTGGATGGGGAAGAGCACTTGAGCCTACTTTGCTTATGAAGTCTGGAGCGATGTCTGGCGTGTTGCTGAACTCTCCACACACTTGTAAATCGCTGACACAGCAGATGGCATCCCTGAGCTCTGCCAGGCTGTGGGAGCCGGTCATCAGCAGAGTCATGTGAGGTCGGACATACTGAAACTTGGGTGGGGGGTCAAAAGAAAAAATGTCAGAATTCACCCGTGCTGAAAGAAGGTGATGACATGTACAGACTTAAAGTAGACGAAAGGACACCTTCTCAACAACAGGTGGGTAGTAGACATTGACTGTTAGAAGGAGCTCTCCTTCAGCGATCATGTTAGTCACTGTTTCAGGATTTTTTCCAATGGCAGCACGCTCCTGTAAATAACAGACAGCAGTGAATAACAGCTTGAAACTGAGGTGCTTGAATCATTACTTATGCCTACAATTCCAGCAATCCTTCAGTGGACCCACCAGTTCATCTGTAAAGAGGTCATGTCTGTTCTTGGGTGTTTTTAGGGTGGCTCTGTAATCTTGCCTCTTTTTTCTTTGTCTGTAAGAAAATAATCACACAGTATTGAAATTTAACTTTTTTCATGCCTTATCCAGGATACAATATGAGAGGAAATATCTGGTTTTTAAAAGTCTTACATCAGTGTTTTCAGGGTTGGATCATCAGGGACAACGTTTGTATCAGGCTGCTGGTCCTCAGGGTGGCAACGCAGTGAATCAAGACTACGAAAGAAAGGAAGAAAACAGGGAAATGTCATGTGAAAGGTTAGAAACATACTAAAAATGAACCCTGTTCTCATTAAGTCTGCCATTTTTCTTTGATATACTGTATAGCAAAACTGTATGTGATGTAGGGCTGGGCGATATGGGAAAAAGTTTATCACAACATATTTTTTCCATATCAGTCGATATCAATATTGAGATATAAAAAATGAAATTTAACAGTGCTTATTGGTATCATGTCTTTTGCGATACAATAAGCTACTGCATCTGTGAGGTCTTTGTGTGTCTTCGTTTTGTTGTAAGGCGTTGCACTACAGAAAGCAGACTGCATGGTCGGCTGCTTCTGCTGCACAGGCGCCATGGGCTCCTTGCTCCGCTCAGGGTTTGTAACCTTTTGCATTGCGCATGCTTCAGGTGGTGAAAAAGATCTGAGGTATTCCCCGACTTTGTGAAAACATGCACTCGGCATAATTTGCAGTGCACATTACTCTGCATCATGTCTGACCTCAAAAAAACCAAACACCGCTGACATTTTTGTGCCAGTGTTGTCGCCCATGTCGTCATCTGTTGAGCCTTCATCTGCATTTCTGACGGGAATGGCACTCATTTTCTTTTTTTCCCACCGACAGCGCTGTTGGCTTCACGTGTTGAAGTGCTATGGTTGCGTGTTGCTGCTGCCTGCTTCTATGCAGTTGTTTTCTACTTGGTTCTAATTAAGCACACGATTGGTTCAGCGCAAAACGAACCTGTAGCAACTGCCCTTTTCATTGGCTATACGTATAGTCTACCAAAACATGGCAGAATGCAGACTATCGAAAGGCATGTTGACCATGTTTTATATTCATATTGAGGGAAATTAATTTTGGATATATATCATTATAGTTTTATCACCCAGCCCTAATGTGATGCATAACAGCTGTAAGAGAAGCAGGGCAGTTCTTAACTAATTTTATTTATCTATCTTCTTGAGAACTTGTTCACTACTCTTTTAAGATGTTTCTGATTCTGATTTTTACATCCACTGAATGTGAAATACAAAAAAATGTAGTTGGGTGTATTTTTTTAGTGTAGTATCCTCAAGTATATATAAAAAGGGTACTTAGTGCAGGTCTTATTCTATTGTTGTTTGTCAAACTATTTTGTTGGCAAATTACGTTAGCTTTAATCTAACAGTAACTAATTAAAAATACATATATTTTCTCTGAGTCTGTCTGGAGAGACATTTAAACTGAATGCAGCTCTCGTTTTCTGTTTGAAAACTTTCAAACTGTGAGTTAAGATGAGCTGATGAATACGGGCTGGTGTGTGTACCTGCAGATGGATTTGATCTCAGCCATGGTCTCTGCATCGACCCGCAGCTCTCTGGCAAAGTTAGCGTCAAATGTCTCCTCGTCCTCCAGCTGGAAGGAAAAGTCGCCCGGCTTGAGTCTCTTAAGCCATTCGTTTCTGAAGGAGCCGATATGAAACGGTTTGGTGTTGACTTCTGCGTATTCATAATCAGGGATGTTCGAGCTGGCATCTGCGCTCGGCTTGGAGGCCGCCATGTTTCTGTTAAAAACAAAGTAGCGCAGTGGGTTATGGGTAACGTGTTCTTTACGACTAGCGGCTACAGGTTGTATTTGTGGCAATGAAAAAACTTCAGGACTCTCGTTTCTTCGTTTTCTTTCATAAAATTTCGGACTTTACCGACTTAGAAAACAGAAGAATAGTTACAGGCCATTGTATCAGAATTGTATGTACGAAAAGATATACTTTTACAAAGGCACAGTATAACTCAAAGTTACACATGATAACCACAGATTCAATAATAATAATAATAATAATAATAATAATAATAATAATAATAATAATAATAATAATAACAATAAATAAATAATAACTATGATATAAATAAATAAATAATAATAATGATAATATAAATAATAATCATCATCATCATCATCATTATAGTAATGATAATAATAATGATAATAAATAGAGAAATAAATGAACTGTGATAATAATAATAATAATAATAATAAGAAGAAGAAGAAGAAAAAGAAGAAGAAGAAGAAGAAGAAGAAGAAGAAGAAGAAGTTGTTTACTGTATTCTTTAAATTTAATTTTCTGTAAATTTGTAGTTTTATTTAGTAGATAAAACATTTATTTGGGAAAAAAAAACATTCTATACTTGACATTCTAACCCTTACCTTAAAGAAATACTGTATGTTTTAAGACACAACAGCCCCAGTCCTTCTTATTATAGATCACCTCACAAAATTAATAAATAAATAAACAAAGAACAGTATTGCAGCCAGTCTCAGCCTTAGTCTTTCCTTCATTCTTTGATTGCTAAATGTCACGTGTAGGCTATTCAGTTTCAATGAAATGTTAACTGGACTGCTCTTAACTGAGATGAAACATAGCAAAGCTAACTTTAATATTGACATTTTATACCAAATTTATAAAAATCAGCATTTCATGGGTTGAAAATGACCAAACACAGCTTACACTGTTCAACATTGGACTTGAACTTCAGCTATGTGAATCAGTTAGTTTGGCCTTGTCATGAAATTTAATTCATACCCCCCCCCCCCCCCCCCCCACACACACACACACACACACACACACACACACACAAATAAAATAAAAAATGAAAAAATGATTGCCTGGTTTCTCAGGTCTCTGAGAAACTCCTTACTTACACAATCACACACCCAATCCCCCCCCACCCCCACCAATATAAACACAAACACTACCAACTTTAAGCATTTATTCGAATAATGCAATAGGGGGGGTTTGGCTGGAAATTATGTGAATAACCAGATGCTCCAAATTAACCTTAGACCAATGGAGGGGATGACAAAGGTTGTAAATCATTACACTATGAAATCTTGCAAGCTTTTTTGATTATTACCCACCATGTAACATACAACACATCGATTTCCCTTGTGTTTCTCAAAGAATTGGTATTTATTTAACGGATTGCTGATAAAAATTAGTTAAAAGTTAAAAGTGTAAAACTTCTACTTCACAACAGGTGGATCTGAGTCTTTCCCTCTCGGTCAGCTTTTACTAACAGCTCTGTCAAGCTATCCCACTAAAGACTAATGCAACATTTATTTAGGCTACTTGAAAAATCAGTGCACATTTACTGCGAGTTACATACATTAATTGTAAAATGAGTTTACAGAGATAAAAAGTCATCTTAATATTGTTGCATCTATTCATCAATGATAATGAGTAGGCTTTTTACATAGCCTGTTAAATTTTGAATAACATGTTCACATTTAAAAGTTTGATAGAAATATTTACATTATTACTGTAAACGCAAATGAGTTGTTAATATTCTGTCAACCCCTGGAAGGGAAGAAAAACTCCCTAAATTACTATATTGAGTTTTGTAAACAGTAGATAACTAGAAAGAGTACATTTTTAAAGTTTTTGCTGATTTTTGTACATATTTTTCGCAAATTTATATCAGCAAGAGGACCAATTTTTACAAAGCAAAATGAGGTCTTATTGCCTAATGCAAACGAAGAGGGAAGCTAGAATAGAAATGCCACTACTGTGAAACGTACAGCTAAATTAGACCTTTACTATTCTGAAGGGTTACCTTGGACAAACAAGCCCTACCACAGCCTTTAATTGAAATTTAATACTAAGCATCGTTGAGTTGTCCTGGTTTTACTTTGAATATTATGAAATATTCTCTTTACTCCTTAAAAATATCGTTTTTTAAAAAGACTGTTGAAATACATCCCCAGCTTTCTCGTCAATAAATTAGCTTCGTGCTCTTTTCAATTAGTTTCACCAATTTGTCGCACTAGTCTTTTTTAAGAATTAAAAAAAGGGAGATTGTCTGCAAAAGTATGTGACATTTATTCTCGCCCAAAGTGCAGACCTTTCAGCTGGAGGGGGAGAGTATTTTTACATGTCTTTGCGTGGGCATCAATGATTTTCTGTTACACGAGGAGATCAATTTGTGGGCTGGTCCTGCACACCACGGCCACTCCCGTACTCTTCTTACCTTATAAATATCGCGGGACGTTAAAATACTGTCAAGTCTACAAGTGCAGAGAACGCTATCTTCACAAGGGCCACGACATTTCTGTCAAAAAGAAGCATTTTCTTCTTTTAAGCTTCCTTTCCTGACCTTTTATTCAACATCCAATGGAGACAAAAGGCGACTCACTTCAGCAGGTAGGTGGTGACTTGGTGCAGCATTCATTCAGGTGTTCAGTTTTTAAATTAGAGCTTTAAAACTAATCAATATTTTTGACTTCTTTTCGTCTGTTTTTTATACCCAGCCTTTCAAGCTCACAGAAAACAAGGTGCAATTGAAATTTCCCCAAAAAGCATCAACTTTTATTTATTGTATTTAGGCCTACCTGGATGCTCAAAGTCGTCCTCCTATTCGGGTTACTCAGTCCGCCAGGATCTAAAAGGTGATGCAAAACAAAATTCAGATTTTGCGCCTTAAATTTTGACAGATGACAAAGGTTGTAAAGCGAGTGACCAAGTTTTTAAAATCCACACTTCCTCGATGCGCCCCATCAGCGATTCGCGCATGGCAGTTAAATGTTCCCACGTCTAAAGTGTAATGCGCATGCTCAAAATGGAGCGTGCCGTCAGCGTTTTCAATGAAAATCCCAGCTACCTGTTGCGTCTCCGAAATATCCTAATTTAAAACGCAATTAATGTTGTCATGAGAATTATATGTATATGTAAGGTACTAACAGTGAAGACAAATTTCCCTACTGGACAATAAAACCAATTTATCAATATCGAGATTTTAAAAAAAAGTCGAGAAGACGAACTGATATATCGAAATAACGAGATGATAATACGCCGTTCTTGGTTTCTGTAGTTTCACAGTGAAAATAACTTGTTAAAGTTGTCCTCTCTCCTGCTCTTTTTAGGTGGACCTGAAACGTCCAAATGAGGATGCAGCGTAAGTAACTCAATTCTATGTCTTTTATTTTGTAGGATGTAGAAGGAAGTAGGTGTATAAATCAGCAAAATCAAACTTGCACTATTACAAATCTCAGCATTCAAACACTTTTCCACCACTACAGCAACTTGTTATATCTCTTCATTGTAATGCGCTGAACACACACTAGAGGTCAGTAGATGTCAGTAACTGATGAAGCTTGCTTATGAATTTAGCTGTATGCACATGAAATAGGCATACTCTTAAATACACAATGCAATTCTGATGAATGTTTGGGTTGAAAGTTAAAAATTAAAGCAAGAGTAAAGCGTGAAGTTTTGTCAGTCCTCCAACAGACTTGTACATGACTTCACATCAAGTGTGTGTGAATTTGTGTGTTGTTGGTGTTGCTATGTAGGAACCTCAAATAATTTGCTAATTTGTTCTTAAGGTCACCCAAAATGGATCTAGAGACTTCACTAGAGGAATGCACAGCTGCTCTTGATCTTTTTCTGGACAACAGATTTGCCGATGCCTTGGCTCTCTTAAAACCCAGGTAAGCTTCTTTATCATTCCTTTGTAAAGTGCAATGTGGGGTACAGTTGCTGATTGCGCTGATTCTTGAATTACATATGTGTAAAAGAGTGTTTTGTTTCCACTTGTCCCCCCCAGGAAGAGTCACAGCATGTACCATGCAATGGGCTACAGCAGTATCCTTGTGATGCAGGCCGGCATGACCTTTGAGCCGAAGGACATGGATGCTGCCATGACGTCACTGAGAGAATCCCTGCAGACATGTCAAAAGTATGACATAAATGATTTCTAAAATGTTTCATAAACTTTATTTACATCAATTTATTGGTCATGGCTAAATTCAAAGAAAAACTACTGTTGGACGTCTCCTATGAAAAAGTAACTGAATGCCGTGTGTTCTTTACATCAGTTTTAGGAAGAAAACTGGAATAGTAGAGACTCTGACTAATTTGTGGTACAGACAACCAGCTGACAACCTGACAGAGGGTGAGTGCATGGTTCATTTTCACATGAAACACCCCAGAGAATGTGTTCACTTGATAGCATACCACATGAGCACAATTTTCCCATCCAGGAAAATGAAATGATTTTTAATGGCAATTTAATCAACAATGTACCCATTTAGGCAGAGATGAGCACAATTGACCAAAATCTGGATAAATGCTTCTGATTAAGGACTAGTCACAGCACGAAATGCCAGCTTGGTCACAGTTAGAGCTGAACATAAGAAGTCTTCTGTGTGGCTCTATTTTTTACCTAAAAAGGATATTCCAATAAACTATATCAGTGGAATGAGATTTATCTTCTTTATTTTATCATGTATGAATCCTATAACCCATCACATTTCAGGTCCCAGACATGGTTGACTGTAATCTACAAGAAGGATTAGCAATGTGCATCAATCCTGGATTATCTATTCAGTGAAACTGCAAATAATTTATTTACTTTTTGTAAAAAAAAAAAAAAAAACATACAGCCAACATGTGGTGCCTATGTCTTGTTAACAGAGGAGATGCATGCAGAGCTGTGCTATGCTGAAGTTCTGCTGCAGAAAGCTGCGCTGACTTTCCTGGATGAGAGTATCATCGGCTTCATCAAAGGAGGGATGAGAATCCGGAACAGTTATCAGATTTTCAAGTAAGAATATTCAGGGGGGCTTCTATGTGAAACATTTAACAAAAGCCAAATTAACATGTATAATTAACTGATATGTTGTCCTTCTGAATAGGGACTGCCAGAGTTTGGTTAATGTCACTAAAGACCAGGAGAAACAGACAAACACATACGTTCATTTCAGAGGCGGCATCAGCATGGGCATTGGATCTTTTAACCTGGTGAGAGATTCAAGAAAGCATTTGTATCATCCTGTAGGCTCGTATTTATGGATCTGTGCCTAATATAATGCTTTACTGTATCTTAATGAACCATTTTATGATCTAAATTTGTGTCTGCAGATGCTGTCTCTGCTCCCATCCAGAGTCTTGAGATTGATGGAGTTTTTGGGCTTCTCAGGAGATCGGGTAAGTACCACCACATGAAGCCTGTGCACCTTTAATTTTGTTTAAACCCATAAAACAATCGTTGTGATTTCATAGTCAGTGTTTTATGTCAAGTTTAACATATAATTGTCTTACAGGAATTAGGTTTGTCTGAGTTGAGACAGGGAGCGGGCAGCCACAGCCTGCGATCCATCCTCAGTGCCCTGACTCTGCTCATGTATCACCTGTACATTACAGTCATTCTGGGTAAGAGTGCTGTTCAATGGGATTGATTTCCTCTATAAAATCTTCATAAGTTTCCCTTTTAAAAGATTTCTCTGATGGAGTTTTTTGGGGTTAAAGTTTAAATTCCCTCTTGGCAGAGGATTGAATGTGATAAATGGGTTTGAAATGTGGCTAAATGTGAGAAAATTAAGGCCAGGAGGTAAACCCACACAACATCAGACATTATACAGATACAATCACACACCCTAACTACACTCTATAAATATAACTGATGAATAATGACTTGTGTTAGAAATATAAAAGAGAACCTGGTATTTTCCTACATTGTATGTGGGAGCAGGAGGTTTTGTCCAAAATCTCTCTGTACTGAGAGATCATGGTCAAATAAGTAATGTATCAAAATGTACATTTTCTGTAATTTTGGTTGATACAATCATGGCCTGTCAGCCATGTACAAAAGCAGTGAAAAATATAATGAAAAAAAACCCTCATATTCTCATCTCTCCCACCTTCTCCTTCAGGTACCGGTGAAGGAAACCTGACTGAGGCTGAAGCCCTGCTTGCACCCTACACTCAAAAGTTCCCCAATGTGAGTAGGTACTTATAAAACATCTGGTGGAGATGCTGCTCCAAAGAATTTAGTAAACATTTTGAGAGTTAATTATTTGTACTTTGTCCACAGGGAGCTCTCATTCTTTTCTACACTGCAAGGATTGCTTTGCTGAAGGGGAACTTCACATTTGTGAGTTCTGCAGTTTCTCTTCAGTATCTCTGTGTTTTTGATTGCAATCTTAACTCATGAAGATGTAGTTAAAGACAACTGATCTGTGTCTGTGTTGCTCTGCAGGCTCAGGAGAAGTTCTTGGCATGTATAGCGGCACAGGAAGAGTGGCGCCAGATTCACCACCTGTGTTACTGGGAGCTTATGTGGGCCTACTCCTTTGAACAAAATTGGCAGGAGGCGTATCGATACGCTGACCTTCTCTGCAAAGAGAGCAAGTGGTCACAGGTATTTTAATGTCCCTTTTTTTCTTTCTGCTTTAATAACACTTGTGAATGTTTTTTCACTTTTTGTGACATGCTGATACTTCTCTCTTTGCAGGCTGTTTATGTCTTCCAGAAAGCTTCCATCTTGAGCATGCTGCCAGAGGAGGAGGTGAAGAAGCTTGGAGAAAACGTGGTGGAGTTATTCAGGTGTGCCTTTTTAAAGAACGATTATTGTTGCATGAAACCTGAACTTTGCTCCACATTTGATTTTCCATACAGTAACTGAAACATTTGGTTTGTAGGCAGGTGGACAGCCTCAGGCTGAGGATTGCTGGTAAGTCGATTCCAACAGAGAAGTTTGCGGCTAAGAAGGCTCAGCGGTACTCCTCTTCCTGCCCTGTCAAACTGGTTGTCCCTGCTCTGGTGAGGACACATGCACAATCCTACTTTGGATGATGAATTTCAAGCCTGTACTCCTTTCTCATTCAACTTAATGTCTTTTCAGGAAATGATGTATGTATGGAATGGTTTCACAGTAGTTGGCAAAAGACCTGAGCTGACTGAAAACATCTTGAGCACACTAGAAAAAGCAGAGGAGCAGCTCAGGAAAGAACCAAGTAAGAGAAATTAAAGACTTAAAAAATAGCACCCACCTTTTCCTTTCTCATCACTCTGAAACTAAAACTGTTTCTTTTTTAACCTGTAGATCCATCGGAGTATCACCTGGATGACCAGTGTGTTGTTCAGCTGCTGAAGGGCCTGTGTCTCAGACAGCTGGGCCGTCTAGTCCAGGCTGAGCTCTGCTTCAATCATGTCATTTCCAGGTATTATAATCTTTACTCCACTGCAACACAAAGGCAGATTTTGAGTCTTTTGTACAAACTCAATGAAATCATGGAGCTGGCCCAAGGGAAAAAAAAAAGAATTGTGTTATTTTATAGTTGTACCATTTTAGAGGTGACTTTAAAGCATGTTTTTATAGGAAAAGTGTGATTTAAGTCAGCTTTGGAGTGATTACAGTGGAATACATTAATTTAATTTATGATATTGGTCATAATATTTTATATTTCTCACCTCTCCTTAATGAATGTAATGCAAACACAGACACTTTCCTCTTCAAGTGATGAGATGTCTTTATTTTATTTTTTGCTCAGTTTCATTCTTGAACAACTGAATTGACCCCCTCATATTTTTGTTTTGCAGTGAAAATGATATCAAGCATGACACCTACTTGGTGCCTTATACCATGTATGAGTTGGGCCTGTTACACCGACAGAAAGGTGACATCGCTACTGCCATCACTGTGATAGAAAATGCAATGTAAGTTGGTGCTTGGTGAATCATGGCCTTAAAAGCAAAGATAGTTTGCAATTTGTTGAAGCAAAAACAGTCATTATGAAATGTTATCCCTATCTGAGAGAATATTCAACATTTGAGATGCAGTGTGGTTATGTCTTGGGTTTTTGAAGCAACAAAACTGTGGCCTTGGATGGATGCTGTTGCTACACTTTCTTATAGTCACACACCCTGTCCTGTAGTTAAGGTTAATGTGTAGAGTTAACATTTGGGGGAAAAAAAGACTTAAAAAGGAAAAGCTAAGATGTGTTCTCGTCTGCAGGACAAACTACAAAGACTACAACATGGAGTCAAGGCTACACTTCCGCATCCATGCAGCACTCAACACCATGGGCTCATTCGCAGCCAAACTCCCCCCTTCACGTACTCCGGCTTAAAGACCCCATGATGGGAGGCTCAACTGAGGAAAGAGAACAAAAAACAAAGGGTCAGCCTAACAGAAAGTTTGGCAACCCTTTTGCTGCCTTCAACTCTGTGACTGTACTTGAAATCCTCCTGGTGGGCATCTTGTTGTCAGTCCTTGATAATGGTGAATACATTCAAACTTACTTTGTAAGTACTGTAGAGCAGAGCTCCGAGTTTTAAACAATGTATTTCAGTCATGCCTCTTTTTGCATGTGCAAGAATGGTCTGATATTTCATTTAAAATGCCAACACAGACCCTTCTCTCCCAAAGTGATGAGGTGTTTTGTTAAATTTTCTGAGATTTTTTCTGACATTTTATTGACTGAAGGTGATATCAAACAGGACACCTACTTGGTGCATTTTACCTGATATTTAATTTACAAAAGGAAAGGCAATTGTATTGATATCTTTTAAAGTTATGTGGTTGGAGTATGAATTATTCAAGATGTCTTGGTTATTTTCATTTGAATACAGCTTGTGTGAAAAGCTTTCTTGCTTTTTAAATTATCAGTTATGTATTATCCAGTTTGATGCTTTTCACTTCTCTTGCTTGTGCTTATTCATGAGGTTACAACAGTTAAATATTTAATAAAAGAATAATAAATTAAATTATATAAACTGTCATACATTAGGTTTGATGTCTTTGTGTAGTTCCTTTTATTGTAGAGCAGAAATTCTCTTGTAAATACTGGTTAGTTTTCTTTGTTTTATGACTCAATCTGCTTTGTTTAATAGTATTTACGGAATAAATCCCATAAAGTTAACAAAAACCTCTTGTGAATTTGTGTCAGAACATATGAGTTAAACACAAAATGTGATTATACTTTGGTTGGCCATTTGACACTGTACATTATTATCATTTTTATCAATTTAAAATGTTTCAACTGTTTTCTCTTAAGATCAGCACTGTCAAACAAAATAATGTTTTAGGGGAGTCTCAAACAGTCTGATCAGTCTTTTTGTTTAAAATATAAATCTGACCACACTGAAAACCCAGCCCTGTACCTGTCTGATTAGTTGCCCATTTGTCTCCAAAATATATGTACTTTTGATTGAGTATTTGTTTGTACGGTGGCCAAGTACCGCCACTGCTGCAAATAAAAAATAATGCAAAAAAAAAAAAAAGAAGCAACAACGGAAGTTACCGATAGGGAAAAAAAAAAGACACCAAAGCCCGCTGCAAATAAAAAAAGAAACAGTGCATATATTTAAAAAAAAAGACACAACGGAAAACGGAAGTTAATGACGCAAAATAAACAAAATTACTTTATGTGAAAATAAAATTATCCAAAAAAAAAAAAAAAAAAGCAATGGAAGTGAACTGCCGGGGACAAATAATTTAAAAAAAGCGAGGCGTCTACGTGCTTATTTCTATGAGTAAAGCAACCGAACTGTAAAGCTACTGAACTCGATTCTCCTCTCGTGGGTGGTCTTTCGGGCCGTAGTGGGTTTCCCGTGTTAGCCAAAGCTAACACTAGACCGGCGTCCTTCAGTTCAACTTCATATCAACTCAGGCGCAAAATGGCCTAACCAAATGACACATTGAAAAGTACACAAAGCGAAATTAAACAATAACCTTTCCACTAACTTCTTTTTGCTCGTCTTGTCGCCGTTGTCCTCTGTGTCTAGATCGTAAAACACGAGCGCATCATCATTTGGTCCCCAGCAGCTCACTTCCATTGTGGCTCTTTTTATTTGCATCATTTTATCTTCACAGTGAGTAACTTTTTTTTTTTGCACCTAACTTGTTGTTGTGGCTCTTTTTTTTGCATTCTTTTTTATTTGCAGCAGTGGCGGTTCTCGGCCACCGTACTTTTGATATCTGAAATGGCAGCTAAATTGATACCAGATTCAAAGAATAGATTTTACCACTCAATTGTTTGTAAAGCCAGAGGGGTTGAGCGGTAGAGACTCTATTGTATGTCACACTTGAAATCTAAAGGAATTTCAAACATATAGGATTTGCCAACAATGATCATTATAATGGATATTTTCTATCATTTTTGCCTCCAGTGTAAAGTAATCGAAAACATACTGTAAACAGAAAAATAAAGTTCTGAGAACTTCATTGTGGCCTTACTTTTTAGCGATGGAGCCCCACGCTGAGTGATTTAGCTTCCATCTGCTGTCAGGGCTGTCAGGGACCACGTGTTGTGTGGGTGATCAGCTGACTGTGCCGGAGGAGGAAGAGGAATAAAGATGGAAGGGAACAGGGACGAGGCAGAAAGGTGTATTCTGATAGCGACGAGAGCTCTCGAAGCCGGAGATAAAGAAAAGGCTTTGAGGTTTCTCAATAAAGCAGAGAAGCTGTACCCCACCAGCAAAGCTAAAGGTATGAATGCTAGTAAACCGGCTTGTCTGTTAAGATAAACTAACGACGAAATAACAGGGGTGTTCAATGTTTGCTAGCTAGAAGCCAACGTTTCTTAATATCTCACACGGAGACAGGTCACCTTTTGACAAATAAATAACGTGAAAATATACCAATCTCATTTATTAAGTGAAAACCACTTGTATGAGTGGATTGAAACGGTATATTCTGTCGTTCACTAAAGGTAGTGTTAGCTTAGCACTGCGTTAGCTAATGAGCTAGCCTCGCCATCGCATCGTTGTATCGTATTTGACTTTTTTATGTAAAATGAGCGATTTAACCGTGAGACACAGTTAATACTTCAAGCTTGTACTTTTGATCGTTACTTTCAAGGCGAAAGTGTCATTGTCTCACAAAAGCAAGCAAGTCAAGAAACGTTAATCCGTAATAAGTTATTGGTTGTTAATGCTAGCTAACTGTAGCTCATTGTAACGGACTAGCTGACCTTAAAGAGCTTATTCATTTGCTTTAATTTTATTTTGGTTTTTAAGGTGTTGACATTGCACCAGGTTAGAAATGTTGCTGTGGAAAAGGGCACATATTTGTAGGGATTTTGGTTCGGGAAAAACAAGTAAGCAGAGCCCTGAGGTGGATGTAGGGTTGGTCTGGGCTCGGACTTGATGCTGAACAGCCACCTGCCAATCCTTTAATTGAATGATTGACCCAGAGCGAGTCTGGAGACACAGGCTAATCTGGGACACACATCTGTCCGTAACATTAACAGATGTTAAGAAAGGTTGGGACTAACCTCTCTGTTTCAGATTAAGTGTCTGTGTATCTGTTTGATATTTGGTATATTGAGTGAATTTTCAGTTTGAAGACATTGTTTTTCCAGGCTTCTTACAACCTACACCACTGGTCATTACTCTCGTCTAGGGCTGGGCGATAAAATGATAACGATATATATTGAAAAATCATGTCCCTCAACATCAATATAAAACATGGTCAACATGCTTTTTGAGGCACAGTGATTGAATGATTGAATGAATGGATATATAGTCACCTGTGTTCTGCGGCGGATGCATGGAGAGGGGGTGAGTAGGGAGAGCGTATTTTTTGTTGACCGCTTGATTTAACATCAAACTTAGCCCATAGAACATCTTGCCTTGCCCTGTCTGTCTGTTTGTGCGGCGTTGGAAATAAATGCGAACTCAGTCGGAAAACACAGAAATGGCTTGTTGTTTGTGTAGCGAGTCACCAATGCAAAGCTCCTCTCAGTGACTTTGTTTTTGTTTCTTGTCACTGTAGCTGTTAAACTGTAACTGTTTAGTTAAAAAGTTATGATTTCCAGTCTTTGTCTGCATAATTATGCACTGCCACTCGCAGGTGTTGCTGTCCATGTGTTCCTAATGCCCTTATTTTCTTGTATGATGAGGAAGCTCCTTGGAACTGTCCTTGTTTGGGATGGACTAAAGATATGAGAAGGGGTGACCGCTAGTATCTGCCCTACTGTTGTAGAGTGGCATTAATTAACTGTCTATTATCAGCAGGCTTGTCTGAGAGTTTTCATATCTGCTTTGAATGTGGTAATGGTTGTTGAAAGAAATGTCAAGGATTAATAGAAATATTCAACACAAAATGGTAGCTATGTTAAATAGCCTTTGAGTGCTAATTGAAAAGGAGGGATTGAGGTTGTGCAAGAGGTAATACTTATGTGCTTATGTTACAGGAGACCAAACAATATAACAATAAATTATGCATCTATAGATAATAATGGGCTCTAAAGGGTTTAAAAATATTGGTGTTGCTATACAAGAGATGATTGGCCTGCTTTACTGTAGCTGTGCTGTCGTTTGTCTAAGTGAAATAGCCCTCACACACCTGATCGCTGCTGTTAAGTCATTTACTGGGGATGAACTTTAGAGAGCTGTGCTGTTCTCTTAGATATTTACCTCACTCCTTCTTTGAGAGAAGTTGTTGGTGGGAGAACTCTTACGAAGCTGTTTGGATGTGGTCAAAGATGCTTAATTTTACTGTAAGGCTCTCTCATGCTAAACTTGAATCTTGTTGGGAATAATCCAGATATGGAGTTTTCATCCTTGGAGCAATATTACACTGAATCACCTTTTCTCAACTCTCTGACATTTGAAGATGACACTCATTTTATTTGAAAGGCCACACATATTTTTCCTGTTCAGAAGTTATATCTTGATGTATGTTAGTAATGGAATAAACTCGCAGAAATTCATCTTGGGGTTTGGAATAATGTACAGTTTGCAAGGTTTTTATATAATATTGTTCAAGGGTGTGTTATTGAATTCAGTTTGTGTGTTGTAGAGTTCATTGCTGTCCTTTTGAGTCAAATCTTATCTCTTAGTGTGCACAAAAGCTTCTTTACTTAGTGGTTGAAGCCTGTATTTCTTTGTACATTTTTTTTTCTGGCAGAAGTGTGGCCTTTTGAGTTCTTGACTAAACATAACATCTCATGCTATTTAAAGAGCTGACTTGGCATCGGTCCAACTGGACCTTCTTAGGTAAAGAGCTGTAGTACTCTGTTATGTGTCCTTTACCTAAGTGCTGTCTCTTCGGTTCAGGCTACCTCGAAGATAAATTATTTGTGGCACTTTTTAAAAAAAATCATGCAACATATGTCATAAAATCAAGTAAATTATTTCAGAGTTTTATCAAATTATGACCCTAGGTTCTACAGTGTAAAATTTTTAAAAAGTTTGTGTCATCTGCAACATTTAGGTGATGTTAAAGGAGTCTAAAAAGTCTCACTTGCCAAATGTCGAAGTGCCTGTGTGTACAATCACAAGTAACTGACTTGTACCTGAGGTGATTGTTGAAGCTTGGACAAATTGCAATAATCTAAAAGCAATCATGATCATTTATTTCTTATCTTCTTCTATCCCTCAGCTTTGTTGGATGCAATACAGAAGAATGGCAGTTCAGCAGGTAATGGTGCATATCGAAGGAGACCAGCAGAAAGCACAGAAAGTGCCGGTGCCCAGCCACAAAGGGAAAGTCAAGAGTCAGGAGGAGGTGACTCTGCTAAAGGCTTCACCAAAGAGCAGGTTGATGGAGTGCAAAGGTGAGAAATAAGGATCCTGTCATGCCTCACTTCAGTCTCCCGTTTTGTTCCCTTCAACAAATTGGCCCTGTAGCATCAGTACTGTCTATATCAGACCTAATTAGACCTTTCATCTGTGGCTGTAGTGTTGTGCACACACAGCTATCACCATGGGAACCCCTTCAGCTTAGCATCATGTCCATAAGGGGAAAAAAGGAAAGACATTTAGCTACTGGTTGTGCTTTTTTAAAAACCAGAAGTTAAGGAGGAAGAAGGAGGCAGTTAAAGATAGGCGCTGAAAGAAATTTAAGTTTATTTATTGGATAAAGCAATGCTCAGTATTACGCAATCACTCAAGTCTATTGCACCTCACAGTGAGAGATGTGTTCCCCCGAGTTACTTTACTAAAACCTTTGGGAACCTCCGGTGCATTTAAATTAGCATCAGGTCTTCAGAGTAAACTAGCTGATACTGTACTGTGTATACATTTAAATACTCTCCCTATGATTTACACAGTTTCATTATTATAAGTACATCATAGTTAATCATCATATCTCCAGCGTAAAAGTTTTTCTAGAATCTTTCCCTCAGGTTTCAGCTTGTAAACATTTAGTAACACATTTTTGACTCCCTTCATCAAAGCATTTAAGGTGTCTGCACAGGTGAAAGAGTAACAGGTCCTCTATTGAGCCAAGATTTGGTATGTTCTCCTAAAGAAACCTGGCAGTGTGAAATGGTATACTATGTTTACTAAATGGCCCAACCCTTTTGTTGATGTAAAGAGCATTTTGTAACATTTACAAAAATACTACAATTGTATTTATTAACATGACTGTGTATGAAAACAGACCTGTGCGTATTGCTTTCTATACCTGCTGAAAAAGGGGCTATTATACGGTTTAAATCAGCGTCATAGGATGGGAACATGGTTCATTTTAAAACGCTTAATATTCTCTGTCTTGTTTCTGTAAAATGCAGCACTTCTTCGTAACCTTATGACTACTAACATGAAAACGGCAGTGATTGTCTCACTACTCTGGTATCTGTCAGTTGATGGGATATGTTGGGCAGCAAGTGAATATTTTGTCTATGAAGGTTGACTATTCAAAGTAAGAAAAACGTGTTTTTTGACAAGGATCATACTGTGATGGCTAGACAACTTGTTCAGTGTTCCTCCAAAACTGTGTCTCCTATGGGGTGTTCCTGGTCTCCGGTGGGCAGTACTAGACATGTGCGTTTAGCTGACTTAACCACTTAATTGTCGCCACCCAAGCTAGTTGGCGTCATCTTTATTTAACAAATTATGAGTATCTTTATACAGGCCTGAAATGTCAGTCGCATGTTTTGTCTTGGCTGTACTGCAGCTGCCAATCATTGGCTAGAGCTGAGGCTGGTTAATGGTTACTCACATAGTGCTTTAACGCTTGACCAGATGTAAACAAGCACAGATTACAGATGTCGTCTGATGGTGTGGTTCAGTTTGGCAATGTTTTGACGTGTATGGTAGATTTCATAGATGCAAAGGTCCAAAAATGAACTACTCAACGACAGAATCAAGCTGGCAGCCTCTCGCAGGATTTTATTGCAGTTAAAGCATCAACCACAGCTCATGACAATCAGACGGACCCCAGAAGCCAAAAAATCCCAAAATACCCCTAGAACTGTTTTCCCTTTGATACACTGTTTGGGCGTTCCAATGACATCATTTGTTCTTATCTTCCCATAAGTGGTCTTTGCATTGGTGTCTGATAGCCAACAATGTGACTTCTTCTGTAAACATGTTTTACTCGCTGGCTGGCTCTGCCAAATTTCCTGTCAAAATTTGGCAGAGCCATGTGTGACAAGTTAAGGTCGACATGACCTCTCCTGCATCCTGGCTGGCTCGCCACTTATATGTTAGATTTCATAGACGCATAGATATCCAAGTTGTCAAACAGAGCAATGTGTAACCATCACAGGTAGGTCAATGTAAACCTGACTGAAGGTTGTTGGTGCGTGCTCTGTTAACATTAAACACACTCAATATGACTTCCCTGGTCATATTGGAAAAGTTTGTCTCAAATTAGATTATCTCCTTAATGTTAACTCACTCTTTGGCCAGTTTGTTAGTTAGACTTTAAATTTTCTCTTAAATGACTAGGAGAAAAGTGGTGTGTAAACATCTCTTGTAGAGATGGAGATGAACAATCAATAGGTTGGCCGATTGATGGCATTTTGAAATATCTAGCATCATATCAGCAATGGCACTTAAAAGGCTGATAAAGCAACACTCTTTTCTAAATGAAAACCACTCAAATTCAGCATGTTTTTCTGCTGTTTGGTAGTGTTCATAAATTGTTGTATTTTGTCAAATGCAAAGTTGAAAATGACTAGGATTTGGTTTCAGCATCATATATCGGCCCGAATTTCTGTTTTTCAGAATAAAACGATGTAAAGACTATTACGAAGTGCTGGGCGTGAATAAAGAGGTTGGAGAGGAGGAGTTAAAGAAAGCCTACAGGAAACTAGCGCTTAAATTCCACCCAGACAAAAACCATGCTCCGGGAGCTACAGAAGCCTTTAAAAGTAAGTCCAAAGTGATCTTTAAGTGATTTTTGAGAGCTGTCAGAAACGTAGTTAACTTGAGAATGACATAGTATATCAAATGCAAGCTATGCATATCCAATTGTTTAGATGTTGATCTTTGTCCTTTATTTGCCCCTGTTTGACTAATGATTTGTGTTCTCTTTCAGAGATTGGTAATGCTTATGCAGTGCTGAGTAACCCAGACAAAAGACGACAGTATGATTTGACGGGAGGTGATGAACCGAGCAGCCCAGGTTACTCACATGGAGGAGGCTTTGACTTCCACAGGGGCTTTGAGGCTGATATCACTCCTGAAGATCTCTTCAACATGTTCTTTGGAGGTGGATTCCCCTCCTGTAAGTGAGCTTTTTCATAATCACCCGTCTAAATCAGATTCTGTGTTCTTGAAAGTTGACTTTTTTTACAGTTCTGGGATTTCATGTTTTTTTCTTTTTTTTTTCTTTGGGAGACAGTGATCTAGTCTTTTCAATTTAGATGGTGTGATTAGGTATTTGATGATGACTGAGGAATGCATCATAGCTTGTTTCTTTTTACACCTAAATTTTATGAAATGCTTCTGTGGTATGAGTCATCCTGGAAAAAAATGCTCATTACATTTGCAAAAAAGTACTCCTAACTATGCAACAGTTTTTAGTAGGTTATGACTAGTTATGTGACTTGTGATATCTTTTCTGACAAAGTCTGATTTTCTACCAAACGCAGAAACAGATTAACATGATTTTCTTAAAAAAACATTGATTATTAATTTTGTATCTCTCCCTTGCTCTGATATCTTGATTTGCAGCGAGTACACACACTTTCACAAATGGCAGAACGAGTTACAGCCATCAGGCAGATCACCGACAAGAGAGGACAGAAGATAGAGGAGATGTACGTAGATTGGCTCCAATTCATCTTTTGCACATCAACATTTTTTATATCAACTTCATGTACATGTATGGGAATTAACATGCTTTTACTGCACACAATCACAGATATGTATTGTCTTCTCATCATACTGTTTGCCTCTAGGGTGGTTTCTCAATGTTCATCCAGCTGATGCCCATTGTAGTCTTGATTGTCGTGTCTATACTGAGCCAGATGATGGTGTCTCCTCCTCCCTACAGTCTTTATTCCCGACCGTACGTACCAAGTATTGATTCAACTTTCTGCTTTTTTGTGAATGTTGGCACAAACTGCTCATCCTTATTTTCTCATTCACTCTTGTATTTGCTGACAAGTTCCCTGTGTTTTTCCAGTTAATTTAAATGTAATCTACTATTTAAGATATATAAAGTTATTGTTGTAAGAACTACCACGGTATTTTAAAACAGCACATGCCACTTCCGTGTATTTCAGATCCACAGGTCAGACAGTAAAACGGCAGACAGAAAACTTGCGTGTCGACTACTATGTCACGAGAGATTTCAAGTCTGAGTTTAAGGGCGCAGCACTGCAGCAGATTGAAAAAAATGTGGAGGAGGACTATGTATCTAATGTCAGAAATAACTGTTGGAAGGAGAGACAGACAAGTGAGTACCTGGCCTGTTAATACAAACTCAGAGCTGACTTTCTGAGTACAACAACTATTTCTGCTGTTTTTTTCACCCCTGGACTCTTTCTGTAACACTCACAGTATGTTTCTGCTTCTCTCACCCAGAAACAGACCTACTGTATGCTGCTAAAGTTTACAGAGATGACCGAATGCGCAAGAAGGCAGAACTCATGACCATGGACAACTGCAAGGAGCTGGACAGACTAAATAACCTTTTCAGGGGTGGATAAGCTGGACCCTTTTAGATAATGTCATTGTACAGAATAGATGTGTATGTTCATTTTTTTTAAGAAAGAGTGTTTACTCTAGGAGCAAAATCATGAATAATTTAGCTCTGTTGTTGAAATTTGAAAATGTCCGTCTTTCATATCCCATGCAGACTCCAGTCCTTCCTCACTCCAGTCTGACCCCACACTGCCTTGTTATATCTTGATGAATCAATCTACTCACACTGTAGAAAGCCCCAGACTTCTTCTTTTTTTTTTTTTAAACTCTGCTTTACTTGATTTTCCTAGAAACAAGGAAAAGGACACTTGATTGTAGAGGCATGTACTTTTGAACCCCATGAAAGTACTCAATTGACTGAAAACATTGACTGCCAGCTTTCAGCATCATCTGCTAAAACGTAAGATGGAAGACTTTATCGGATGATATTGAAAAGTTGACCTCATGCCAAGTGTTTCTTGGAAAGCACATGAACAGAAAGAAGAAATCAAAATAAAGTCATGCATCCTTTAGCTTCCTGCTGCCCTCCAAATGTGAGTCATTCATAAAAGATTTTAGAGTAATATCTGTGATTTTGCCATAAGAGAATATTTTATGTTTACTTCAACATGTGCAGTTGGTTGGGGCTAAACATGGAAGGACGTTGAAACTGTTATCCATAAATGGTTGTACATTTTAATTTCTGAATGTTTTGAAGTTTATGCAGTTATTTAAGAAACTATAGAAGAAAGAAACTATTTGATGCTCGCCTAATCATTTAAATAAAGTAAAATTATTACAGACTTTTGTTTCTTTTGCCCAAAATGATTTCTTACTGTCTAATTTAAAGTTTTAAGGTCCAAACAAAATATTATGTGTGGTGTTGGTCATACTGGCCGAAGAAACTTGACTTCAGGGGTCATTAAATTTTGGGATTTGGATCTGTGGGGGGGCCAACCATATAGCTAGGGCGGCAGTGGCCACCTCCGTGATCCAGCCCTGTGTGTTCAGTATGCTCATTCTTTTTTTGAACATAATATTAAGTGTTATTTTCATGTGATTGAACAGAAATCATACTAACACATGCACATAAATCCAGGACAAAGCAGAAAAGGGAGAAAAAAATTAAAATAAAATGCAATAAAAAATTGTGTTATACTAATAAGTAGTAATCAGTATGTTCATTTAATTGGTTAAAAAGTGTAAATGAAGTCTTATCCTTATAGCTAATTTATTATCTACCCATGTTTTGTCAGGAGAAAACCATTAATGAAGCATAACTGTTGCCAATAAAACGAAGATAACCAAACAGGTAGATTATAAGAAGTATGAAAATGGAAAGAAATAATTATCTGTTATCTGAATATTTTTTTTACATACTATTATAATATTCGAGTTCCTCAAGTTTCTTTGCACATTTTTGCTCAAATGGAGAGTATTTGAACACAGAGGCCCATATATGGGAGCGGCCTTGCATTTTGATTGGTTCATCAACAGTCACGTGTCAATGTCAAACCCGGAAGCGAAATTGAAGGCGAGTGCTCGGCAAATGCCAAAGTAGCGTCAGTGGAATAAAAACAACCATAAGAGAAACTAGAGATGCCGTCAGATTAACAGATTGGGGACTAAAATCCGTTTTAATCACACAAACGTGCCGGGACACGCTGTTTGTTGGTCTCGACATTAACTGGACTATGCTTTACCCCAGGTTTATGTGTGTTATTTTGTTGGGGCTGTACTTGTGTGGATGTCTTCAATCTGTTTCTGCCTGCAAACACGAGCCAGAAACTCCAGACTGGAGGCTGACTCTGAAAACGATCCGTAACGGAATACACAAGATTGACACGTACCTGAATGTAGCATTGGACCTGTTTGGAGGCGACGATGGACTGTGTCATTACAGGTGTAGTGATGGTGAGCCAGTATATTACTCTCAAAAATGGACTTCTCGGATCTGTGTCATTTACTATCCTGTTATTCTGTGTCAGTCTCGTTTATTGGCAAAAATCAAAATCAATAGTACTATTCACTTTTGCTTTCCTTTTAGTGTCAAGATAAAAAGTTCGACATAATATTGATGGACATAAACCAGAACAATTACATTATGTTCTTGAGTAGCACAGTAAACCATGAAGTCATCTGCTCTGATTTCATTATCTCAAACAGAAAGATAACTGCCTGTGACAGAACAAGAAACCTCCTCACCTTTGCTCCTCTCTCACAGGCTACAAGCCAGCGCCTCGTCCTGGGTACAAACCACCACCACCAAACGGATGTGGATCACCACTCTTTGGATTTCAGGTACTGATACAGCAGGTTTGATCTAACTGGTGTGTTAAAAACAAGAAAGTCAAGTGATTACTCTGCACAGGTGCTGCTAAAAAAACGAACAAACATTAGGGGAGAGAGGGGTAAGTTGAGCCACCCCCTGTTGCTTGGAAATGGTAAAAGAAATTGATCATGAGACCAAATATTTAGGAGACAGACATCAATTTATGGAGTCTATGAAGATTAGAAGCACATGGGTGAAGGGGTTAGACATTTATTTACAAAAAAACATTTTTTTACTCTTGAAAGTGAATTTAGTCTGTCATAAGTTTTATTAGAATTGTGTTCAGACCAAAAAAGATCATTTTAAATTTGTTTCACACATCAATTGTGGTATCTATGAGCTACAACATGAGGTCAGAAACCTAGCATAAAAGTCCACAATTTTAGCTTAAAGGACTAATAAAGTCATCATAGTAGTTCTGGGGTAATTTGAGCCAGTGGTTCAACTGAGAAAGTAAAGGAGTCTGATGAGAGGATCAGAGTTTCAGTTCAGATTGTTGAAATGTGTTACTTTTTCTTTTCAAAAATACAGCTGTGAGTGTTCTTAATCACTTAAAGACATTCTCATGTTAAAACAGCTTTTTACAAAACAGCTTTTTATCAGTCATAGGCAATAATAATAAAAAGAATTGTTTTACCAGTTGAATAGCGTATAATAAATAAAAAAAAACACATGAATGTGAAGAAGAGACTGTTATTTAGGGAGAGAGAAGGTGAGGCAGGGCTGGGGTGAAGAGTGGGGGGTAGTAGGGATACGGCTCAATTTACCCCGCTCCTGTGGTCAACTTACCCCATACACAGGATAAGTTGACCGTAGGAGACCACTTTTTTGTCATGCTATATTATCAAGACAATTATGTTTACACTCATTCTGTTGGTTTGCAGGGATGAACAACATCTTGAGATATATGCAGATACACTAGTTAGAGACAAAACTATGATTGTCTTGATGTAGTGATCCGAAATATGAAAAATGGCTCATCTTACCCCACTCTCCCCTCTATTTTGAAAAAGTTCAATATATCCAGAAGTTGTTTAAGAAATTGAAAATGTCTCATCGTTATATGTAAATCTTTTTTTTGTTTGTTTTAATTTGGAAGATTATGGCCTGAAGTAAAAAAAAAAAACATATCTCAGAATATTAATATATTACAATAAGGGGTTGAGTAAATTACTATTTGAACAGTATGAATATGTGGATCTCTGGTCTAGTTCAGTAGACCACACACAACTACATTCATAAGGAAGACTGCTGACTTGATAGTTGTCTAGAAGACAATCATGGACTCCCTCTTTATGGAGAGTCAGCCACAGAGGGTGATGCTGAAAGTTTTTTTCAAAGGAGATTAAAATTTGCATTTCACTTGGAAATCAAAGTCCTAGAGTCTGGAGGAGGAACAGAAAAGGACAGAATCCAAGGTGGTTAAGGTCTAGTGTGAAGTCCCCGCAGTGTGTGATAATTTGGGGTGCTTTGCCATCCATGTTTGTTAGTCTACTCTGGTTTATCAAGTCCAGAGTAAGTACAGCCTCCTACCAGAGGATTACAGGCACTTGCTGTATGAAGAGGATAAGTTCCTTTTCTAGCAGGACTTAGCACCTGCCTACAGTGCCAAAATAACCACTGAATGATTTGCTGACTATAATATTGCTGTGCTTGTGTGACTTGGGCCTAACCTAAACCCTCCTTGTCATCTGCGGGATATTTGTCATAAAATTGTGATATCATTAAGGTTTTTTTTTCTTTCAGTTTGACATCGGAATCCCATCCATGACTAAATGTTGTAACCAACATGACCGCTGCTATGACACCTGTGGCCAAGAGAAGCATGACTGTGATGAACAGTTTCAAGACTGTCTTGAAACCATCTGCAGGAATGTGCAAAGAACTCTTGGATTGGCCCACAGTGTCCAAGGTGAGACGCCAAGGCTTTTGTTTTCACTTGACACAGAATGGGATGAGGTAGCAGAAGAGTCAGAGAAACTGTCAGTGATTTTACATTGTCTTAAATGGTGTCAAACATGCAATTAAGCTCATCAAACTTAAAAGAAAAAAGCTCAGGTAGTAATGAATTGAAGATGGCTAAACTCTAATCGGCCAGCTCTGTTTTAACTGTTTAAAAGGGGTTACATTGTGACACGTTTGATTTGTTGTTTAAAAGTAAAGAAGCCATGTCTCAGTTCTTGGAGTTTTACTTATAAACCCTATAAAATAAATACATTTCTGCTGTAGTTGATGGTTGAATGGAAAGTGACATTGAATACTATTTTAAGTCAGGAAGTGTTTGAACACAGTGTGTCCAGCAGAGGACAACAGAGAGCTAAGTTTTGAACAATGAAATCTTCAAAATGAGCATCTTTGACGGTCATTTATGCCGAGAAAACTTGTATTCAATCAGTGCTGCATAGAAATCTCTTCATTTGGTTTACAGTTAAGTATTTGCATATTCCAGTTCTACTACACATCTCACTTTGTTTCTTGTTTGTGTATTTCTAATCTTTTCTGTCCTCCTCTGCAGCTTGTGAGTCTGCAGTGACTCTGCTCTTCGATGCTGTTATGCACCTGGGGTGTAAACCATACCTGGACAGCCAGAGAGACTCTTGTGTGTGTCAGTATGAGATGAAGAAAGAACTGTGAACCCTCACAGAAACAAGACTGTGAAACGGACTGAAACACAAAAGCAATAGATGGATGCCAGTAAACTGTAGCTCCAGAGGATTTTCTCAGGGATCAAGGGTCTTTGGCCTTCACAACTGCGCATACTTTAGCTCTTGTTATTGGAGATATAAAATGTGAACATCTACTTTTGTCAAAATATCTAGTTTTGAAAGGTAAAGAAATAATTCTCTGTAATTTATATTTTGTTAATTAATTGTTTAATTCGTCTGAGTAGAATTGCACTGGAATACTAAAGTTTGAATCTTTTGGGCACTGTTCACTTAATTCTGTGTTTTTAAAGTCTTAAAAATCATGTAAAGAGACTTCTGGTGTGTGGTTGGGCTCTTTGTTTTAAGTAAAGCAAAGAAAGTAAAACTTGCTGTAGATTTATCACATTTTAATGATTTATCTACTGAAGCAGGGGTTGTAAATCGTATACTGTGACAAAGATCATTATCTCTATCGGTTATTTAAGAAAGTGTAAATAAAATGTAAATAAAATAAAAACACAAACTAGTGTTTTTTAAGCATTTTTCTGCAACCCCAATTAAATGTTGAGAGCAGATTCGATGGTTTTCTAATCACTCAAAGCTTAAGTTTAATAGAAAATAATACACAGAAAACACATTAAATTTTGAAATGGAAAACTGTTGTCGTTCTTTGTAAAATATATGTTTATTTGTAATTTGAAACCAGGAACACATTTTTAAACACTGGGACTGGGGCAACAAAACATTGAAAAAGTGGAAGAATGTCACCCAGTTGATAAGATTTATTTGCATCAGGTTAGTCACATGGCAGGTCAAGTAAAAGGCAATCCAGAGAAGCTGAGTCTCTCAAAAAAATAGAAAAAATTAGCTTTACAGCTCCATGAGAGACAGCATGAGCAAATATTTAACAATTTTGGAATGATGTATCTGGGGGATTTCGTCTTCTACATACAAAATATCATTAAGAGAAGAAGAAAATCTGAAGAAATTGCTGTAGAAAGAAGCCAAAGACCACTGCTGAATGGCTGTGATTTCCAGGGTCTTGAGAGGATTGGAAATAGAGAAGACTCTACATCGGAAATCACTGCAATGGCTTAAAATCATTTCCAAAAGCTAATATTTGTGAGAACAGTGTGTAAAACTGTCATGCAAATAGGGAACCATGTCAACATGGTCAGAGGATGCCAGCGACTTCTCTTGTCTTGAGTTCATTGAAAATATTCAGCAAGTAACAAAATAAAAACACAATAAAGAGAATTGATGCCTCATGAAAAAAAAATATATCAGGCAGCACCAACACTTACCTTTATGTTCTAATCATTCAGTTATTCAAGGCCCTTAAAATCATCCCTTCATTTCTTGCCCATACAGGGCTCTCAGTTGAGATAGGCCCAGTCACACATCCGTCACACACATCACCAAAGCTCTACCTGGTGTTCAATAATGGTAATACAAGCAAATCAAAGATCACATCCTGAGGTAAACCGTAAGAAATAAAAGCACATTTTAGCTCCAGTGACCTCTTCAATGCAACATAGAGGTTTGGTAAAGTACATGCACAGTATAGAGCCTGGTTAATTGACACAATTGACCATAATTGGTGTCCGGGCTGTAAGACTCTGCCAGGGTCATCTATTGTCCTCAGTTCTGTTGTAGTAGAGGTTTTGGGTCCTTGAGTTGTTGATGTAGGGGGCTTCGTAGACCCCCATCTCGAGCAGGCCTTTTTGTGCAAGGCAGCTGTGAATAGAGCAAGTGCCTCTGTATTCAAGACTTAATGTTTGGCTGCAGTGCAGAGGAGCATTGCTTCTGCAGAAATGGATGAACTGAAGCAGCCAAGTTAAGCAAAGGCATTTACACAGAAATTGAGATCAGCAGGTTTGCTCATGTCCTGTAGTGTCTGTGTAACAATGGACTGAATGTTGGAGGGAAAGAGAAATGAAAACAGATGAACAGATGTCGCAACGAGAAAAATACGGATGTGCTCTTATTTAGCATATCCTGGTGTCCAGCTGCCGTACTTAGCCAATGAGAATGAGACAGGGGAGGTATAAAACTTTTTATCCGTGTTGGATTGGTATAGTGGATTTATTCAGTTGCAGTGGAGGCTACCAGTGAACATGTCGGAAACCACACAGGACAGCAAAAAGGGTAGGAACTTTTAATAAATGTTTTTATGTCAGTTAATAAAGGTTCTTCGTAAGTTTGATCTTAGTTGAGGTTCAATCAAAGTGAAAGTAAAACAAATAGGGTCAAGCCTTGAAAATACAATTGCATGAGATACCAAGGCCTATTCAAATATGGTGATATTAATTATTAACTGTGATCATGAAGGGTTTTGAGAGGTTTTATCGCACTCTTTTTAACCCAACTGAAATGTGATATCACTGGCTACATTATCGATAAATGACTCAGCAACCATTTTTATATACACACTCATTCAAAGAGAACAAATTACCTTTATAAAACTAGGATTCATGATTCACAAGTTCGACAATTTCAGTTTAGTATATACATTAAAATGAAGTCGACAGAAATTGTCAAAAAAATCAACTGAAACCCATCCCCCACTCTCAACTGCTGCCTTCACATTACTCCTAAATGTTGGGGGGTGTAGATGGAGGTGCTTTGGTCTCAGATTTAGCGAACTTAGGAACTTTTAACAAATGTTTTTATGTCAGTTAATAAAGGTTCTTTGTAAGTTTGGTCTTAGTTGAGGTCCTATCAAAGTGAAAGTAAAACAAATAGGGTCAAGCCTTGAAAATATGATTGCATGAGATACCGAGGCCTATTCAAATATGGTGATATTAATTATTAACTGTGATCATGAAGGGTTTTGAGAGGTTTTATCTCACTCTTTTTAACCCAACTGAAATGTGATATCACTGGCTACATTATCGATAAATGATTCAGCAACCATTTTATATACACACTCATTCAAAGAGAACAAATTACCTTTATAAAACTAGGATTCATGATTCACAAGTTCGACAATTTCAGTTTAGTATACACATTAAAATGAAGTCGACAGAAATGTGTCAAAAAAATCAACTGAAACCCCCACTCTCAACTGCTGCCTTCACATTACTCCTAAATGTTGGGGGGTGTAGATGGAGGTGCTTTGGTCTCAGATTTAGCGAACTTTGCAGTCTTGCTTTACCTGACAACCGGCCATTGAAACTCATGAGGAAGCTAAGCTGATGCAACAATGGCTGCTTGACCCCAGACCAGCAGCCGTGGAGTGATCCATGCACAAGTTACTGTGCAGCATAACAACTATGCAAGAGCCAGAAAAGGCAATCTTCTTAAGTCATTCTACCTTGTATTACTAAAATGCTGACTCTCTTGTGTAGCTTTGAAAATACTTATATCATGCATAAATGTGTGGGTCATTTACTCGCAGCATGTTTTGTTTTCGACAGCAAACACTAAGAACCTCATGGGGACTAATGTCCCTGTCAGCAGGTAAACCCTTTCTTTGTATTTGTGTCTTAGCAAGTAATTTTGAGTTCTTGCTTATAGTCCATCCCCCCCAGTATACAATCTTTAATATTTGGCTTTTATTTTTTCTTCTATTAAACAGCTCCTTGGATCCTGCGGAGGAGTACAAGATGAACAAAAAAAGACGAGGCCTTGCTCTTATTTTTAATCAAGAGAGTTTTGACCATGCTCCTGTCCGCCGAGGGACTCAGTTTGACTGTGACAACTTGAAGGAAAGGTAAAACTTTGCATCCAGCTGCGAAATTAACAGGACATTTGTGTGCAGAAGACGTATTAGCAGGTGACTGTTAAGCTTTTCCTGTACAAATTCACCCATGTACTTTCTAACTTGCAACTTTTTTCCCTGTTAAGACTGAACCAGCTAAGCTTTGAGGTGAAGGTTTATAAAGATGAAGGGACAAAAGATGTCACAGACAGAATCAAAGATGGTAAGCACACGCATAATCACAAATACTAAGATAATGATGAATGTTTTTATGAGGCAGTACCACATTATTATCGAAATTTGAACTCTACCTTTTCTTGTTGTCCTAGAAGACATATTTGACATTCAGTACGCTGTAATAAGGGGAACTTTGTTCAGTTGCACACTAAACATTTACTTGATGTCTCATCAGCTGCATCAGCTGACCACTCAGATGCAGACTGCTTTCTACTTGTCTTTTTGAGCCATGGTGAGGATAATCATGTTAACACCAAAGATGGAAAGATAAGCATTCAGGACATCACAGCTTTGTTCAAAGGAGACAAGTGCAAGAGCCTTATAGGAAAGCCGAAGATCTTCATAATTCAGGTACATGCAAATGAAAAATATCATTGTAATATGGAAACATAAAATGTTCATGCGTGTGATCACCTCACTTCATCATCCATTCCATCTTGAAGAAATCATGGTGAACATTTGTATGTCTGATAGGCATGCCGCGGGAATCAGTATGATAATCCTGTGACTGCATGTGCTGTTGATGACGATGAAGTGGTTGTGGCAGCTGGTACCATGCAAACACTCCCTGCTGGAGCTGATTTCATCATGTGCTACTCAACGGCTCAAGGTGAGTTGACCAGTATGACTAAAACTCTCACTGTGCCCTTGTTTGTCAAGAGGTTATATAAATATAAACTGGAGTGCATTTCTACAATCTTTTATGTCCATCTTGACGATTAGTAGATGACTATCCTGTTAACTGTGATTTTTTTGAAGGCTACTATTCCATGAGGCAACCTCAAAGAGGCAGCTGGTACATCCAGGATCTTTGCGAGACACTCCGGGAGCATGGTGACACACTTGAATTCACAGATTTACTCACACTGGTGAACAGGAAAGTGTCAATGAGGAGTGTCGAGGGGGGTGATGCCAGTGGGAAGAAGCAAATGCCTTGCTTTGCTTCAATGCTCACCAAGCAGGTCTACTTTCGACCAAAAAAGTAACGACCTCAGTACAGACAAAACAATCCTGCTAGTGTCTGAATGGTGAGAACTTTGAGAGCTTTATTTTGTAATATTTTGAAAATGGAGACAGGAAAATTTTACTTGATCAAAGAATGTGTCTGTTAATGGATCCAAATAAAAATAAATTGGTCCAGTTATAGTAAGGATCTGGCTATTACCTTTGTTTGTAACTTAAACTTGTTACTTTTTTGTTTTTGGTCATACTCTTGATGCTGTTCTCTTGTCTTTCGTTGCCATGTAGGACTCAGTAGTCATCTACCTATCCTACTGCGATGTCTGGGGCCTGGAGTTTCAAACTTTTTCTGCTAAAATCCAACTTCTGTGCTTATAGGGCAGCTTTCATTTGACTAACTGTGTGTCTAAGCTTTCAGACTTGGATTCAAATAAATTCAAATGTGTATCATTCTAATAAATTTCAATCAGTGTCAACATATTGTGATACACCATATAATACTTGTACTGCATTAAAATACAAAATAAATGCAAAATAAAATAAAAAACTGTCTCACTTTAATTCTTTGTTTCCACAAATAACTTTTAAAAAATAGTATTTAAAGAACTGAATATGAAGTTGTCGTTTAAGTTAGTTTGGAAAAGAAGTTACTGCTAATGGAGTTGGTAAGTCTTCACCGAATGAACTGCTCTCAGCTTTGTATTGACTTTTTCTTCAATTACTTCAAAGATAAACAACACCTAACACAAAAATTGAGGGAAAATATTAGGGAATGATCCAGCGTAAAATGAAAAAAGTACCACTGTGTTTTAACTTCATTCAGAGACTACCTGAGCTCTCTGACTGAGCCAACACTCATCTCTCATCCAAAATTGAACTCCGATTTTGCTGGCATACAGTCATTTTCTCCATTCTGTACGGACACCCCATTTAAACAGTCTGTATCTGACCTATTTAAACTCTCCTAATCTTCGACGGTATAAAATTGAAACTCCATTCCTGTTTACAGTTCACAACACTCCCGTCCTTCAAAGTTCCGTGAGTGGCTCTGTGTCAAACACGGAAGTCCTGCCACAGACCTCTGAATGACAGCCAGAACGGCCAATCTACTTTTGTAGCTGCCATCTTCAGCCAATGAAATTGAGGGGGAGGAGCTTAATCCCGTTCCTTTGGTATTGTGGCGTTAGCGAAACCAATTCATTTTTCAGTGGTTTGAGTCGGAGAGAAAACAGCTTGACAATGTCTTACCTGGGAGACAAACTGTTGGGAGGTAAGATTTAACATTTATGTGGTATAAAACTTATTTTAAGTAGTCATAACTCATGAAGTTCTGTGCATGGCGTCTTAAAAGTTATGAATTAGGCCACTTTGTATACCGATGTAACACGCTAGTTGGTTTCCTAATTCAACCTGTGCACTATCAATGACTATACTTACCTGACTGATGTCACGCCTTTATTGCAAGTCATGATTCTCCCCCGTCTTGTCTCCAAGTTGATACAACACCGTTTTTTAATGTAATTCAAACTTTTTTCATTATTAGTCATCGGTTACCTTTCCTCTCACCTTTCCAGGAAGTGTTGCCAAAGACAGCAAAACAGCAACAGACAGGGCGGGTGAGTGCTTTACTTTAAGATTCATACAGTTTTAAACTCGGAGTGGGTTTATGAAAGCTTCTTTTAGAGATAGTTTTAACCTTTTCGAGGCGAAAAAGAAACGAGTTAAAATCAATCAAACAAAAGTAATTACGTTTATGTTATGCCAAAGCCAGATAAGCTTAAGTACAGTGTCATAAAAGGGACAAAATTAATCATTAACTCAAATTGCCTTTTTAATTACTTGATTTAATGTAGACTGGATATCATTTTATGAATGCCCTTTAATGAACAATGTAGTAAAAGTTTTTTTATATCCACATATCTCTGTAATTATGGTACGAAATGACCAGCAAAGTGAAACTGCCCTGGGCATAAATGTCAATTTAAAACTCAGAAACAAAATTTACAAGTGTAAGCTTGCCATGGCTCTTGCCCTAAAACCCCCAATCGATTGAGTTTATAAAAGAAAAGCATTAGACAAGCAAATACTTGTGTACTCAGTGATTTACATGTTAAAAAAGATAGTCAGTCAGATAAGGCTTTAAGAGTTGTCAAACAACCCAAAGCTACTTGCCTCCGCACACAAAATCTAACCTCCATATCTGTAGGCAGGGGTATGGAGGTGTCACCTCTTTTCTTTTAGCAGCCTTTGCGATCTTTCTCCACCTGTCAGCCTGCCATTGAAACCCATGAGGATGCTAAGCTGATGTAACAATAGCTGCTTGACCTCATACCAGCAGCAGTGGAGCAATTCAGGCAGCTATTGCTGTGCTGCTTAACAAAGAAGCCCCAAAAGCCAAATTCTCTCATGTATTTTCATCACTTTAAAGCTGCAAAGTCAGACTTGTGATTGTTTTGTTGTTCAGTACATGTTTGATTAATTTGTTTGTTGTTTTTAATAGCATACACAGAGAACCTGACAGAGACTGATGCCTTCATCAGCAGGTAACCGTTTCTTTCTTTCACTGTCTCAGCTGGAATTTCTTTTTTTTCTCTTTCTGTCCTGGTGATAGTTAATATCGTCTTTGTTCAACAGTTCTTTAGGTTTGGATCCTGCAGAGGAGTACAGGATGAGCTACAAAAGACGAGGCCTGGCACTCATCTTTAACCAGGAGCGCTTTTATTGGCGCTTGGGGTTAAATGACAGACATGGAACAAATGCTGATCGCTACAACTTAGAGAAAAGGTATCACCTCTCAGCTACTTGCAGATGAAGGAACAAGATGTTTGTGTGCTGAGGGACCTGTCTGAACTTGTTTACTTGTGTATTTGTGAATGTCAAGTCTTTCTGGTGATGATACTGGCATGCACTTGATGACTTGCTTGACTTGTCTGACCTCTTTTTTTTAGACTAATCGAGCTCAACTTTGAAGTGAAAGTTTATGAAAACTACAAACAAGTGGAAGTGTTGGATAAAATAAACGAAGGTATGTACACTATCAGCACCATATTGTCACAGGAATTTAAATTCTTTCTTGCTCTTTTTTGTACTGTGTTTTTAAAACATACCATCAGTCAAATAATGAACAAAAACTTGATGTTTTAACAGCTGCTGAAGCAAACCATTCGGACGCAGACTGCTTTCTCCTTGTCTTTTTGAGCCATGGTGAAAATGATCACGTTTACACCTATGATGGAAAGATAAGCATCCAGGACATCACAGCCCTGTTCAAAGGAGACAAGTGCAAGAGCCTTGTGGGCAAGCCCAAGATCTTTATATTACAGGTATAGTTATTCTTAAGCCATAAACAAACCAATTCAAGCTGCCTTGTAACTACATCAAGGTTAAGTAACAAGGACCCTCTCTCACTAGGCATGCCGTGGAGACAGACATGATGAACCAGTGACTGCCTGCGATGCTGTGGACAGTGAACTGAAGACCAATGAGGTGGTGGTAGACGCAAGTGCTGTGCACACCCTCCCTGCTGGGGCTGATTTTATCATGTGTTACTCAGTGGCAGAAGGTGAGCCTGAAAGTCACTCATTAACTTTCCACTTCAGAAGTATAGAGTAAAGCAATATATATGAATCAGTCCTGTTTCTTATTGTATTTCTGAACACGCTGTTAAATAACTTAAAAAAAAAGACCTTGTTTTTTCCCTCAATAGTGTATAATTGTGTCTGTAGTGACAGGAAACACTGTGTAAGGGATAATTAATAGTGAGCAGATGGTTATACACACTGGAACCCTAGCAGGATGGGCAAGGCTGCACCATGTCTGCAGCCATTGCAGGACAGATGCTCCTCATGCTGCTCTGACATTTATGATTTGTAACTATTCCCCTTGGACCCTCAAGATAAGGAAAGAAACATTTTTGCCACAGTGATTATCAATTTAGAGAACTATTGGATAGTAACATTTTTGCCACGGTGTCAACAGGTAAGCAGAGTCCAACACATGGCACAAACAAACATTTTTTATTAGTTTGTCTCACAACCTGGACTGTGATCGGACTGCTGGGAAATTTAGTCTACCTTGGACATTGGATTCATGGGTGGGCTTTTGTGTGCTTTTATTAGACAACTTAAGTTAGCATGCTAATGCTTAAGTGGATAATGACACCTCATTCATCCTCATTGGTGCTCCAGTGCTTTCAAGCTGGTAAATTGTCAAGCTTGCTGTTAACAAATTAGCCCCTTGGCTGGCTTGCTCAATAATGGTTATACTAGCAGGATACTGTCTAAATCAGTGTTTGATTGTGTTCTTTGCCAAATTACTGCACCGACTTACAGCATTCATCATCATCATTTAACTAATGCTCAATAGTGTTGCATTGAAAAGAAAGGCCTTTAACCTCCATTAAACTGTACAAATGTGACATGTAACGTGTCAGTGTTTTGGTTGTTTCACAGGAGGGTCTTCACTCTAACTGTCAGTATTTTTTACAGTAGAAATCTAACATATTTTTTAGGAAGTACGAATGTATGTACGTTAAAAAAACTGGATCAAATTGTTTATAAAAGTCACACTAAACTTTTCCTCTCTTTGCAATTTACATCTATCCTTTTCTGTCTCCTGTGTTCTCTGCCCAGGTTACTATTCCCACAGGGAGACGGTCAACGGCTCCTGGTATGTCCAGGATCTGTGTGAGCTGCTTCAAAAGTATGGGGACTCTCTTGAATTTACAGAGTTACTCACACTGGTCAACAGGAAAGTGTCCATGAGGAGTGTGGGGAACAGTAGTGACAAGTCTTCCATCGGAAAGAAGCAAGTACCTTGCTTTGCTTCAATGCTCACTAAGAAACTTTACTTCCGACCAAAAAAGTAGCAGTTTGACACTTTATAAAAAGTCATGAAATGAGCTGTTTTTTAAAAAATTACTGTTAAATTTTTTAGGATATATGTTTTTTAGTTCTCCGAGAATACATTTGCTCATGAACACTATTATTTCTTTTTAAACATCATTAATCAAACACAGTATTGAACACTGAACATCAGGGACAATCCAATTCACATGCACAGAAGTTATCTAAATGTCCCAGCTTCTGGCAGTTCATTACTCCAAAGAGTAAATGCTTTCTTGAAACCCTGGCTTTATTTACCATATTGAGTCTCCTCTAGAGAATCCAGATTTCCTGTTCCTGAAAAATACCTTTACCTGGACCATGGATACGACTTTTTTGATGGCATAAACTCAGGGGAAGTATCAGCAGCAGGATGGAAGATAAGCTGATAACCATGATACAGTGTCAGGTGCAGTGATTCATCTCACCTAACTGAACCTGGTTCTACACAATCATCCAGTTTCCTGTGTGAATGCAGCAGTAAATGGACATCATAATGCAATCTAGTATATTTACAACTGCGCAGTAAATCAGATTTAAACCAATTACACTGGCTTATCATGAAAAAAGAACAACGATATGTTGCCAGCGACAAAATAAAGGAGCAGAGGTATCAATTTACATAATTGACTAATTGATTTGGGATGCTTTAGGATCTAAAAGGATTAACATCACAGCTCAGAAATGTCCTGTAGTAAACCTGAACACATAATCAAAAGTATTTCTCTTTATCTCACATCACTCTTGATTACTCTGGTAATCAAACTGGCCTTAGAGACAGCTGCAAATCTTCCTCAGATTTCAGAAGTGAATAATAAGGCTGAAGTTTTTAATTTGGCCCATCTCCATCAGAGGAAGGGTCATTTTTTAGAACATGCTTGTGTTTTTGTATTGGATTGCATTGTGATCTACATTTTTCAAGTCCTGCAAATAAGCACATATTTGCACTCTGTTGCAATTTTGCTTTTTTAATCCTGTTTTGAGTACATAGGTACCAAACAAACTTGCCCTATCCCTCAGCCAACCTCTGTTTCTTAAAAATCTAACAAGACACTACAAGCTGACACTTTAAGTGAACTTGAACAGGGCAGCTTTCTTCATTCCTAACACTGATATTTCCAGATGTGCAGTGAGTCAGGCTCTCTTGAGTATAACATGATTTCCAGTCACTGCTCTTATCTAGACAATAACATTCCTACCTAATGGATCATCTGTTGCCCTATCTCTTAGCCAACATGTGTTTCTTAAAAATCTAACAAGACACTAGAAGCTGACACTTCCAGTGAACTTGAATAGGGCAGCTCTTTTTCAGGCCTAACAGTAATGTTTCCAGATGTCCAGTGAGTCATGCTTTCTTGAGTATAACGTGATTTTCAGTCACTGCTCTTATCTGGATGATAATATTCCTACCTAATGGATCTTCAAAGGTAGAGAAAAACTAGAGCAGTGATGGAAATGTTCTGTGTTCATGATCAAGTAGTATCTCTTTTAGAGAGTATTCAGGCACTACACACATGCTGTTAGTCTTAAAAATCACTACAAAAAGGGAATTCATGTTTGTGCTGTGCTGTGTTGTGGCAGTTAACAGTACCAGATATGATGATGCGTATTTGCACCAAAAATGGCAACACACCCTGTTGTGGAAAGTACCTCAGGGAGGAGGCTGGCTGTTTTTTGTAAGTGGTACTGTGGACCTAAAACACTGCAAGCTGTGTCATATGATCAGTGACTCAGGAAAAACAAAGCTTCCAGCATACTTTGATCCTGTACTTTTGTGGTCTGACTTTTGTGACTTTTACAATAAAAAATGTTTGATGTTTTAGATGGTGTATCTGTGTGATATCTTCATTTTAACAGCACTTTGAAGGTGCCTATAAATCATCACCATCGAGAGGCACTAATTCCTAGGAATACATTCCTTACATAATAACACATCAGGAAGGCTGCAAATTCTTTCCATGTGTGGGAAATATTTTTAATTCAATATTCTTCAGTGATTCCTTTCTCGAACACGAGATTGGCATTTTTTATCAAGCCTGTAAACATAACACAGAATGACATGGATCTCAGGTAAAAAGTTGCCTTTTATCAAAATAAAGCAGAAAATTTGTTATACTTCCAGAAGTGTATACGTGGTATTTAGCATTAACTATGGCTTGGATTTTTGTTTATGGCTTCGGCTGGATTGGTTCAAGTGGTAGCTGAAGTTGAGTTGGCTCTCTCAGTCGCTTCAGGTCCTCCTCCACCTGACATACAAAAACACAGGGCACATTACATCAGCAGAGTATCCAGATGTAATATGTCTTAAAAATTCAATACATAAAAATATATATTTCTTTTGATATTTTAGACTGATAAAGTTCAATTATAGGCCACAGAGTTTACACATTTCTTCAGTTTTCATTATAATGATTATTTGTCGTAGTCAAAGTGTAAAAAGTGACTCAATCAACCAACCTGAGCCAGTTCATCCTTAAGTTCATTATATCTATTGATGTTGAATTTATTCTTGCTTGCCCCCTTATAAAAGTAATGCAGGAACTGTCTGTCTTTAGCCTCTGGGTAGAGATAATCCTAGAAGAAAGACAAACAAGAGATTTACATTAATGTGGAGAGCCGAATCGAAAAACAGCTCTGAACCCACAAGACAAGAGGAATTTTATCCAACCGAGCATCAGAGGTTGAATAACTATGTAAGTAACTAGCATAGAAACTTGCCACATAAAGTCTTTCTGTGGGTAACACAATCAACATGTCAACATCTCTCAAACACACTTGATTTAATCCATAGATAGTGAGAAATGTAAATCTGTGTGTTCTTTCACATCTCAGCCCAGATCAGTGCCTTGTCAGTGCAGGAATGTTGCTGAATATGCAACAGAAGCAAAAGACCAGCAATAAATTATCTAGCACACAACAAACTCACGAAAGTTCAAATTCTCTGAGCTGGTAAGCAGAGGTGTGTTTTTTTAAGTTTATGTCAAGCTCATTTAAGCTACGACAGCATTTTACCAATATAATAACATCAAATCAGGAAAATCAAAGTTCTGGAAACAACAAAACCTAAGTTTCCATGTTGTGTCTGTGAGACTTGCCTGTTTGGTGAGGACATAGTAGGCGAAGGCTCCAATGCTGGTGCCGTACGTGATGAAGTAAGTAACAGGCTCCATGACGTCCCACGAATAGACCCACCAGGTGAGCCAAGCCAGAGCGCCACCCTGCACAGACAGCAGGGCTAAACCGGTCCAGACGACCCTGGAGCTTTTGAACTCTGCCGTGCGGGACAGCTGCGCCTTCACCTGTCAGCCAACAGCACAAGAAGGTATTAGTTAAAAACCGATTCGCAGGAGCCTGCTCACTAAAACTAGCAGGATGAATGTGTTAAAATCTACCTTCTCCAGAGGTGACAGCTGCTGTTTGAGGTTGTCTAATCTCTCCAGCAGCTGCCTTTCTTTCAGCAGGTGGTGTTCGGGCAGGTGGAGTGCTGTGTGCAGTAGATGAACGACATGCTTCATGTCTTCTAATCCCATGGCGTGCTCACTGGATGTATTGACTGCAGTACAGAGCAACAACAAGATCGATAAGAATTGAAAAAGTAGACATGTAGACGGCTTGAGATGTGAGTTCAAAGCAGGTATTTAAAAAATTATACTGAACATTTATGACTGGACAGAAATGTGTTTGTACCCTTTTCAGGAGAGCAGACATTATAAACAGCATCATTGATGACCAGCTTGAAGTCGTTGTCCAGCAGGGCGTCTATCAGGGCGGTGTTAGGTACACGCTCTCCATCTGTCAGAGGAGGGCACATTATCAGCTTCAAACTGTTACTGCGATCAATAAACCCTCAACAGACACAATAACCTCAGATTTGACACACCTCAACTGTATTCAATCATTTATAGCAAAACATTGTAGAAATTCAGGGGATGACACACTTAGGGACATGATAAAGGACTCTGGTGTTGTAAAATACAAATTCTACACACAACAGTACCTACATCAGAGGCTTAAATTCCTTAAATAACAGAAATTTACCATCAAGCTGCATCAGTCCTTGGTTTCATGTGTGTTTGTGCAGCCTCTGTGCAGTTCGCCTGAGTGTGTTACACTAAGGTGATGTAGACGGACATGTTTTTCCAGACAGGTGAACTCAGTCGGACACAATATTAAAATGCACTGCAGGAGTTTTGCTTAATGAACCATCAGGGACACTTTAAATGCCTGACTTCATCACAACTGCCTGGTAGGTATAATAACATCATTTTGTCTCATCTAGAGTCAATCTGCAGTCCCAAGACAGACCTGAGGAGGGTCACAAACTGAATCAAGGACAGAAAAAGAACTTTTCTTGTTTAGAAAAAATAGTTGTTGATGTTTTCTGTGTACAGTCCGAAAATACTCGACCTCTTCAAGATTTTTAGGAAGATTCCTTCCTCCAAAAGACTGAAGATTTTCTGCTGCTTCCAAACTTAAAATCTTGAGCCAAAGCCGGCACATACTCCAAACCTGAGGTAATTCTTTATACTTCACACAGATCCGTTGGGAGCAACAGGGGCTTTTTAAAAAATTCCTTCTCAGGCTTTGCTTCTTCATAAAACCTGTAAGCAGACTGGTATGCTTAAGGGAGGTTCTCTTAAAAATCTGGTGTCTGGTTTTGCTTTTCCTTGCCTTATTCATTAGAAGAACCTGCAGAACCAGGTTGAAACATAAACTATGGAGCCCAGCTGACTAAGGCTGAAGAATGTTGTCGGTCCGGTACCTGCACTCCGAGAATGTCTGTCATGTCTTACCTATGGAGAGAATAGACGCTGTGACTCCAGGGTCCTCTCTCTTCAGGTCTGTGATCAGGTCTCCTACGCTCATCAACATGGGCCGAAGGTAGAACAGACAATTCTCATTCCTGGAAGGCAACGGGACCTCCAGAACCAAGCGGCCATATTTGTAGTTCAGCGACACATCTGCAATACATCAAGAGGGATTTCTGCTCTCAGAGGGTTATGTGTTGAGAATTTCATGCACAGGTTATCATGAGTAGTTTTGGAATAATGTGGCTGTAGTAACTACACATTACCACTGGAGGGTGGGAGTGTACTGCAAAAAAGAGCTCCACGATTTCCTCGAAGAGGCAGCTTCTGATGAACCGGGACAGACAGAACAGAAGACAAGGAGAGAAAAATAAGAGCATTAGTATCATTATCAGTTAGCGGTTTGTCCCTCTGCGTAGACCCCTCTCTTTTTCATCTTCAGTTGAAACTGGAGAGTAATAGATAAAAAAAGGCTCTGAGATAAAACACATCCAAAAACTGTTTGCCAACAAGCTAAATAAATTGAGTTTGGCTCTCCGCTGAGCTTTTAAAGTGCTCTCACCCGATTATAAATCTCTTCTGTGGCACCACTGGCACGTGAACCTCTTTGTACTCCATCCCTGGTTGCTGTGTACTGATGGACCTCATTCTTCTGTTGAAACCACCCTTCAGCTGATAAACGCCTTATCAACCATATTACATTTCAGGCTATGGCCTTTGCTTAAGCCTTAAGGCTTAATGAAATGCTGGCGGATCCTTGAGTTAAATGTACAATCACTTTGGAAGTCTCTCTCACACACTTCTGGTAATGGAGAGAGCATCCATAAAGAGCAGCTCTAATAATACTCAGCAGAAGTACTGCCTGTTCTCTGGACTTTTACTCTTAGTTTACATGCAAACTCACAATCTATTTGATGTTAAAATCACTGGGATGAGCAAAAAACGATTTTTAATGCAGCCACATAAACAGAAAGAGGTTTTTGGTTGACTAGTTTCAGCATGATGATATTCAAATGTTCAGTGATTCATAACGGTGATGAACTCAAACATCATTTACAAGCAGCAGCAGAAAAAAAAAAAAATCTGCATTTTTACATCTCAGTAAAAAGATCCCTTCACAGTATTCCTCTAAAGCTGAGAGTGAGAGGACTTCCACTTAGATATTTTCATCCCAATGGCATCAAGGGGACGTGGCGGCCACTCTCACTACCCCAGTGCCTGCCAGCTGGGAGTTTGTTCAATCAATATCACATTTAAAAAAGAGCCAAGGGAGCTGTCCAGATTCATGGGCCGAGAAAACAAACAAGCCTTGAGGCAGAGTGCAGCACAGGTCCAACATACTCAGATACCGGTCAGGGGAAAAAAGCCTTGATAGGAAAACCAACAATCGAATACAGTCATGACTAACTGTTGACCTGACTCCTGGCCTCTGAATGATGAAATGTTAACCATAAAGACAGCAATCTTCAATGGATAACTGCAGCAATAACCAGGCGGTGACACTGAAACAAAAACAGTACGTAGGCAGCAGAGATTGCACACAAATGTCTGCTCCACGTTGTTTGTCATTTTGCTAATGAAGCAGTGCAGCACACTGTGAAGGAAAATGGGCTTTTATGAATACTCTTTGTCCCTAAACAAAAAGTAGTCCCAATAGGACAAGATTTTGCTGTTCAGCCTGTGTGAGATCTCCAGATGTTATGAAAGAGTGGAAAGCTGTTGCAGAGCTTCACACCTACACACCGGTGAATAAAAAGAAAGTAGTTTAGGGTTGGTGTGCTGTGTATATACTCTAATATCAGTGGCAACAAAATGCATGTAATCACACAAACATCTCTGGGTGAGTGATTTATGGATTCATGCCTCTACCCCTTTTGTGAGAATGTTCTGTAATTGGGTCATGAATTGTCTTGTGCAAATCAATTCATCATTGCATTGTTTAAAAATGCTAAACAGAGAAAAGGCAAACATACATAAAGCAGATGCAGCCATGTTATGGCATTGGCCATGATAAAGTCAGTTTTATAGAGTGGCATTAAACTGCGTTCCACATAAAGTCTAGGGGCTTTCTGATGACATTGCAGTTTTTTGTCTCTTAAGAAATCAAAAATACGTGTTTTTAGATGACTTAGTCAAAGCCATGATTCATGATTCTGTGGCAGGCAGTAGTTGCATGACAAACAGCTATCAATGCTACTATAATCTGAGCTCAACTACTGTACAGGTAGCTGGGGGTACAAGGAAGAGCTGCACACTGATGTAGGCAATGGAGGTCTTCATACAGGAACAGAGGAAAGTCCGTCTTTTCTCCAAGAGCCTAAGAACCCCTCAAAGCAGGCTCAACTTACTCTGGGTTTTAAGGTAATACCAATGCCTTTTTTCGGTAACAAAAGGAGGCAAGACCATTAGTCGTTCTACGTTTGTAGAAATAATCAATCTTACAATCTCAGGTTGAGTTTATCTGAACGACATGCTTCATGTCTTCCAACCCTATGGCGTGCTCACTGGATGTACCAACTGCAGTACAGAGCAACAACAAGATCAATAAGAATTGAAAAAGTAGACGTGTAGACAGCTTGGGATGTGATTGCACAGCAGGTATTTAAAAAACATACTGTAAATTTGTGACTGGACAGAAATGTGTTTGTACCATAGACTGTATATATACTATGGACAACTTGGTTCCACCTTCCACCAGTATATGGATTTGAAGCCAAAAAGCTCTCAGTAATTCCACGTTTTTTCTCCATTTCCTGAAACCATCTTTGTGCAGTAGCGTTGTGTGCATTCAGTGGGAGAGTCGCAGAGAGTCGCTGTGATGACGCTCGGCTCAAACAGCTTATCCCCCCGGTTGAGCTACCCAATCTTTGTACACCCATAGGCTGTATCAAGTGTCAATCATAGAAAACATGAACATCCTAATAACTTTTAAAAACAGAGCTGAACAGAAAATAGAGGACTTGAACACAAACCAGTCTTACAATAACTACATGTCAACATCGCAAGCAGGGCGGGGAAAAGATAATAAATTTCTAAAGTTTGTCCACAGCCCCATAAGGATGGCTGGCGGAGGCGTGATTTATGACCTGTACTGCAGCCCATCACCAGGGTGCTGTTCTCATGGTAGGTTCACCCAGCGAGGAGGCAGACGGCGTCCATATACAGTCTATGGTTTGCACCCTTTCGGGGGAGCAGACATTACAAACAGCACAGAAAACACAGCTAAATGGTAAACAGACTATGTTTATAAAGCACTTCTGATCACTCAAAGTCTTTAACAACAAAGCCACAGCTGCTAACTCAAACCTGACATAACTTTACTTTGAGAGGCCACAAGGCAACACAGTTTTTACAACTGACCTTACTAAACAATGACATAAAATATTTGTCACAGTGGTCAAAGGAATAGTTACTATGATCATAAAATAATACTGTAATGCCATAAAGCACATCCAGATTACAGCTCACTTGACTATGCTATCAGTGAAACCTAAGAACAAATAGTCACTTTAATCAATGACTCCACATAGTTAACCCAAGACAGGAAACACATTACCAATATGCTAAACAGTCTGGAACAAGCATTTATAGGCCAACCATGGCGCTGTAACTGAAGCGTTTCATTAAACTGAGTGCCAGAGCTGAGTGCCATCACATACAGCAGGTGCACTGAGATAGAAAACTGAACAACGTTGCTCTTATCAGTGTGGACTCAGAGTCACAGCTCAGCTGTTTATTGGGACTGAGAGGAGAAACATCTGTGCTCATGAACACTTTAGCGCTCTCCTAAAGTGAAAATAGTTGACCTGCTAAATCTCAAGGCTGATGCTGGATTATCTGTCTCCTCTGCGCGAAATCATCAGCCAGGGTCAATTCAACAGCTGAATGACTCCAGGCCCTTTCTGGGCTGTGTGCACACTAACCAATCACACTCTCAATCAACAGAACGTGACCACTGTGGCATGTAATGCTTCTCCGGAGCCGTGTGATGAATAATGGTCCATTTCCAAAGCCATGCTCCTCGCCCTTTGTTATTACCGTCTGTGGCACACTAGAGTTTGAGAACAGACCTCTTATTGTTGCTGCAGTCCATAAGTGCACAAAAGACACAATTACACCGCAGCATAGAAACATCATAAAAGAACGTTGGAAAGCAAGTCATACATAGTTCAAGAGTTCAAGCAAACATTATTCTTCAACATTGTGGTGGTTTCGTGTGACACACCACCATTGGACAAAAGGCTGTGAGCGGTGAACCACCCCCTGGTTTCATTAGACAACATGAGTGAAAGGAGCAATAATGTTTTTATGTGTGTTGTGGGATTTATGTGAACATTGCTTTAATTGTCTAGGCCACTTGCAGAGAGTCATTTGGTACAGCTTGGTTAGCCTTTCTGTGAGGTTTAAATTGACTCAAAAAGTAGACCTCATCACTCTTACTACCAGGCTCTAGAGTTACTCTATGAACTGCTTATCATTTTGTAACTTAAGTAATATTTTTAACCTTTTTAACCAGGTTGGTTCCAATTAAGATTAAAAAAGCATTGCAAAAAATGAAAATATACAATTTGATCAAACGATTAATCGCAAAAATAATCGTAGTCTTGTCGATTATCAGAATAATCATTTGCGGCAGCCCAACTGAAGTCTACATACCACTCTCATTTTGTGTCTAAGCTAAAAGAGACCTTTCATGCTTATTTGTATTTGTTGTATAATCCTCCATACTAAATCTAAACCATGATCGACAGGTTATATTGATAACTCAAAGTCTCAACCTGGTGTCAGGCACTGCCATCCTATGAGGATAAAGTCAAATGACTAGCCCACCCAGCTCTGTGAAAGGCTCATCCACACAGAAGCTGGATAGTCCATTTTACTTTTTGTTGCTTGTATTTTTTTCTAGTTTTGAAGGACAGTCGCAGCTATTTTTCTTCTCAAAGACAAAGACACCACAGGGCACAGAGGAGAATTTTTATGTTTTCGAGATAATAACATCCACAACGAGCCGTTGGTGCTCACCAATTCACAGATGTAAACAAAAGCCAGTTTAAGCTGAGTTGGCATCTCAGGTGTTACTCAAACCTGGGGCTTTTTCACTTCTCCATATGGACCTCCAACAAAGAGTCAGACCCACAAGCTCGTAGATTAAAATAGCAGCTAATATGATAATACCAGGCCAGCACAGGGGTATGGACATAACCTGTAAAGAGGATGGAAAGCTGGTGGTGCTAGTTCTGCTGGCATTAGCTTGTAAAACCAATTAAAAGGAGAAGTAAAAAGGGAATAAGGAGATTAGTAACAGATAAATTAATACACATCTTTTTAAGTGAATTCATCTCAAATTCTGTGCTCAAATTTTTCAATTACTAGGTAACTAATGTAAACGGTGTATGATCCTTTCATTGGGGAAACTCCAATGCAAACAGACAGACACACCCATTACTCAAAGCATATAACAAAAGACTATGAAGAGCTAGGGAGAGAGACTGCATGCCTGAACAAGCCCATGCACAGCAAACACGCCCATGCTCTGTCTGAAAGCAAACATACAACCTGCAGAGACAGGTCCACGTGATCACAAACTTAACTACTCACTCCTTCCCTGGCATGTGGGTTCTTATTCAAGAATAAAAAAATAAAATCAAATTTCTCTATATAATAACTAATCAATATTTAGAGTTCATGGTGGTTGCTGTCTTCACAGCATCCGTCACACATTGTAGGAGACAATGTGGAGCTGCAGGGGGGGAGGATACTGCACAGCTGCCTCCCATCATCGAATAATTTCCCCCAACTGTTCTTTGTCAAAACAATCAACTGAATGTCTATTTACCCCTGAAGCTATGCTTTTCTTATTTATGCTGAAGAGAGACAGAAAACAAGGAATGAAAACTGAGCAATACAGTGACTAACCACGATGTCCCTCCTCTGCAGTGAAGCATGCTGAGGCTTCCTACTCAAGCAATGAACAGGGTCATAATGGTGATGAGCAGCTCGATTTTCCCTGAAGGCTCTCAGCAGGGTGCTCCATTATGAGTCCTGTCAAAACTGAGCTATGGCCTGTTGCATCCCTGCTTCCTAAAGGTATGTCCTTTTACCCTTTTTTAAGGTTTGGATACCACTGAAGGAAAGGTAAGGGATCGTTCTACACACACCCACACACAATTCTAATGTGGTGACTTATACTATCTCGCAGGCAGGGCTTTAAAGCAGAGGGAAAGGAAAATGTGTGTGAGTGATAAACAGCCTAAAGGCCAGGTTGAAATATGAAGGCTGCCAAGAGGAGAAATTGAAATCACCCCCGGTTGCCGCCATGACAAAAAGCAGCCTGCACTATACCATGAAATGATTTGCATTGAAGCATTTGTCTTCTTTTAACCAGTTAATGGACCGTCAGGTGTAGCAAGAGCGAAGAAAATACAGTGACAACAGAGGGGCATGAAACAACAAGATGCGAGTTTGCAAGCACCAACTTCCCGTGACATAAAAAAGGCATATGGCAAAGAGCAATCCAGAGGATTGATGACACGGATATCAATTTTTAATCTTTCAGGCAGTCAGGAAAACCTCATGATAGCATGACTGGGTGTTGGTATATAACAGCCTCCAGGGCTTGGTGCCATTGCGAGACTTGAACCAACGGTCTTCTTGAGCTAGGGTTGGAAGTTTTGATGTCTAAATCTGACAACAATTGCAATGCTTGCCATTAAAGATGGGTATTTATAATTAGTACATGTTAATAATCAATTAGAAATGGTTTAATATCAACATAACTAGTTTTCATGCTTAGCAATTTCACTGTTGATTCTTTACATTACGCCGGCGCGACCAGAACTTATGTCGACCTCACATGATGTGCCACACGCCAACCATGCTCATCACTCAGCAGCAGGATTTCCAAGACAAAGGCGGAGAGATCGAAGCAATCGAAAGGTTGGTTTTACTTTACTAAGGATGTTAACAACGTGAAGTGCAATTTGCACAATACTGTAATATCCTACAAGGGGGGGCAACACCACCAACATGTTAAAACATATGTTGACATACGGCATTAAATACCAAGAGCGTTATGTTATCGACCCGATGAACCAGTTAGGAGGGTCTATGATTCTTAAGATTTTAGTAAATCACGTAAATAAACGTGGTTTTGCATTTTTGCGAATTTGTCCAAGATTTGGGCAGTTTACATATTTTTTTTAAGATTATGACAAAATACATTTACCTCTGGATTCGTATGGATGCCAAAACATTGTAACTTTACAGTTTTTGTTGTAAATGTGGAAAAGCATGATACCCCTTTAAATTAATTGAAAGTAATTAGTGAGTATCTTGTAGAGGAATAATATTTGAAAATTTAAGATGCATTTCTTATTTGTCCCATTTTGCAAGATCACAATGTTCCAATTATTTATTTATTCATAGATTTTTTTCCTTTTCCCCATCTGAATTTCTGTATGGAACTTTTGAGCACATGTCTGTAATGTTTGTTTAAAGCATATTAAAAAAAATAATAAAAACTACAATGTTCCATCCATTTACGACTGATTATTTATTTTTTCATGTGCTTTATATCCCAGTATCCAAACGTGTTTCCTAACTGCACTGACTCATAGATCTGGATGCATTTGATCCGCATCACAGTGCTATAGACTCTGACCAGGCGCTTTGCATTTTGGGTAACAGTATGTAGAAAAGACAAGTGTGATGGACAAATCATGAGATTTACCAGTGCAAGTTTGAGTCAAGGCAAGGCAAGCTTATTTAAAAAGCCCCGTTCATACATTGATTAGTTTAAAACGTTTCAAAGAGTTAAAGTCACAATACAATAAACAGTTTGAAGAGAAGCACTAACAAAAGCTTTTACAAGAGAATTGAAGAAGTCTTAATGTTGAAAGCCTTCCTCATTTCTTGCCATCTGTTTCTGTTTTTGTTGCTCAATCACCTTGCCAACACTTGCTGAGGATTTTTTTTTTTTGCTAGTATCGTAGCTGGTTGGTCATGGTTGAGAACAGACTCCCAAAGGTTTTCAAAATCTTTATATTCTGTGCGATTCTTCATTCACAGTTGGTGTAAAAAACTCAGTTACCAAGCTGTCTTAAAAAATAACTGCTTTCCTACAGATAGTCTGCAGACTGGCACTGGTCTTTACGAAGCCAAGCTGCCTCTTTGCAAGTGAGGATGATCCATGTGTAATAATTGGGGAAAAAAAATGTAGACACTGTCTTAGATGATGTATTGCACACCTCCGATTAATGCTGGGTTATTAGAAAAATGTACCCCCTTACAGTACTTATAAATGAAGATACAAGTTTCACGGGCCAAATCCTTCTCTTTAACCAGACTGCAGACATGTTTATTACTGCTGTAAAACTGAACGTTTTTAAATGGGAGGGGATTTTAAAGGTGATTCATTGGCAGACAGCCTTTTGTGGACACTGGGACTGCGGTTTTTGGAACTTCCTCATTAGTTTCAGAGGTTGCTGCTTGACTGCGATAACTCTTCCAAATGTCTACAACATATTCTTTAAATGCATGCAAGGGATTTTAATTTGTCTTACTGAGGCAGATCCAAAAAGTCAAGCCTTTAAGGTCCTGGCAGGGTTCCAAACAGAAACTTCTCTGTGAGATAACTCCTCTTCATTCATCTTTATCTGGCTCCCAATAGGTGGTACAGGATTGCAAGTGATAATGGTTTTGTCTGTACCAACATTTTACAAGAAGCAGTTCTGTTCTCACAAGTTATTATAACAAAGTACAAAATGTTTCACCACAAAGGTACTTAAAGCAGCAAACAGTGCTTTACCCAGCAGCCTAAACAATACAAAAATGGGGACAATGATTTAGGAATTGAAGTAAGGTTTTCAAAAGGACGAATAAAAAAGTCATTTTCAAAAGGAGCAAAAGAAATCCTCCACGGTAAAAGAAAAATCTATCCCCTCCACACCGAGCTACCACAACAACTTTGTCTTTGCAATCTTGAGTGAGTCACATTTCCCTTTGGTCTCAAACAGCCCAGCAATGCATCATCACAAGGTCGCACCAGTGCCAGGAACACAACAGACAACTGATTTTTTGGATGAAAAAGTGTTTCAGACTAAGAAAGATAGAAATAAAATTAAATTGTTTCTATGTTAAGTCGTGGGTTAACATTATTAAAGAACCAATGTGTTGTTTCATTGTTGAAAACCTCTTTACTGTCTGTTCATGCTCACATGCAGTGTGCAGGTATGGACCTTGTCATGTTTGTTAGTGTTTTTATGACCAGACCTTATCAGAGGAGTCCTGTCATACAGTCTATCATTCCCCTTTCTTTGTAAAAGGCCTCAGCCCTATATATGAATAGTGTGCACCCGATTCATTGTTATTTCTTACAATTCAAGACACTCTGTGTTGACAGGAGAGTCTTTATCTGACAACACGGAGTGTCTTATTCCAGTATCTTTTAGACCACAAGGGAAAGATGCTCAGTTTTCTGCAAGAAATCAATACTTGACTGCAGATAGTGAAAGTAAGCTTTAACAGTCAGAGACGTACACTAAAGAAGATATCAGGTAATCTGTGGATAAATGCTGATGAAACATGTTGAACTTTTAAAATACGTGTTGCATCAAAAGGGGTGATTTTAAAGCAAAAGTGTTGGGAAATACTGACAATAAAAGCCTCTTTTACACCTGGTTTTACCTTGTAACTGTGTGAAAGCACATAAGTTCGATGCTTTTGCATCTGAGTTCTTGTTTTTCCCTCTGCAGAGGAAGGTGTGTTTTCAGTGATGTGTCCAGGTCAGCAGGATAAAAGAAAATTCATCTGCTGGATTTTTCAGAAACTATGTAGCAATGTTCACCATAAGCCAAGAAAGCACATATTCAATTCAAGAGTGGATAAGAAGAAATAAAAAAACAAAGCATATTGAACTCATGTAAAAGCAGGATAATCGATCTTTCTCATACATGAATGGACTATCAGATGAAATCACCCGGATGTAAAGTGTTTATTTTCTACACTTGCAGATATTATTGGGACAAATGTGGATTGTTGGCCTTAGCACAGCTGTGTGCTCCCTGAGTAATCACTAAATACAGTTTGAGGGTTGACCTGCAGATCGAAATGTACAAATTAGAGGTAAACTGGTTGATAGGCCTCCAGGTCAAAGGATGTAATACTGCTGTACTGACTCCATGTATTTTTTATCAGTAAAGGACAGGCACATCTGTAAACGCTCTTTTAGTGCTGCTTGGCACGGAGGAGATGCTGAGTTAGATTAAGAATGCGGTTGAAGTTTATTGATTGCACTACCTGGCTCTGCTCTGATCAAGCTGCAGGCTTGACCCCCTTCAGACCTGATTTATCAGATAGCTTTTCCCTGCACTGGGGGCTTCATGCATAAAAACATTGCATCTATGCATTTTCTATTCAGATTAGGTATAGAATATTACACACGATTTGTGATTTAAAAAAAAAATCTTTACTAGAAACAGAAACGACAGAAAAATACAACTCAGACGACAGTTTCTGTCTGGAATCATACTGGTGATGCTGCATTCTGAGAGTAAACTTTCACACCAAGTTATACATGTCTTCATCCCAGACATTCCAGTGAAACTAGGCATAAATACACTCCTGCTCTGTTATACCATTCTCTCACCACAGCACTGGAGAGGATTCTTCCATACAGAGCACCACGGGTCCCAAGTTTAGCAGCATGATGCCCATTAAGTAAAACCCAAGTCTGACAGACTTCCTATAGGTGATGTCTTCCTGGGGCCCCATCCTGTTCCATTTCTGTAGATGCTGAGCTAATGAAGAACAGCCTCTAAGCCTGGCATGACCAGCCTTGATACTCAGACGCAGTCAAGCCTCTGGCTTAGTGTGTCATGCCAGTCAAAATCCTGAAAGATGCAAGACAGCAGATGGAGCCCAATGTCAGACTAAATGTCAACCATTTTGGTGACATATCTATGCCTGCTCCAGCTGTCTCTATATTTAGGTCTTTTTTATAGCATATATATTTATGTATAGTATAGAGCACATATTTCAGGGACACAAACACTCTTATCATATTTTCCTTTCAAACTGGAAGCTACAGATATGACAGCTTGGCAGTAAAAACTCAACTGTTTTCTCTAGATTTGTCGATGCATGTTGTTTAAACCCTGCTAGTTGTGCATGATTTTGTTTTCATACTGTGCAGTGTTATCTCAGCTTGTTTATATTCATTCCAACCTGTATAATCTTTCCTGAGCATTTCTGAGCATCCAGTGATAACAGGAGGGGCTACATGAGTACAATGCTTAGGACATTCTGACAGGCCTGTTTGGTTCCACTTTTGATGCAGCTATGCTAATTGTTTCCCTTTCTCCTTCCTGTTTAGCACTGAGATGAGTTTGAAAAACTCTAGGAAAATTTGCCAACGAATGTGCTGCCAAAATGTACTTTGTGTTCCTGTAAATACAGACAAAAAATACTGCAGCAGAACAATCTCTCTGATTTGCATTTTGGGGTGATACAGGTCAGTAAAATTTGCTTAGCACGCCTCCTCTGCTTAGCAGTTCTCCAAACAGCATCCCATTATCCCTGCCTGTTAAGAAAACAGCATCGATTATGAAGGAAAAAGGAAACCCCTGACATCACTCATTCACACGAAAAGCCAAACTCCTGAAAGCTTTTCGCATTAAAGTGAAAATACCTGCCTTCAGAGTACAGTATTTTTCTAGCAGCAAGCTTTTGCTGAAGGCTGTATAAAAGTAACAGCAGATGTTCAGAGCCGCATTTGGGGTTTTAACTCCTGTGGGCCCTGAGTGGATAATGCACTTATTCTACGATGTTAGTAAATTAAAGGAGACAAAAATATGGTACTCTTTGTGACCGCCTAGAAAAGAGCATATCACAGGTTATGAACAGTGCACAGTACTGCCTGCTGACACAGTTTGACACTCAGTTCACGTCTGCTCTCACTGACAACACTGTAGTAGTGAAGACTTGTTGTTACACAGGGGAACTGAGCCAGGCGATTTAGAATGATTTGCTAAATCCCAACTTTAGGAAATCAATTTTTCTACTCTAACCCAAAACTTCTGGACTGATACCTGTTTATTTCCCTTGCCAACACTAATTTCTGGACATCTGTATAGTTTATCTGGCTCATATAAAAGCTTACAACTTTTTTTCTTGAATCATTAAACTGGTTTTGTGCACAGCCACATTCTCAGTCTTGTCAACATCTATTACAGGCATTGTACCAGTCTATTTATAAGGTGCTGTGTTTAGGCCACACCTTTAAAAAAACGACACTTAATCATGGAGTCCACAATTGAGGGCTATAGAATGCCTAAGTAATAAAATAGGCTATATAAAAAAAGTATTTAGTCTTACTAGCATCACCCATTGGTGTGTGAAGCAGATACTGACTCAATCTAACTCTGTCAAACTAACACGAGACGAAAAGGTAGAGTTGAGGCAGGCTATGAGCCTCCTTGCTTGCTGATACAGTCAGTTAAGTAAGCTACACCACTATGAATGCCTAATCATGCAACTGAGAACTTTAATATCTTCTGACCAGATGACTTATAAAATTTTCCCCCTTACTCATTGAGTATGAGTTAAGAAATTAGCGACCGCAGGATAGCAATACACAGCAGTCTGAGGAGCCATAAACAAACGTCAACCAAAACGCCACTCTATAGCTACAAATAATGCTCAGAACAGCACCTAACTTCATCAACAGTACAGTGTAGGGTCACAGCCATAGTACTAGCCACCAAACATCTTACTAGCTTTGCCTGATTTCTTTAGCAAAGAGACTAAACACAACTCACCTACTCTCTTTCAGCAGCCACTTGTTTGTAAGGAGACCTCGGGTGAGTCCATCACCGACTGCAGCGGGGGGACGCAGCTCAAGGAAGAACATTTATGATCATTTATTTATCATTTCCTTGAAGTAACAATCATCACATTAATCATTTTGCACTGCAGATGCAGTAGTTCTTCTACCTTAGCATCTCGGTATGATTGCATTTCCATGAGAAAATGATCATAAATGTTCTTCCTTGAGCTGCGTCACCCCGCTGTAGTTTGTAATGGACTGGCCCAAGCTCTCACTACAAACAAGCAGATGCTGGAAGACAGTAGGTGAGTTGTGTTTAGTCTCTTTGCTAAAGAAATTAGGCAAAGCTAGTAAGATCTTTGGTGGCTAGTACTATGGCTGGGACCCTGTATGTACTGTTGATGAAGTTAGGTGCTGTTCTGAGCATTATTTGTGACTATAGAGTGGCGTTTTGGTTGAGGTTTGTTTATGGCTCCTCAGACCGCTGTGTTTTGCTATCCTGCGGTCGTTACTAAAGTTGGTATAACTAGAGAAGCAAGTGGTCGGCAACATTCATCTCTCGAGGGGGTGTCGTACTCGGTGTTACAGTGTGTTTGACCCTAAATAAATTTTACTCCAGAATATCCCTTTAACATCAATGTTGAAGGGACTTCCTGGACTTTTTGGAGCCAGGCTTATGTGGTCAATTCAAGAACTGCAGTTTTAACACTCATGCCTCATTTTTCAACCTTGGAGGTTGTTGTTTGGGTAAAGCACAGCCAGTTTCTGCAATTTGGAAAAAATACAACTTGTTCAGAAAATGTCAAGCATTTTGATGGTGATGTGGGATCTGTTAGTAATTATGCATGCAGCATCTCTTCCCGTAGATGTCAACATGGTTCTGCTGTAGGATTACACTTCCTACATCAAGAATAAGGAAGAGAACAGCTACAATCTTATATATGATCCAGGCTAAAAATAGAACCAATCTCAGTCATTCTTGTATGCAGGAGTGACTCATAACGGCATGCCCATTTTTCAGATATAATGGCTTTCTCCTCAACCCCACCGAGTGTAGGTCAGTGTTCTCTCAGTATGGAGGCGATTATAGCATCCAGCTCTGCTGTGTGCCCTGTTCCTTCTGCTACAGGATGAGATAGTTGGCGTTCACTTGGGATCAACCTGCACACGACTTTGCTGACTTGTGCATTTTCTAGTGTAGGTAATAAAATAGAAAGTAAAGAGAGGGTGATTTTAACATGCCTATTGAACTATTTATTGATAAAACTGTGCGAAATGCTTAACCATAACAATTCTCCTGTGATAATCTAATGTGATTTCACTTTGTGCAGCATTCCCCACCTGGAATACACCCACTACTGATCCATTTAATGCTTTATGCAAAAGTACATAGGCTGCTGGGTCCAAAGCTCAGACAGTGAGATTAGTAATAAGCTGCAGAGTAAAGCAATGGTTGTGAAGTCTAATGCAATTGTTCTGGGAAAGTGAAGCCTCTGCTTAAAGTTAATAAGTCTATTTAGCAGTCTAATCACGGTCTCTTTTCTCAGATGGGCGCCTGAATGGTTCCCCCAGAGGAGTAATTGAATGAGCCATGCTTTAGAGATTTGATAATATTCAGTTATGCTCACACAATCCAGATTTTCAAGGCTTAATCAGAAATGCATACATATTTGGTCTATCTTAGCCCCAGTAGAGCAATGTAATATAGGGGCTGTATGAATTATTTATGCTATTCTGTAAGTAGGGTTGAAAATTACAGGATACAGACAGGCAGTGATAGAGACGCAAAGGATAGACGCCTTTCCCAGTGTCCAATGCGTAAAAAACTGTTTACATTCAGGCACCTCTGTTGCATTTAGCTACAAAAAGACAGACCAGCGTGTTTTTCTTCTACCCAACTTGTCTACTATCTGATTAAAACACTAGAAACAAAACTCCTATTGTAGATGTCTTACAGTAGCTCCTTGACACACCACACTGCAGCTGAGTAAAAGACAGGAAACCAGCTCGGATAACTTTACTAGTTGCTTTGAAACGCTAAAAAGTAGAAACACAGCGGTGTAAAAACCCAACGCGTAGTCAAATGGAAAAGCTATGAGTGTTTTTACCTGTTGAAGAAATGTAACCGGACGAGTAGTTTTCAGACTGCAGTGAAGAGGTTGAACACTTCCCAAAAGTCTCGCCGTAACTTTCCCGACCATCCGAACCGAAGCCATCGTCTGCTTTTACCGTGTTTTAGCCGTTCCGTTGAGGCATACCGGGCAAAAAATACCCCCCAAAACGTGCCTCAGTGCCCGGTTACTCAGCTGAAAACAGGATGTCCTCAGTGAAAATAACAACAGACGAGCTGAAAGCCGCGGGACAGAGGGGAGGAACAGCCCAGCCCGAGCTGCATACCATTTCCTCCTCCTCCTGACAACATGCGCGGTCTGACAGACTCAGCTCCTTTAGTTTCCACACTCAGTTTGCTTCCCTCTCTTGTTCGTTTGCTTTACATAAACCAGCCAGTAGGGAGGCTGGAACCACTGAACCTTTATTATATCAACGCAGCCAGGCGGAAGGTGAGCTGACAATGCAACATACAACCGTGGAACATGGTGGATCAGTGAGTTTAATGTTCAACCAGCTCCAGTGTGAAGGTATTTGACCGGAATATCAACATAACTTCACTCATTAGCATATTAATAACTACTAAGCTCTTGACAGGTTACACCAAACGAAGCTTGAGAGAGACTCTTAGTGAGACTGTTACCAGTAAGAACCCTAGAGAAGTAAATGTCTTATCAGTGTCTCCTTTAGTACACAGCAAAACAGAACACAATAAACTGTTGTCAAAGGCCTACCACTTCCAACCACCAGTCCTAGCAATATGCCATTCCAAAGATGGCGGAATGGCCAAATGCTACTTCACAAGTTGGAGTGCGTACAACGCTACTGAGCAATGTTGGTTTTAGGAAATGGAGAGAAAACGCAGAATTACTGAGAGCTTTTTGGCTTCAAATCAGTATATTGGCAGAAGGTGGAACCAAGTCCATAGTATATACAGACTATCAGCCTACCCAGTAGTTGAGTTGTGAAAAAAAATCAGGGGGGCTGGTGGATTTTAATTGTTTGGGACAGATATTTTGTTCTGATGACAGTGCACATGGTGGGAAACCAACTGCGTACCCATTATATTGTTGCTAAAGCACAAAGATAATTATTATATTACATAATCCCTCGGATCGAAAAACAGCAGCAATACTAAAGTTAGTTCAGCAGTTACCTTCCATGCAACAAACTCCAGACTCAAAGAAAGGCCCAGACAGCCCTCTTTTAAACCCTCCTAGCCCCTCCCAGTGGGCGTTATTGATTAAATAAGTTTGGAAAAAAATGTAGGCTATCATTTAAACCATTATCAACCTTTAGACCTTTTTCTGCAAGTTTTTACCATTTTAACTACGTTTTTACAGAAATAAATGGAGCAGTGATTTTTAGGGATCCATGGCAAGAAACAAGGGAATTATTTTTTCTTGCATCATGTGACCACTTTGACCCGCCATACCCACTTAGTTAACGTACGGAAATCATGCGCTCTGTTTCCTTATTTGGAAACGTGAGCCGGCATGATGGCGCGAATGGACGCCCGGCAAGTAAGTGGAGAGATGAATATCTATGTGAATGTATGTTCAAATTAGCCGGTAGGGCTCCAATTGTGCACCCTTGGTTACCCTATGCAATAGAAAAGTATCGCTGTTTGGTGGGTAATTAGCGACGCTGGCAGGGAGGGAAATGTTTGGCACGTATGCGGGTATGTGTGGCTCCATGCGCCGCCCGCAGTCAGTGAGGACGCCGCTCTGTCACAGCCCCCAAACGTTGAAATGGTGGTAATATTTCCAATGTAAAATTACTAGTAATATTTCCACATAAGAATGGGTCAAATGATAGAAAGCTGGGATGACCGTGGGGATGCCCTTCCCTCTCAACTCGAGTACTGGGCTTACCACTTTCAACCACCAATCTTAGCAATAACCTTCCGCCATCTTTGATTTTCCTCATCATCCAGGTAAGGGGGACTAGTGAAGAGGGTTGGAATATTGTGGCATTTATTGCATTGCTATATTTATTGCTGTTACACCAGTTCACTTTAGCTATCTAGACACTGTTGTGGTCACTTGGTGTGTGAACCGCACTCTCAGGAGATAAAACGATGATTCATTGCCAGTGGTTCTGCAAATTCACAAAAAGTGGCCTCCTTGCTTCCTTTTTTGATGCACTAGCTGGATGATACTTTGCAGCACCCAAGCTACAGCCATGTCAAAGTTAATATTTTCTATGCTAGACAACCATAAAAATGAACTGCCCTGTTGCTAAAGCGCCTTGCTGGTCCTGGCGCTCTGCACTTGAACCGCAAGAATTATAAGGAATGACATTATAGTAAATGTATTTTCAGTGGAAGGCAAGTTAGCTGAATTGACAAGTTTATGTGCATGCAAGAAATGCTTTTAAGTTCTTTGTAAAAGTTTTTTTACATGGTTAAGTATTTAAAAAAGGTAGGCTATAGACCAACAACTGTTTGAATTATTGTGGTGTCAGCAGTTTAATTTTTTGTCTTTGATTACTACATAGCATGTAATTAGTTTTCAAATTAAATGCATGTACTTATTTGACATGTGAGCATGGGCACATTTATCAGTATATTGAATAATTGATTACCTAAAGTTTTACACCAACCAAAGGCCCCCCCTGGTTTGGACTCATTGGTCCTTTGTATTCAGACTAATCAGGGAAGTGTCAGCTCTGTGATCAATACAGAAGTCATTTGCACATAGCTCACACTTCCAACAACCACCAGTCATCTTATGAGGGATAAAATGCTAGTCTGGAAAAATCACACTATGAAAACATTGATCCTGGTCAGTGCAATTTGTGCTTCGATATGTCAGCATTTTTTCAAGCTTTGTTTTCAGTGGGCAGAACCTAGTGAACAGAAACTGTAAAAACACTGAACCAAATCAATTTTATTTTTCACCCAGTGGCACTAACGCCAGACAAGCTACACCTGTTTTGAGCACTTTCTACTAAACAGTATTTTTTGGGGGAAGATTATCTGTTCTAGACCAGGCAGTTGATGCTTTTTCCAATAAAAGTTATTGTTGAAAACATCAATTTGAATATTGCATAAAACAGAGAAAGAAGATGATCATCATACTAAGTAGGATTTGAATGAAAAAACATTTTTGGTTATTTTCAAAATAAAACGACAGGCATGACCAATCCATTTTAACAATAGTGATTGTTTTGCTGTTGATTGACTTATTCATTGGTTTTGTAATTTTTGCTGCTCCACTCACCTTCTTCACATCATTAACATTAACAGGATATGGGATTTATGATGGAATGTGAGTCTGAGTGTGTGTGGATCCCCTAACAACACCTTAGCTCAAACAGATCACTGCTCCCTTAAAGTGTCCCAGGTTGAAAATATTGATATAAAAAGATAGATAAAAAGGAGATAAAGTATCATTCATACATGCAATTTTGTAACTCATTTTTTTCATTTAAAATCCCACAGATTGGTGCACTGATGTGATGAATACTCCCAAAGACAGCTGTGAACAAGGATGACAGGAGGACTACATGGATATGCTTTTGGAAAGAAGGTAATTTTTTTACCTGTTTAAACTAACCCCTTTCAACATTTATACAGAGAAATACAATCCACTGACAGCGTATTATCAGTTTTATTGAGTGTTAAGCTCTTTTTTGGACACTTCAATTATTCATCAGATCTTTTGCCCTGCTACTATACTTCTGCTGTTTTGAAATGATCTATCACCTGACGGATTGATTTAATCTCTCATATTGGCCAAATGCTGGATGAGAAAGAGTCTATTCAGCTCTTCGACTGAATGAATTTATCTACTGGAGTCATGCCAGGCTCCCTCTTGCTAATGAGATGACTAGTATGCTGCAAGCCAGTGAGAGACACTGCACTATAATAACAAAACCTGCATGTGCAGCAATTTCGCTGCAAGTTATTGAGTTGCAAAGTGGTGCATAATGTAATTTGATATTTGTGATGAGAAACCATCAATCTAAGTCGTGTTACCACACTCAATTTGCTTTAGTCAAAGTTAGTTTTTCAAGACTAATTCAGAACATTACAGAGCGTAATTACTGCAAATATGTTTCCTTCGATCAGTATTGCAGGTTGCTTGTCACCTTATAGCAGTAATCTGTGCTCTGGGAATTTGCTCAGCAGCATTATTGATGGGATTGGGGGACAAAACAGCAGAATAAGTGAGTTTGTGTTTGCCATGTTATCTTGAGGTTGGCCTGTCTTGTTTGACAAATAAAGGCTGCCACCTTGTGTACCTGGGGTAGCAGTACAACCCTATGGTTAATGTGAATTCCATCACAGAGAAAAAAAACTGCACTGCTGCCACAGGAGGACTAGACTCATAACAAAAAGTAGATCTCAGTTCCTTATCACAAAAATAAAAATCAAAGCAAGCTTCTGTAAGATCATGTATCTAAAACTAATACAGGATTAAATAAAGTCTTCTAGTTTCTGGGTTTTATTCAACACTGTGCATATTTAGTGCCATCTGCTGGTATTAAACTGTCAATTCCTTCATGCATGGGGGAAGCAAGGCTTAACATTTAAGACCACAGGATTCATGATTCAATTAACTCTATTATCTACATTTAGTGCTGAATAAATCCTCCTGTTAAGATGCATAGGAGTATAATTTATCATTGTGTGAAATAATTCAGACCCAGTGGCACTTCCTTGGAATTTAATTAACTGTAATACATTCATCAGATATATGACTTCGACTCTAAACTTGAATTCTGATAGAAAATCTATCACCCAGTTAAAACAGCCTTCCACTTTTACTGATAATATACATTTGAATTACGGTCATTTCCTCCACATTTGTCGTAAGCTGTTTCAATACCAAAGGGTACGGTCACCATTAGTGTCTTAAATCATGATTATTGTCTCCATTTCATTGTTGACTTTAACTACTGCAGCCGAAGCAGACCTTCACGCATCAAGAGTATTTTCTATCCATCTGCATGGGTCTGAGGTTCAGACAGTTGAGCTATAATTCCCAGCCTTATTATGGTTTTTAGTGTGTTTCTTCTTAGGTTAGAGAAGAGCATTTTCGCAAATTTTCACACCCTGTCCCTCCAAATCTTGTTAAACAGCCTCAGAATTATCCTTCACATTTGATTATTAGTTTGTGTTATTTACACAGCATGGCACAGCTTATTTGGTCCAGTACTGTTGTTGGGTACCCAGTGTTGGCTAAAGCTATTTTCAATTTTCTCACCATCAGCTTGACAACATTTTCCTGTATTACTTTGGGTTTCTTTTCACTCAGTACTTCATCTTTTCTCTTCCTCCACTCTGTACAGCCAAAGCTTTCTGATATGTTCGCCTTCTCCTGCTCTTGTTTCTCCATTTTCTGGTATAAGAATTTCGGTGTAGTTACTCTCATTAACCACACAACACAAGCCTCTTCTCCAAGAGCTAAACACTTTTTTCC